GCTTTTGGTAAATTAAATCTTATAATATTAGAAAAGTGGGTTTTCTCCCAGCAAAATCCTAAGCATTTGTATTTTTCTAGGAATTTGTCCATTTCATCCACATTGTCCAGGTTGTTGGCATGTAGTTTTTAAGAATAACATCTCCCAAATTCTTGTTATTTCTGTGATGGTGTTAGTTGTTACTTCACTACTTTCATTTCTGATTTTATTTATTTGGGTCTTCTCTCTTTGTTCTTGTTGACTCTAATCGTCATCAATCTTATTTATCTATTTAAAGAACCAGGTCTTGGTTTCACTGATCTTTTGTATTATTTTTTTTTTTTAGTCTCTGGCATTTATTTCTCCTTCTACTTTGGGCTTTTCTTGTTCTCTTTCTGATTCTTTAAATAGTTTATTATAAAATTTTCTTGTTTTTTTTGAGTTAGGCCTATATTGCTATGAACTTCTTTTTGTTGTGTCCCAAAGATTTTGGAATTTTAATGAAAAAAAAAAAAAGATTTTGGGTTGTGTGTTCATTATCATTTGTTTCCAGGAAGTTTTTGATATCTTTCTCTATCTCATTGGGAACCCATTCATTGTTTCATTTAGCCTCCAAGTGTTTGAATGTTTTTGAGTGTTTTCATTGTAGTTGATTTCTACTTTCATTCTGTTTTGATCTGAGAAAATGCTTGATATAATTTCAATCTTGTTTTGAACTTGTAGAGACTTGTTTTGTATTCTAATATATGGTCAATGTTTCCCTCTCATGGATGTTTCTATCTCTCTCCCTCTCCCTCTCTTTCTCAAATCAAAAAAATCATTAAAAAAAAAACCAAACCTTTTTTTTTTCTTTTCACATTTTTTTTTCTAGTTCTTTCTTATTCTTTTAGCAAAGACTTTGAATTTGTCTACATCAAATGTGGTTTGTGCAATGTTAAATAAATATATCTTGTTGCAATGTTCTTTCTGCTGTGCTTCACTGAGAAAATTGTATGGAGGACATAAAATTGGAACAGAGATTCCTCTGAGAGAAAAATCGTATGTAATTTGGATACCCTAAAAGCTCTAATGCAGGAATATTTCAGTTGAAGGAATAGTTCATGTGGGTACTGCTAGAGGATTAATCTTTGGACAGGTCCTTGCAATTCCTGCCCTGGCCTCAGACCTGCAATTGGATTTAAAATTTATTATGTTTTAGATTGAGGCATAATTATGACTAACACTCAGCTTGAGACCAACACTATTTCCTGTCTTTGTCTTCTGCCTTTTCCTATCCCAAATAACAACAATGAAAAAACAAAGCCGCTCTGTGTATAAAAACACACACCCAGTCAATAAAGATTGCCACTACAGTTGCAGAAATGGCCTAATCTCCACTGTAAACTACCACCGCCTTGTCAGTCTGCTGCTTCTGAGGTAGAAGACAGCATGTTGGCTATTTGTCCTCCATAGATTATACTCTTGAGATAAGGGAGCTGTAGGAGGAAAGTTTCCAAGTTCTTATTAATCACACAGGTTTCCTGTTTACACCTTTGGAGGGAAATTGTACAGAAGGAGTGCTAAGGTTCTATTTTAAGTGTGTTCATTTTGTTGCTCATTCAGCAATCATTGGGGAGGGCCCTGGGGCAACAGAAAAGACTGGGCCTGTGGAAACTAGAGTCTAGTGGGGGAAAGTTAGACCCATAAAAGCCATTTGATGTATGAGAGGCCCTGGGTTTGGAAAGTTTGGAGGTCAGAAAGTAATTTTCTATGAAAATTAAAAACATCAAAGTTAGCCTGCAAAGTTAGCCCTGCTGGCATGGCTCAGTGGCTGAGCATCGACCTGCAAACGAGGAGGTCACAGTTTGACTCCCAATCAGGGCACATGCCTGGGTTGCAGGCTCAGTCCCCAGTGTGGGGCGTGCAGGAGGCAGCAGATAAATGATTCTCTCTTGTCATTGGTGTTTCTAGCTCTCTCTCAGAGATCAATAAACAAACAAAACCAACATCAAAGTTAAGATCCCAGGCCACCAACCAAAAGCTAATTTTACCTTTCATATGACCAATGGTAAGTTAAATTTTATTGAGTCTTAGTAAGCCCCAGAGAGAATGCAAAGCCTTTAATTTATGTATGCTTTCAAAAGCCCTATTATAATTGGAAAGGGGACCTGGCCCTGAATGGGCTGCCTAGGCCCAGCCACTAGTGTGTGGATTCTTGACTTCATGCGGGAAAAATTTCTTAGTATGAGTCCAGATGTGTATCTGGCCTTTATGCAAACCTACGGACCTGTAAAGAACTTGTGTAAGAGCTTATGTGAGCCCAAAGTGATGACAATTGCCAGGAAGCAAGATCTCATAATCTTGTTAACTCTCATGTAATCCAATACTGCCTTGCTTTCTTCCCCCTCAAGTAAAGTTCTTTAATTTCCTTTATGAATTTCAAATGCACAAAGGAAATGGCAAAACTGTCATTCTTGGGATTACAGGATAGTTAACTGCAAAAGCAAGGTTACGTGCTCTTTTGAGGGTGGTTGCTTCTTTCTGGAGGGTTTGTAAAGAGTGGATTACTCTGGCATTTCAAAGATGTGTTACCTAGATGCACAAGAACAATGGACTGGGCTGGCTTGAAGCAAAAGACAAACCTTGTACTAAAAAAGTTATATGTCTGGGGAGTGATTACCCACCATGATCAGATCAGATCACCTGGAAGGTTATTTTCCTTAGAATCCTTTTTTGTCTACAGCCTGTACTGCCCTCCCCTGACAATGGGGTCACCCCCAAATGCCCTCCCCTGCATATTCCCTCTTTATTAGATAGGTTTTTTTGTTTTTTGTTTTTTTTCTTGAACATATTAGATAGCCCTAACTGGTTTGGCTCAGTGGATGGAGCGTAGGCCTGTGGACTAAAGGGTCCCAGGTTCAATTCCTGTCAAGGGCATGTACCTTGGTTGGGGGCGCATACCCAGTGGGGAATGCGCAGGAGGCAGCTGATTGATCTTTCTCTCTCATAGATGTTTTTAGCTCTCTATCCTTTTCCCTTCCTCTCTGTAAAAAATCAATAAAAATATATTTTTAAACAGAAATATTTAAGATTCCTCCTTATCTACCTGGCTGGTGTGACTCAGTGGTTGAGACCCTAGGTTGCCGCTGCTGGGAGGAGGATTGCACCATGGGGGTGCGCGCCCCTCCCGGGCTGAGACCCCCTCCCTTCCTTAATTCCCAATGCATAAAGGCAACTACACAACTCTCACTTTGGGGAGCATTTGAGATCTTGCTTCCTGCCAATTTTGTTAGTTTTGGCTCAAATGCATTCTTATACATTTTTTTTCTACTTTGTTATTTTTCACTGACTGGATAAAGTTATATCCACACCCGTTTTTATGCCATATAGAGCTAAAATATCTTCATATTAGAAGACCAAGCTCATCAGTTGGTTGGATTCCACTTGAATTAGGGACAGCTATAGGCTGTGCAATCTGAAGTAACACAGCCAATGTTAAGCCATGCTTACAGACCATGTAATGAATTACCAACCTTAATAAAGCAGTACACTGAGGCAAGCTCACACAAGCAGAAAGTGAGTTTACTGGAGAATAGCGGAGTGATTGTGATTTCTGGAACACATGCTATAGCAAACTACAGGCAAGTTCACTGAGGGTTTGGGACAGCCTGTATTTGTGGGTAGGGTGTGCCTTGAGGGGGAAGTCCACCCAGAGTCCAAGCAGTAAGTTCATTGGCTTTGTTACAGAGAACCAGAATAAACCAAGCAATGCTCGGAGAGTTGGAGTCACACTTTATTCACCTAGGTGGGCTCAGAGAAAATGAATTCAAACTCTAAGCAAAGCTACAAGCAGAACTTCCTTTTTTATTAAAGAGCCAGTCCTATTGTGCTTAGTGGTTATTTCATTGCTGGCCTTGAAAACACCCCAGTTTTTTCCAATTAAAAAATGCACCTGGCATGGCATTGAGAGTATGGGCGTATCTAGTCTTTGGCCAACAAGGTCAGACAGCTAAGTTTATCTTCCTTATTATTACTCAAGCAGGCTAAAGCATTCTGGAAAGCAAAGGTATTATTATTATTATTATTATTATTATTGTTATTATTTTAAGAATAAGAGGCCATCTAAAAAATAGAGAATTCCAAACAGTAGTTTTACAAAATAGGGGTTAGCCTTTTCAGCTTGAGGATGGGAAAAAATTCTTTTTTTAAAAAAAAAATATATTTTATTGATATTTTACAGAGAGGAGGAAGGGAGAGAGATAGAGAACTAGAAACGTCGATGAGAGAGAAACATCGACCAGCTGCCTCCTGCACACCCCCAACTGGGGATGTGCCCGCAACCAATGTACATGCCCCTGACCGGAATCGAACCCGGGACCCCTCAGTCCACAGACCGAAGCTCTTCCATTGAGCCAAACCGGTTTCGGTGGGAAATAATTCTTGGCAGATGTTCACTGGTCAGGAGATAAGTCTCAGTCTTCCGTAAATCAGGCATTTACAGGAAATCTCAGTTAAGTTCTATTCTCCATTTAATATCTTCTGGTCCCATGTTATATTGGAATTTTTTTTTTGAATTTATTTTTTGACAGAAGCTTGTTGAGGTTGCATGTCCCCTCTGAAACTCTTGCCAGCTCCCTATGAAATCTAGCCATTGTGGGACTTGATGACTGAGAATTTTGAAGTTTGAGAGCTTGATATTCCCTCTGTAGGATTATGCTGTCAGATTTAAAAATGATTTATAGCAGAATTAAAGGAACACATCAGTTATATCTTTACTTCCTTGCTAGAGTTTTTGCATTTAGGGATCTTTCGCTAAGATGAGATTATGAACCAGTAAACTTTGTGAATATTTTTGTGTTCACATTTGCCTTATTGGCGTCTATGTTGTCTGTAATAGAAGCCAGTAAACGCTTGGCCTGTTTGGGGCTGGTCTTGCCATTAGTAATCACACTACCTAAATATATCTTGCCTACCTGAACTGCTGTGGTTACACTGATTTCTCACTTAACTGAAATGTAAAAATAACGACACTCTCTGTTCAGTCCCAGAAATCCTGGATCGAAGGTGTGTTCGACAAGAGAGAATGTAACAAAATCATACCCAGTTCCAAAGACCCTCACAGGTACAATTTTTAATTCCATTTTTTTTTTTTAAGTAACTCTACTTGGAGGACTATTTGTGAAAACTTAAGAGATATGACTTGTTTAAAGGGTTTGAGATCTATAAAGTTAGTCCTAATTCTTAGGTGATGTTTGTTTGTCTTTATAAAAATAGTACGTGATTATTAGAGAAACCTGCTAAGAACAGGAATTGCCAATTTTGTACCTCTTGCCAATCCCAGGGCTTATTGACAGTGCTTGCTAGATAATAGGCTTCTGAAAACATCTGTTTAATGACTGAATTAAATATAGAGAAACACATTCATCCTAATGACATCACCCTGAAAGAGCCACTGTTAATATTGTGGTAGATTTTCATGTTTTGTTTTTTATGCTCCTGTTCCTCTTAGGCGGGGGGGGGGGGGGGGGGGGGGGGGGATAGAGTTTAGGAAATACCTTGTGTTTACATCTATTCCATTGGGTTTGGCTAAAAATTTACAACTTCTGAATATTGAATATTCAAATTTTTGTGCATGTCCTTTACCCACCACTAAAGTGTCTGTGGGAACAGTAACTGGGATATTTCAGGACACTGTTCTCAGCTTACAGTATACAAATAGTTAATTGCAGCTCCATTTTTCTCCCATAGGCTTTTTGCTTGAGCAGATAATGGGCAGCAGAATAAAATGACTAGAGTTTGAAATGACTGAATTAAATATAGAGAAACCGAGTTCTTGATAACCCTTTGGAAGATACATTGCTAGGACAAAATTCAAAACAGTAGCTAGTGAAACATAGGGGCAGGATGGGTTACAAAACATCTCCTAGTGTGGTTAGGTCCTTGAAATAAGATAGCATGTTATTGTCCTTGGAAAAATAAATTACTAAACAAAAAAGAAGAGCAGTCTGGTTGACCTTTGAACAATGTGGGGGTTATTTGCACTGATCACCTGTGCTGTCTAAATGTCTAACTTTTTTAAGATATATTTTTTATTGATCTTTAGAGATGAGAGAGAGAGAGAGAGAGAAAGAGAAACGAGCCCAAAACCCAGCCCACAAACATTGATTTCCTGTTCAATGCATGTTCAAGGCATGCATTGATCAGGAAATCAAACTGGCAACCTTTTGGTACATACAATGATGTCAAACTAAATGAGCCACACTGGCCAGGGCAAAATGTATAACTTTTGACTCTCTTAAATCTTAACTTCTCTCACCATCTGAGGGAGATTGATTCCAGGATCCCTTTGGCTATCAAAATCTGTGGATGCTCTAGTCCCTTATATAGAACTAGTAGCCCTGCATACGAATCTCTGCACCAGTAGCTCGCTGCCACCCTCTAGTAACTCTCCACCCACTGCCCCGCCCCCATAGCTTGCTGCCCTATCCTCCTGCTGATCTGTGATCCCATCATTAAGTTTCACAGTGTAACAACCATTTGCATATTATATCTTTATTATGTAGAATGGCATAGAACAGTGAATGTAATTGGCCTTCCTCATTTACGGGTTCCCAGCCTTGTATCAAAAATACTGTTGAGCCTGGCTGGTAGAGCTCAGAGGTTGAGCATCATGAACCAAGAAATTGCTAGTTTGATTATCATTCAGGGCACATGCCCAGGTTTCAGACTTGATCCCCAGTCATGCAGGAAGCAGCTGATGGGTGATGTTCCATGGAAGATAACAGATATTTACTGTTTAAGCATTAAATATGTCCTCAAATACATCCATAAACTATAACAGATATTATTTCTTTAATATAGATGTACTGCAGGATGCCAGGTCTGCCAGAATTTAATCAGGTAAGACAGATAAATAAGATTTCTTTTAATTTTTAGGCACTGTGTTTCAAATTCATTGGAATAGTTTTCACACATCTTGAATGGACTCAATGAAAGGCTTAACTGGTGCATTTTATTTCCTTTCCAAGGAAAAATTTAAAAATGAAATATGAGATATTTTTGAAGGAGTGTGAATGATTATTTGAATGTAATAGGTTACTTGAATTACCCAGAAATGTAAAATGGCTAAAGGCCCTTGATAAGAGCTTCTACCAATTGAAGTACTTATAAAGCATTACGTTTTCATTTTATTACCTTGCTTTTTATTTGGATAATGAAGGTGCTTTGTGCACATACAACACTGTCTTTAATTTATGACTCGAAAGTGATGTATGTGTCTACCAGGCTCCAAGTCTGACACTAATTCTGATGTCTGTTTTTTCCAACACCAAGTGTCAGATCCCACAGGTTAAGAGCTCAAGACTACTCCCTGCCTCCTACTCGCCACTTCAAATGCCAATTGAAAGTCTAAATTGTCAGTGCTTTGATGGCTGGGCTATAGATCGGAAGTTCCCAGGACCCCCTCCACAATTCAGTTAATTTACTAGAGTAGTGTACATGACTCAGAAACATTTACTTAAGTTTACCAGTTTATGATAAAGGATATTATAAAGAATACAGATGAACAACCAGATGGAAGATATGCATATGGCAAGTTATATGGGAAGGAGCACAGAGCTTCTATGTGCTCTCCAAGTGTGCCACTTTCTCAGCACCTGCACATATCCACCAACCCAAAGCTCTCTGACCCCATCCTTTTGTTTTGTTATGGATGCTTCATTACCTGGGCATGATTGATCAAATCAGTGGCCACTGGCGATTGAGTCATCTTGCAGAATCTTTATCACTCCTTCCATGTAGGTTGCAGAAGCTCTGTGCCCATATATATTGGAGATTTTTAGTTTTTAGTTTTAATTATTTTATTATTATTATTATTTAAAAAAATATATATTTTATTGATTTTTTACAGAGAGGAAGAGAGAGGGATAGAGAGTTAGAAACATTGATGAGAGAGAATCTTCGATCAGCTGCCTCTTGCACACCCCCTACTGGGAATGTGCCCGCAACCAAGGTACATGCCCTTAACTGGAATCGAACCTGGGACCTTTCAGTCTGCAGGCCGACGCTCTATCCACTGAGCCAAACCGGTTTCAGCTGTTTTATTATTATTTTAAATATATATATACTTATTGATTTCAGAGAGGAAGGGAGAGGGAAAGAGATAGAAACATTAATGGTGAGAGAGAATCATTGATTGGCTGCAACCTAGGCATGTGCCCTTGACCAGAATTGAACCTGGGACCCTTCAGTCCGTAGGCTGACACTTTATCCACTGAGCCAGCTTAGGGCTTTAATTATTTTATTAATTTTTAATCCTCACATGGTGGGGTGGGGGGGGAGGGTAGAAGGGGAAAGAGAGTGAGAGAAGGAGGGAAGGAAAGAGAAACATCAATGTGAGAGAGATGGATGGATTGGTTTCTTCCTGTCTGAGCCTGAAACTGAGGTCCACCGTGGCCTTGATCGGGAATTAAACCCACAATCCTTTAGTCCATAGGCCAATGCTCCATTCACTGAGCCAAACTGGCTTGGGCTCAGTATTCTTTTAAAACATTCTATGAACCATTGTAATGTGCAGCTAAGGAAGTGAACCATTGAGGGTGTTCTAAACTTAGAAGATTATCCAGTGTGAAAAGATCCAATATATATCTTAATGGAACATTTAAAAATTATTAATGTCTGTCGCCTATACATTGCATTAGAGAAATGTGGAAACATTACATCTATTTTCTATTCTGATATTGTGTTCTATTTTGAAATGTGTTTTGTTTTTGTTTTTCCCCCCCAAATTTAAGGTGTTACTGTGGGCGATTGATTGGAGATCATCTTGGAATAGATTATAGCGGGACCATGTCAGCTGCCAGTGGTGGTGACAAAGAACAATGGTCTGTTGAAAAGCACACAACAAAAAGCCCTACAGATACCTATGGTACTATTAACTTCCAAGATGGCGAGCACATCCACCATGCCAAGGTTGGTTCATAACCCACATCATATTATTAGTTTCTCACAGAGGATATAACCTCCACATTTTATCTCCTAATTATATCACCAAGTGTAGAGGATCAGATGACCAGGTTTTATTGCAAAGTAGATCCATGTTATTAGCCGCTTGACTTGACCCTTCTTTTTCCTTTATGTCTGAGAGGCATTCTTCCTTTCCCAAGTGTGGTATGGCCAGCTCTTTTTTGGATTGAGCTCTCTCAGCAAGCTTATGTCCTCTGTGGAAGATAGCTTATTGCTCTTGAGACGGTTGCCAAAAGGCTGCTCTTATGGAATGCAGAAAGTTACTACCAAACAGTAGGCATTAGCTGAAGCATGGTCTTAGCAATTATTACTAACACTAGAGGCCTGGTGCACAAAATTCATGCACGGGGTGTGTGGGGGTGTCCCTCAGCCCAGCTTGCACCCTCTCCAATCTGGCATATCCCTCTCACAATTCAGGACTGCTGGCTTCCACTGCTCACCTGCCTGCTGCCTTCCTGATTGCCCCTAACCGCCTCTGCCTGCCAGCCTGATCACCCCCTAACCACTCTCATGCCAGCCTGATTAATGTCTAACTGCTCCCTGCCAGCCTGTTTGCCTCCAACTTCCCTCCTCTGCTGGCCTGGTCACCCCTAACTGCCCTACCCTGCAGGGTTGATTACCTCCAACTGCCCTCCCTTATAGGCCTGGTCCCTCCCAACTGCTCTCCCCTGCTGGCCATCTTGTGATGGCCATCTTGTGTCCACATGGGGGCAGCCATATTGTGTATTAGAGTGATGGTCAATCTGCATATTACTCTTTTATTAGATAGGATGTGGTTAATCATGCCTGCTATGTCTTTGTGAGAGCCTTTTCTCAAGAAGAAAATGGGGGAATTTCTTTCTGCCCTGAATTCTAGTACTGGGCTCTTCAGGCCAATTTTTCTTGTGTTCCTAATATGGTAAATTTACCTGTGATTTGATAGTATTGACAGGTTAGCTATCTCCCAGATGTTTTCTCTTGAGCTTGTTAGCCACATGCTGGTTTATTAGAGGCAGTTTTCCCAGGAGGAAAGCTGGGTGGAGAGCCCACATCAGGAAAGCTCAGAATCAGCTGTATTCTGGAGTGTGACCATCAGTTTGGTGGGTTTGAAACAACAGTTCTTCACAGTGCAATCATAATATAGTTTCACCATAGAGTTCTATAGTTACCTGCATTTCCAGTTATGAACACTTTTGCATTTAACTTTGTGCATTTTCTTTAGCTGGCAGGAAAACTGCCTTAGTTCTCCTCTCCAATCCTTTTTGGAAGCTGATGCTTAATATGTATGTAATTACACTGTATATGATTTTTTAAATCCATTTGACAAATATTTACTGGGTGCCCATATTTTACTATGTCCCAGACAGCATGTGTTCCATGGACTAACATTGGTTTTGTTGGGGAGGAACAGCTTTCCCTCTACCTTCAAGGTTTTCTGGCGGGTCTAATAGTCAGATAAACATGAGACAAATCAGTAAGGGAAAATAATCAAATTTAATACATACTTATGTATGGGAATCCTGAATACACAACAGAGTCAGAGCCCCATAAGCAGGAGAGGCTAGAAAGGGTGATCTTGGTGTATAAGGACATCCTGAGCTAGGGATGAGGTAATGCATCCCCGGACTTCAACAGATCATGGCAGGGTGATAAGAAGAACAGACATTTAGTAATTAGAAGTTTGTCCTGCCCTATAGACAGCAGTTAAACGGAGGGGCTGAAGTTTTTCCTTGAGCCTGAAGCTAAAAGTTGCCTTTAGCTGAAAGTAATCTGCATACCACGGAGCCACATCTTGGGGTGGCCATTCTGAACCCCAGTCTAGTGAAGGAAACAGGAAATAAGTATACAATTACCACAGAGGGTGGGGATGCTTTGCAAAGGGAACACAGGTTATTTGAGGGAATAAGAAGGTTAACTCCTGCTTTTCTGAGGCTGTGGCCAGGAAGTCATCTGAAAGTAGGGACAGCTACACTGACACCAGAAAGATGAGTAGATAGATGTGGGGTGTGTGGTGAGGCTCCTGGGTAAGACCACTCCAGGCAGAAGCAATACCTTGTGCAAAGGCCAAAGTACATTTGGGAGAACTGAAACTATGATTAGACCCCCTGACCACGAATACATTTCACACTTAGCATTTGGCTCCTGTCCCATCCCATGGCAGCTGAGTGGGTGTTATTTGATCTCCAGAAGAGAAGTGTCTATTCTTTATATTTAAGCCCAGAATTGCCCTTGTTTACCGTGAGCAGCAGAGAAGTTTGGAGAGCTGGATTTTCATCTCCCTCCACTGCATTGGCCGTACCAGGTGTTTCTCCCTACCACCACATTCCACCAAGGCCGGGAGGTGAATCTTGGCCAGGCTGAGTCTACCTAACCTGGGAAAGGAGTTAGTTATCTAGGAGGAGGAGGGGAAAGAGTCATTAACCTTTAGCACAGTCTTTGGTTGGCCTTGGTGAGAAAGACTCTGGTGGCTGATAATTTAGTTAATCCAGGTTGTTTATCCTGAAATCTCAAGGAGAAATAGCTTCTAGGACTTATAGTGGAAAGGGAGGGACACCTGGGAGAACGTTGGGGTAGAAAAAAGGTGAACTAAACCAGATCTTCCCCCTCTGCCCTTATTCATTATTTGGAGAAACAAATCATTTCACGAAGGCCAACTTGTGGTGTCTTTTTCCTATTACTTTAATATGTAAGAAAGCCATGGCAATTCAGTCTTCTCACTTGTAAATTGAATCCTAGCTGTCCTTAGATTCTTTCTATGACCCTCATTCTGTGGAGGCTGCACCATCCTGATGTTCAGAAATTATAATATTTTAATTAAAACATAATAGGATTATGTTTTATGAATTTAAAAGATAAATGGAAAATTGTTTTAAATTGCTATCACATTCTGGAGGATAATGTGATAATTCTGATTTGTATATCCATCTGTGGTTATTTTTTATATAATTTTATTTAAAAAATATATTTTTATTAATTTCAGAGGGGAAGAGAGAGAGAGAGCAAGACACACACACACACACACACACACACACACACACACATTAAGTGATGAGAGAACTATTAATCAGCTGCCTCCTGCATGCTCCCTACTAGGTATCGAACCCACAACCTGGGCATGCACCCTGACAGGGAGTGGAACTGTGAGCTCCTGGCTCATAGGTTGATGTTCAAACACTGAGCCACACTAGCTGGGCTAATTTATGTTTCTTTATTGCCCTGCTTTCTTCCTGTAAATCTGACTTATTCTTGCTGTTGGTTAGATCTTTCTCATCTTTTCTTTCAGTTACATTGGCTAATCAAAAATATGACACTTTTGTAAAAAGTATTTATTTTGGGATAATTATATATAAAGGAAATGGTTAGAATGTATAATTTATAAGAAGTTAAATGTGGCCCCAGCTGGTTTGGCTCAGTGGATAGAGCTGTGGCCTGTCAACTGAAAGGTGCCAGGTTTGATTTGGGTCAAAGACACATGCCCAGGTTTCGGGTTCAATCCCCAGTAAGGGGCGTGCAGGAGGCAACAGATAAATTATTCTCTCATCATTGATGTTTCTATCTCTCTCTCTCCCTCTCCATGTCTCTCTGAAATAAATAAATAAAATGTTAATAAACAACTTAAAAAAAATTAAATGTGCATGCTCATGGATCTTAATTTAAATTATGCAAATATATGAGTCAAGTAAATTACAAGCAATAGCATTTATGAAAAATCCTATTTCACTTATTTCTTAAAACTATCATTTTGTTTTGTTTTTGTTAATCCTCACTGGAGGATATTTTTTCCCTTGATTTTTAGAGAGAGTGGAAGGGAAGAGTGAAGGGGGTAGGGAGAAGAGGGAGAGAGAAACATCAATGTGAGAGAGATACATTGATTGGATGCCTTCCGCACACGCCCTGATCAGGGCTGGGGATTGAACCCATGACCCTTGGGTGTGCAGGCTGATGCTCTAACCATTTAGCAACACCAACCATGACTAAAAACTTTTTTTAAGCACGTTTGCTGGGGTAGTGATTTTTGCCACTTTGAAGTATTTCTGCCTCACCTGAGACCTTCTGAGAACATTGGTGGGCCAACCTTGAAAAACCAAAGGAAGCCTTCCCACTGTGACTTGTAATTCCCAGAAGGAACTGAAAGGGTGTGTGGGCTCTGTGCAGAGTAAATATTTCCAATATGTGAAGATGAACTTTTGAAGAGATCTCAGACCCTGCCTTTCATGTTCTGGTTATTTTAATTGCCTTTCTATGTGTTTATTATTACCTGGCATGTGTTTCTCACTATTTTATACACATGTGCTTATCTTCCAGTATATTAGAACTTCTTTTGATACAAAGTTGGATCACCTGTTACATTTGATGTTGGAAGAGTGGAAGATGGAATTGCCAAAGCTGGTGATCTCTGTCCACGGGGGCATCCAGAACTTCAAGATGCCCTCCAAACTCAAAGAGATCTTCAGCCAGGGTCTGGTCAAGGCTGCGGAGACAACAGGAGCGTGGATAATAACTGAAGGCATTAATTCCGGTGAAGTACACTCCCTTGTTACACATCTTTTTTTCAACTCCCTCTTTCTAACTGTGAATCAAGCAGTATGACAGCTCATGTCCACTCTGCAGTGCTCCCAGGATGTGGTGGCATGATGGAGAAAGATGAAAAGCATAGTGACTGGCAAAGTAACCCAGAAGAATCCTAGACCTTTCTTGGAATGTGTTTTTACTATTGTTAAAACACGCTATTTTTATATAACGTTGGGTAAGAGTTTCTGGTAAAAAGAAAATGGGTTTCCAGACTATGGAGAGGTTAAAAAGAATATGGAATCAACACAAGTAGGTAGTGTGTGGGCATGGACATGAGATAAACTCACCATGGTCAAGTTCTAAGGCAATGGAAATCAGTGAGGTGTGCAGCAATTGCATTGAGTGTATTGGTCACACATGGAGATAATGAACTCCACAATTGTCCTTTCACTCACTGTCTCCATCACTGACTCTTTCATATTCCTTGAACTCTGATATTCAAGAACTTTTTATAGTAGTCTCTGAACCTCTAACCCTACTCCTTTGCATCATAATTGTGAACTTCCTTCACATTGGAGACTCACTTGGAGGCTTTAAAAAATACAGATGCACAAACTTGACCCCAGATTAGAGTTTTTCAGGGTGGAGCTTCCTAAATGTGTCTAATGTGCAGCCAGGGCTGAGAACTTGCAACTTTACTAACCTTCTCTGTCAACAATCATTTGTTATGATTCTGGCATGGGTTCTGAGATCTGGGTTCTTTCTCAACACATTCTTTGACACCAGCTGGGTGTCCCATAATTCAACTCAATTCTGACACTATCTGGAAACAGCACTAGATTCCACAGGCTAAAGGCTCAGGCCCGCAAGACTGTCCCCGTTTCAGATCCCAATCATAAGTCCAGGTTGTTACCTGTAGCTCTGACCAACTTGCTGTAAATCAGAGGTTCCCAAGGCACACTTCTTTGGTTCACTTAATTTGCTAGAGTGGATCACAGAATTTAGGAAACCAGTTTACTCACTAGATGATTACCAGTTTATTATTAAAAAAATATAATGAAGAATCCCTTTCAGTCTCTACCCCCTCCAAAGTTAACCATTATGTTGACTTCTAACACCATGATTAGTTTAGCTTGGTTTTATATAAATGGAATTATAGGATGTGTACTAATATATCTGTATATATGACCTAGGACTAGCCAGGTGGGAGAGATGCATAGGGCATGGTATGTGGGGGGAGGGGCAAAGAGCTTCCATACCCTCCCCTCTTCTCCACATGTTTTCCCACTGGAAGCTCTTTAAACCCTGGCCATTTGGTTTTTATGGAGGCTTCATCACATTGGCATGACTGATCAAATCATTGGCCATTGATGACTGAATTAATCTCAGCACTCTACCATCCCTGGAGGTCAGGGGGTGGAACTGAGAGTTCCAGCCCTCTAAACGCTTGGTTGGTTCCCCTGGCAAACAGCCCCACCCTTTGGTGCAGTCCAAAAGTCACCTCATTAACATACCTTGGTTGCTCTCATCACTTAAGAATTTCCAAGTGTTTAAGGAGCTCTGTGTCAGGACTGTATTTCTTATTATGAATCACAGTATCACAGCATGGTTTTTCATTTTTCTTTTACTTCTTTCTCTTCTGATTTTGAGACTATAAGATTGGGAAGACTAATGAAATAATTTGTATGAACAAGGAAATGAGAAATGCGACATACTTGGAGCTTCCTTAAACAATAACTAGGTTCCCCCTGGCTTGATAGTCAGTTGGCTAGTCATCCTGATGTGCCAAGGTTTTAGGTTCACTCCCTGGTCAGGACACATGTAAGAATCAACCAATGAATACATAAATACCATGTTTCCCCAAAAATAAGACATCCTCTGAAAATAAGACCTACTTACAGCTTTCCTTCTGAGTAAAATATAAGGCATCCTCTGAAAATAAGGCCCCCCCAGGCTAAATATGAGAGATTTGGTCCACTGATTCTGAAAGAAATGGAGTCACAAGAAATTCACCAGGAAATTCAGGAATTGGATTGTTATAATGATGTTCCAGAAGATGATGACATGATTGTCATTGAATAAATGAGTAAATTCTTGATACTGTAGGATTCTCAGTTTGTCTGCTTTGTGTTGACAACTACCATACTACCATACTGTATACAGGTAATAAATTTCCTTTATTTTCATTTAACAATAAATGTGTACTATATTCTTCTTCATGAGAAAAAAAAACAAAAAAACAAAACCCTGAAAATAAGACCTACTGCATCTTTGGGAGCAAAAATTAATATAAGACACTGCCTTATTTTCGGGGAAACAGGGTAAGTGGTTGTAATAAGTAGTTCTCTCTCTTAAGAAAAATCAGGTTTTCTGGTTTGGATTCCAAGCTCTACAATTGCAAGCTTTATAACTTTGAGCTAATTACTTAACTTTTTTGTGCCTTAATTTTTATCTATAAAATTGACTAAAGTACAAAGAAAGTTTCTATTTAAAGTGTAAATACATGTAAAACACTTAAAAAGAAAATCTGGTACATAGTAAGAGTTGGCTGTTATGATTATTGCTACTAGTAATCCCAGAAGGGCAAACATTAATGTACTAGAGGCCCAATGCACATAATTCGTGCAAGTGTAGGCCTTCCTTTCCCCAGCTGCCAGCACTGGCTTCCCTCTGGCACCTGGGACCCGGATTCCCTCACAGCCCTGGCTTTGTCTGGAAGGTCATCCCATCCGGAAAAACATCAGTCTAATTAGCATATTATGCTTTTATTATTATAGATTAGCTCTGGAATCTTTGTGTATATAAAACTATTAAAAATTTGGCTCAATGAAGCACAGGACAAATCTGAAGAATGTTTTACTGGGACATTGCAGAAGGTTAGAGAAGAAAAAATCCTTAGAGCATTTATGATTTCAGGGCTGGGCTTTGCAGGACATTCTGGTCAGACACGTGTGGGGGCATAACATAACCGAGGTGGTAAGCAGAAACTGCTCATAGGGAGAGGAGAATTGTTCAGGTAAAGAGGTCAGTGAGAGGAATAAGAGGTGTCAAGAGGGAGCAGAGGAAGTCAAGGTACAGAACCTAATTCCACTGTGTCAACAACTTTTCCTAAAATGGCCTTTCGTACAATTTGTCTTTTTCTGGGACTCATGGTGTTTTGTTCATGATTTGTGAGTTAAAGCTTAACTTCTAAACTGGTTGTTCATAGGAGTGTCCAAACATGTTGGGGATGCCTTGAAAGCACACTTCTCTCAGTGCTTGAGAAAAATCTGGACGGTTGGAATCCCTCCGTGGGGTGTCCTTGAGAACCAGAGAGATCTTATTGGAAAAGATGTAAGTAGACAATCCTTTCACTACAAAAGGAAATGGACATGTGTCCAGTTGCCAACCTAGCTCTATACCTGTATATCTAATGGACATCTAGAATGTAATATGTTCAAAACCAACTCCTGGCCTCCTCCTGCCTCCCTTACCCTACCTTCGAAAATGACAAGCCCATCCCTGCAGTTGTTTAAGGAAAAAACCTTGGGCTCATCCTGGAATGATCTCTGTTTCATGCCTCAAACTGGATCGATCAGTAAATTATCTCAGCTTTAAGTTAAAAATATATCCAGAATCTGACCTCTTCTGTTACTGAGCAGGTCCAAGCTACCATTTTCTGTCACCTGGATGAATATTAAAGCTTTCTCTACTTCCCTTCTTATCTCTTATCACAGTCTATTCTAAACACAGTAGTCAGGATGATTCTTCTAAAATATAAACTAGATCATGCTGCTCTGTGAAAAATCCTTCAGTGGATTTAGTCTCATGCAAAGTTAATAGCCAGGCTTCCTGCTGTGATGTGCATGTAGTGAAATAAGGGACATCAAGATTTGGCCCTTCTCTTCTCTCATCCCATACTATTCTCTGCGACATTCATTCCTGTGTATTGATTCTCTGGTTCCATTAGTTTGTTTTTCTAAAGAGAATAGACTTATCTAATTAGGTTTATGACTAATGGATATTTTGGGTAAGAATCTCAGATATTACAGAAGGTCTGAAGAAGAAAGATAACTCCTGTTAATGCCTTGGTGTGTATTATTCCATATGTATATATGTGCATATGTATAGTAAAAAAAGTTTGTATGTAAAATAAGTAATAATAGAAACCCACTACTATGAATCTGTTTTTTAGCTTAACTGTTTAGCATAGTTATTTTTCTATGTCAATTAATATAGACATACTTATGGTTTATTTTAATTTCCGTTTTGGAAAATTTAAACATATTGAAGAGTAGATAGATTAGAATAATGAACCCATATATTCCCATCTCCTGGCTTCAACTTATGAACTTATAGTCAATTATATTTCATCTATTTCCTTATCTTCTCCACACCTCCTTTCTCTGTTATTTTAAAGCAAATTCCTGATATTAAATAATTTCATTGGTAAATATTTTAATGGGTATTTCTAAAATATGTGGACAACTTGAAATATAGTAATCATATTACCATGATCAAACTAAAAATTAACAATAATTCCTGAATATCATAAAATATCCAGTCTGTGTTCAAGTTTCTGATTGTTTCATAATTTTTTAGTTATTTGATTTCATTATCCAAAAAAGTTCTCTGCACTGTGATGGGTTGATAAGTCTTTGAGTCACTTATTTGTTTAATTGAGTCACTTTAAATCACCTTTAATCTATAAATTTTCCCCTCCATCTCCTTTTTATTTTACTTTTTTTGGTAAATTTATTTGTTGAAGACACTGGGTCATCTGTCCTGAAGTTTCCCATAATTTGGACTTTGCAGATTTAACATCTTATAGAAGGGTTTAGTCTGTTTCTCTGTTTCTTATAAATTGGTAGTTTGATCCAAAGATATGATCAGATTCAGGTTCTATTTGTGCAAGTTTACACAAGAGGAGATGTGTCCTTCCCTGGTAGCATATGATATCTTGTTTTATGATGTCATTGCCTACATTCATTATTTCAATAGGGTTGCAAAATGCTTATATATATATTATATTGTTCTTTCTTCATTTATTAGATTGAACACTCCATAGAGAAGAACATTTTATTATTAGTCATAGTTTACCTTGTGGTACACTTGTATAGAAGGGGGTAGAATAAATGCTTGACTCTTTCTCTTTATTTAACAGTTTATAAAACAATAAGTTTGTTATCTACCATCCTCCAAGGTGAGCCATATATAGATATAGATACATATTTTTTTAATTCATGAATTTAAACATCTTTAATATATTTCAATCCATTATAGTTATTATTCTTAGTCATGCTCAAATTGTCTCCTTTTGCCCAGTGGATCCTTTTTGAGTTGTCTCTGCAGTTCTTTTAACAAAAATAATTCTAGTCATTTTTCACAGGATTTTTAAAAAATATGTCAACATATTATTCTTTTTGTTTGTTTTTTAGATTTTTTTTTATTGTTTGAAGCATTACAAATAGTAGTACATATGTCTCCCCCCCCCCCCCCCCTTTATTCTGGTATAGATCATGTTTTCTGGACAATGATATAATCTGTGTAAAGATGCAGATTCTTGAACTGTTTTTTCAATCTTCTGAAGCAAGGTAAGTACTAAATTGAAAAGAAATACTCAGAGCCATTTTTAGCAATGTGGCAGTCCTGTGACATCCAAGCACATGGTCAATGGGCTTATCTTGCTGAGCAAGGGGTGTGCTCATGCTATTGAATTTGCATCATTGAGTCTCATGAGCAGAACTGCATACTAGTCACACATAGTAGGACATATCAGTCAATAAAAAAAATGGGAACATTTATTTATTTATTTATTTATTTATTTTATTGATTTTTTACAGAGAGGAAGGGAGAGAGACAGAGAGCTAGAAACGTCGATGAGAGACACCGACCAGCTGCCTCTTGCACACCCCCTACTGGGATGTGCCCGCAACCAACGTATAATACATGCCCCTGACTGGAATCGAACCTGGGACCCTTCAGTCCGTAGACCGACGCTCTACCACTGAGCCAAACCGGTTTCGGCAAAAAAATGGGAACTTGTAAAAACACATAATTTGATCCTTCCCCACAGATAGCTTGAAAAGCACTGTTCTTGGTAGCAAATTGTGCTTTTTAACCTCAACAAGAACTAACCTCTGCAGTGCAATGAGACAGGCCTTTGGAGCAGCTGAACTGAGGGAAGGACCTTGACCTCTGACCCTCCCTTGTCCTTGCAGGTGGTGTGCCTGTACCAGACCCTGGGAAACCCCCTCAGCAAGCTCACTACCCTCAACAGCATGCATTCCTACTTCATCCTGTCCGATGACGGGACCGTGGGCAAGTATGGGAATGAGATGAAGCTCAGGAGGAACCTGGAAAAGTACCTCTCTCTGCAGAAAATACACAGCTGTGAGTACCACAGGGGTCCAGCCAACAGGTCCTGCTGTGGAGCTGGCTGCTCCATTGCCATCTGTACAGAGGGGAGAGGTCCAAGGCAGCCCCTGCCTTAATGTGTGTGAGCCACAACCAGGAGAAAACAGGATGTGTGGTGGTACAGAGCTGTGAGTGACAGTTGGGAGAAAGGAAAAATACAAAGTATTTTATGAGGGACAGTATAGACCCGGGGGGTTTTGTGGAAGACTGGGGACTTTAGCAAAGCATCCAGGAATCCTTAGGGTTGGATGCATGGAGGAAGAAAGGAGCGAATGGGATTAGCTGAAGAGCAGGAAGGAGACTGGCCTGAGAAGACCAGAGGTGTGAGCTTTTGATACTCAGGGGAGATGACATTTTATATGTGGATAGGGTTGCCCCAGACAGGAAAGAGGTTGAAATCAGACAGAGAGCTTAGAAATAGGAACCATAGAAGGTATCCATACTGTGTCCTGCTCACAGTGGTGCTTTGAGATGGCCATTTGGTAGTGTCAACAGGAGGGAGAGGTGAGCGAGGGCCACATTCGGCGAGCATCCTAGAGTGGAGAGGTGGGAGTCCTTGCAGGGAGGAGGAGGGCTGGGTGCTGCCTGCAGAAATGGAGACGTTTTGTTCAAGGCGGCAGAAGGTAGGATGCTGCCTCTTTGATGAGTTAAATCTTCCACAAAACACTCCACATTTTGGGGCAGAGGGCCAGGGAGCAGGAAGGCCTCAGTGGGCACAAATCATCTTCAGCCTTTGACTTTTGGCTGGGAAAGGCTGAAGTCTTTTTGAATTTGGGGTCTTGATCCCCTGAGGCAGCAGAATTTAGTGAGGTCAGACAGATCAAAGCTCTGTCATTTATTCCCTGTAACCTTGGACAATATTGTGTTCTTAACATAAAATGCAAGGAACTCTCCACTTCTGCCTTTTGTGGGGAATGTTAATGGAGATAAAATTGTGTTAGATGTACCTTTAATGGTGCTGGATACATAGTATGTCCTCAATAAATGTCTGTTCCTCTCTCTCTCTCTCTCTCTCTCTCTCTCTCTCTCTCTCTCTCTCTCTCTCTCTCCTCCCCCCCTTTCTTTCCTTTCTCTCCTTTCTTTTTCTTTTTTAGTCTCTAAACCAAGAGCACAGGAATTTTTACTTGCAACTACACACCCAAGGCCAGTGTCTGTTTCTTTCTTTGCTTTTATCTTTCTTTCGTAGAGGGATAATCTCCTAGTTGGAGTGGGAGTCATGCAAGGGACTGTGGAAATTGTGCCCACTTAGAGCTTAGTGTGAATGAAGGCTGGAGGCTCCTTTACCATTAGGTCAGGAAAGGGGAGAGAGGATCAGGAGTGTGGCCCTCTGTGGGGTGGGGGTGGATAGGGGAAGGGAGAGCCACAGAGACAAGGACAGGTCAGGGATTGCCCTGAAAAGATCTGAAATATCAGTTAGCTGGAATGTCCTGTTGTCCCTATTGACCTGTGTTCACCACAGAAATTGTTCGGGGGTCTGTATAGCACTATAATGTATGCCCAGGAGAGCAAAGTCTTTGTCTTTCTTATTTCCTACTGATTTCCCATTTGAGGGCGAGTGAAAGCAACCACTTACAAATACTGGCAAGGAACATTCATGCTTTCAAAGACTTTGAAACTTCAGGTTTATTAGGAGTGTTTCAGTGTTTGTGCAGGAAGAATGTGGAGTCAATTTCAGTGGACTGTAACATTTATAAATTCTACGGAGAACCAATATTAAAACAGCAAAAATAGTAAGCCATCAACACACGCCACACACACACACACCAAACAAACACACACACACACACACACACACACACACACACACACACAGATGGGAGGAAGGAAGGAAGATAAAAGCCCTTAACAAATACCAAATTCCTACTTATCAAAGCTGATTTTTATACCTATCATTATCACTAAGAAGGCTTTCTATTATATTTGTCATTGATGTGATTAAAAAGGGATTTACTTGGATAGAATGAAAATACTTAAATATTTGGGTGATTTTTAAATCTTTTTTTTTTAAAGCTGGGCTTCTTGGCATCCATGCTAAATCATTGACATTGGCAGAAAGCACTTACCAAAAAACAACAACAACAACAACAACAACCCAACCACAAACAAATAAATAAGTAAATAAATAAAAAAGATTTACTGAAGTAAAAAGTTGCTATAGGAATCCCTGGGTTCAGCCATTTGAGATGTGGCTATCATCAGTTCCTGTTTTTTAAGCTTCTAGGACAGATCGGAGGCCTTGGCATCTCTTTACCATCCTTTCCTGGAATGGCTGTTCCAGGAGTTTTTAATTTGAGGCCAAATATTGTATTTGGATGTCCCCCCAAAATGTATACACTCTTTGAATAATTATAAAAGCAGTGTTTATTAAAGTACGTTTCATTTTCAAAATGTAAGAGTGTGTTACATTTTTGGGGATACCCCATATATACACTCATGTATATGGTTCTAGAAATATAAATTGGATCATACTATGCATTTTATTTCATAACTTTTGTTGACTTAATACTTGCAAAAAAGAATGACTCCAAAGTATTTCTTTTTTTTGTCTTCTTTACTTTAGTGAAGTAATATAGTCATGATAAGAAATTCAAATAGTGAAAAATGTAATAAATTGAAATGTAAAAGTCTTTACCCTTTCCATCTTGTTCACAGAAATAACCACCATTAAAAGTTGATTGAATTGGCAAAATGTTGATTATTTTTGAAGGTTAATGATGGGTATATTGGGATCCATTATATTATTTTGCTTTCTTTCAGATAGGTTTGAAATTTTCTACTATAAAAAGTTTTAAAATTTCTTGAAGACTACTTATTTTTAAAAAATTACTGAAAGCCTTTAGCTATTTTTTTAAGCCAGAGAAAGCTTGACGATACCATGTTTATTTAAAGTCCAAGCTTCTGCTTGTCTTGGACTTCGCAGGCCTGAGTCAGAAAGAGAGAGGGGGTAGAACAGGTAACACATGTATGTGGTGACATTTCCAGTTGTGTCCGGAAATATAATGGCTGGTCGGCCAGGATAGGTTGCTTTGTAACAGTTTTGTATTGTTTTTCATCTGAAATAGGCTCAAGACAAGGCGTGCCCCTGGTGGGGCTGGTGGTGGAAGGAGGTCCCAATGTCATCCTCTCGGTGTGGGAGACGGTGAGAGACAAGCACCCAGTGGTGGTGTGTGAAGGCACTGGCAGGGCGGCCGACCTCCTGGCCTTCACCCACAAGCACTTGGCAGATGAAGGGTAAGTGGTTGGCTCTCACTTCAGAAACTGCTGTGACTGTCCCTTCATTGTAGTTCTTTAAGCCCTGCTTTCACATGAGCCGGATATCCTTGGATGGCAGAGGCAGAGACTGGAATTCATTTTTCAGTGATTTTTGTATTTATTAACTAAAATGCACACCAGTGATACAAGTTGCTGTTTGCCTGAGCTTGAAGAATGGCCTGCCTCTAAGGTACGCTTGAGGCTTGTCTGAGCTCCTGGGAAAAGCATTTGCAGGAAGAGTTAGGGAAGAGATGCTTCTGCAAATGGTCGCTAAGGCTGAAAAATTCTTCAGTGAATGAGGAAACCATTATGACAAGATCACCTTCAAAGAAAATTGCAGGAATTGGAGAAATTAACACTCTGATGTTTATATAACATATTTTCTGTTTATTTGAGTTTTTATTTTTATTTATTTAAAAAATATTTTTATTGATTTCTTAGAGGAAGGGAAGAGGAGAGAGAGAAAAACATCAATGATGAGAGAGAATCATTGATCAGTTGCTTCCTGTATGCCCCACACTGGAGATTGAGCCATAACTCAAGCATGTGCCTCTGACTGGGAATTGAATTGTAATCTCCTGGTTTGTAGGTTGATACTCAACCACTGAGCCACATCAGCCTGGCTCTTTCCCCCCCTTTTAAATAAGAAGGTGATTTTTGTCTAGCCATCCCTATCTCCACTGTGGTTCTTCCCATTTCAAAAGCATTCCTGTTTTAAAGTGCTAATGAACTCAAATATTTATCTTCTAATTTTCTTAATAAACACTCATGCTTATGCTATAACTGCTTTCTGATGATTATTTCCTTACAGGTTATCTCCTTTTCAGTCCTGGGCTCTTTGCTTTCACCCTCTTCCTTATCCTTTCACACCATTCCCTTTCTTAAAGTCACCCTCTATTAGTGGTTTTTGAACTTTTGGGGGTTTCAGATCCTTTTGAGAATTCTATGTCCATAACTGCTGAAGATTGATAGCCTCCTGGAAATCTACCAACTTGAGAACCTTGCCGAAGTTTAGTCTTTCCAGAATCATGGCTGATCAGTCTATCCTCATTTTCAAATCCAGCTTTCTGGTGCCCCTGTCTCTCTTTGCTTCCTGCTTATTTACTTCCTGGGCAGAACTGTCCATAGAAACCTCTCAGTCAGGTTGGGCAGACGGTTGGTTTCCTTGTACTGATGTTGCTGACTGTTCCCTTCTCTGCATTGTGTCAAGTCCCAGCCATTTCTCTCTCTCCCCAGAACCCTCCGTCCTCAGGTGAAGGAGGAGATCGCCTCTATGATTCAGAACACTTTCAACTTCAGTCTTAAACAGACCAAGCACCTTTTTCAAATTCTAATGGAGTGCATGGTACACAGGGATTCTGTGAGTATGATGAAGTGATGACTCAATCGACTTAAAAATGCTAATTTCTAACAATTGTACTGTTTACTTTTATAATTTTTAAAAGTATGGAGTTTTTCACTTTTAACTTTGTAACTCTACAGAACTTGACCCTTAGTTGAGTAACCTGGCTTCTTAACCCCACACCCCCTTTTTCAAATTCCCAAGGAATTTAGGAAAAAGCACTTAGAATAGCAATAGTACGTACATAAAAGTGATTAATTTAGAGTAAATTATACATACATCTTTTTAGTAGTTAAAGGAACAGCTTCCTGTCTTAAGTGATCTCGTCTGCTGGGCCAGAGGACTTCATCAGGCATCCTGAGTAAATCCTGAGGGAAATTATAAGGACCCACTGGCAATGGGAAATGTGACCATATGCTTTGGGATAGAAACCGGAGTCTATATGCTATGAGCTGCAAACATAATATAGAGTCAGGAAAATACTTTAGTGTTTTAGGGTACTTAAATGAAAAATTTTCAGTGATTGAATAATATGAAGCTGACAATTACGGTAAATATGCAGATATGTTACGATTTACAGTGATTTTTTTTTTAGAATTTTAAGGCTTGGCCCAATGACACAAGATTTTGATCATCTTTAAGCCTACAGAAATTAAGTGATTTATCCCAAGTATGAAGTTATGAAGTAGTAAAGTTGAAACTTGAGCTCAGAGTTGAAATTTTATACACTTTTTAAGAAAAGGACATGCTAAAGAGATCACCCTTATATTTGCCTCTTCCTGTCATCAAGGAAAATTACAAATGAGCGGTGATGTAATACCAAGAGGGACCTAGAGAAGGTAACTCAGGGTTTGCACATTACAGGAACTAGATTATCAGCTCCTTTGTCATTGAAGTTGGACTTTACTCATGCACACAGAGGGGCTGTAAGGTGGAGGGGACCAGTGTCTGAATTGTAGAAGCATAGTTTTTCTGTCTTCATGAGACTTTGGAGGTTAGGATGCCTCTCATTATGTGGGTGAGGAACCTCAGATTCAGGGTCATAAGATGTTGACTCAAGTTTGACTAGTTAGTGGCATATGTAGGCCTAGAAATTGCCAATCTAGGCTCTTTTTTGTTGAACAGCCCTTTCTACTATATAAAACATATTTTTATTTGGAAAGACTGAGATAAATTCATTACCATCAGGAGACCTTTTATAGTAATAAATAATGTCCTTCTTTGTCTTAAAAACATTAGTCGCATGCTGGGATGCACAGGACACTTTGACACTGTGATGGCAGTCTGTGCTGTCCTCTGTACTTGCTCATTGGGTGCATTGTAATTGCTTCATTTTCTGACAAATCCTTTAGGATTCACTTGTCATTAAAAAGCAAAAGTCTTAGTTTCTAAGGCAAGGTGAACAGAAGAATCTCACTTGGTATTCTTTTAAAATGAGGAATGATTTTCTTTACACAAGGAACTGAACTGAATTTCTTTTCTTTATAGCATGTGTACAGTAAATTAATGTATCGATAGTAATGTTCTTTTATATTTTATATAAGTTTCCTCTAGGGTACATTGTTTTTTTTTAGTTGTCCCCCCCAATATGCCAACAATTCTCCATTATCCTACATAGAAATTTTCTCTTATATAAGTAAAAAAAAAATATATATATATATATATATATAGATATATATATAATTTTTTTTAATGTTTTAAAATTTTATATATATAAATTTTCTCTTAAGTAAATATATATATTTAAAAATATATATATTTTAAACTGAGATATTAATGAAAATTGTTTTCTTCAACTCATTAGCTCGAGCATGAGTTTTGTGGGTAATCTTGAAAGTATTTCTTTTCTAGTTTCCAAAATGTATGGCTTTCTGTTTTTCAACTGTTACAGATTATCATATTTGAGGCTGATTCTGAGGAGTTGCAAGACCTTGACCTAGCAATCCTAACAGCTCTGCTAAAAGGTGAGTGTCTGATAGGATTACACCTGTTTCTCACTTACTGTTTTCGTATTCAACGACACTTTGTGCTTCATATGTTGACATTTTGTATATAATATATGATTGTTCCTTTCTATTACTCTAGGCACAAATTTATCAGCTTCTGAACAATTAAATCTGGCAATGGCTTGGAATAGAATGGACATTGCCAAGAAACATATCCTTATACATGGACAACATTGGAAGGTATAACAAGAATAAAGTTATTTGGAGAAAATATTTTATGTTGTTTGTTAGGTAGGGGTGAAAGAGGAAATTGGAGGGGAGATTCATTGACTTCAGAGGGGTGTGGGGAGTAGCACCTCTGTAGTTAGGTGCCCAGGGATTACAAAAAACTTTTTTTTTTTTAAAAAATATATTTTTATTGATTTTCCACAGAGAGGAAGGGAGAGGGATAGAGAGCTAGAAACGTCGATGAGAGTGAAACATCGACCAGCTGCCTCTTGCACACCCCCCACTGGGTATGTGCCCCAACCAAGGTACATGCCCTTGACCGGAATCGAACCTGGGACCTTTCAGTCCACAGACTGACACTCTATCCACTGAGCCAAACCGGTTTTGGCTACAAAAACATTTCTTTCATCTACTTTGTCTTCCTGATAATATTGTCCTCCCTCCTTGGCTCCTACATCCTAATGGAAGCTGATAAAGTTTGGGGAAACACAGATTGGAAGGCTTTTTTTCTTTTTTGAATGGGCAGATTTTTATATTATTACTAAAGGCCCAGTGCATGAAATTCATGCACTGGTAGGGTCCCCAGCGGCTGCTGGCTGCCAGCCGGGTACTCCCTCCCTTCCCCTGGCCACCGCCAGTGCCAGGGGCTCCCTCCCTTCCCCAGATGGCCCACCCCCTGGTCGAACTCCTGAAGAACTCTGATCAAGGGGACAATTTGCATACTATGCTTTTACTATTTAGGATTTAAAGGTTTAAATTTATTTTATATATTTTTGCATTAAATTATAATAATTGCTCATAGTAGACATTAATGAAAACAGAGAATAGTAAATAGAAGAAAAATTACCTATTGTGGTAATCAAAATTACTATTAACATTTCATTTTTTAAAAAGTACAGTTGTTACCATATGACAGGCAGATTATTTTGGGGTCAAACTAATCATACATATTATTTAAAACATCAAATGGTACCAAAAGTCTGCTGAAAAACACACAGAAGTTCTTTCCCCTGCTAATCCCAAGAGCCAAGTACTTTTGACTTTTTTTTTTTTTTTTTTTTTTTTTTTTTTTTTTTTTTTTTTTACTGTTCTGATTCTTATAAACCTATATATCTATAATAATAAAAGGGTAGTATGCTAATTAGACCAGGCATTTTCCGAATGTCATTCCAGATGTCCTTTCCCATGAAGTCGGGGCCAGAGGGAAAGCAGCTGGGTCCTGGGTGCCTACAGCCCGGGGCAAGCCATCCCATGTCCCGGGTGCCTGCTGGTGGCCAGAGGAGGGAAGCCGGTGCCGGCATCCGGGGGAAGGAAGGCCTACTCTTGCATGAATTTCGTGCATTTCGTCTCTAGTTTCTAAATAATAATGTTGGTGAAATGGCACCAGGTGTTAGACTGGTTGGTTCAGCAACCTTGGTACTTGAGTTCTGTCTAAGAAAAAATTCAGTCAAGACTCAAACTTTAAGTTTAGAAGTCACAGAGGTAGGAGGGAGTTGTAGATGAAATGGGCTCAGGAAACAAACTACAGCGACAAAAGAAGGGCCTTTGGAGCTTAGGAGAAAAGCAAGGATATATGTACCTGGGGGAAGTAGAGGGGGGAAATGATTTGAGTGTGCTGGGGAAATAAGGGGGTGGAAAAGGCATAGGCATGCTCAAGAGAGAGCTGAGCTGGGTTCTCTGTTCTAAGGACTTTGAAGGGTGGGCATTTTAGGGGAGTTCCCAGAGGAGGATCTCAATAGAATATTCATCAGTTTTCCTGGTATGTCCCTTCAGGGATTGTGGTTTCCACTGATTGGTCAGCACCAGGGAATGGAGTCATTAGTCATCACAACAGGTCCTGAGATAAGCCATGTTATTACTCCACCTGGTCTTGCTGCTTTTCTGGGCCTGGAGCTGAAATGCAACTGAAGCTTAGACATTATCTCTGGTTTGACCGAAATTCGGTCTCTGTGGTCAGTAAACCTAAGAATTTGTTCCTAAGATTATTTGATGCAGGTCAGAACTTCATTGTTCTGAGGTCTTTTTTTTTTTTTTTTTTTTTTTTTTTTTAAATCCTCACACAATATGTTCTTATTGACTTTTTTTTGGAGAGAGAGGAAGGGGATGGGGAGAGAGAAATATTGATGTGAGAGAGAAACATTGATCAGTTGCCTCTCATATATGCCCAACCAGGGATTGAAACCACAACCTAGGTATGTGCTGTGAATGGTATCGAACCCAAAACCTCTTGGTATATGAGATGATGCTCCAGCCAACTGAGCCACCCGGCCAGGGCTGTCCTGAGGTCTTAATGCTTAAGGGAGTGGTCATGCAGGAGCTTGAACGGTGGTCATCTTAGGCTATGCTCTGGCCCCCTTGTTCCTCTTCTAAGGAGATGGACCACCTGACTAGCAACATGCAAGGAGAAGAAAGATCGGGGGAGGGCCCAAACCCTATAAAACCAGTGAAATGGAAAGGGGAGAAAAGGTTATGGGGGGGATGAGATCTTACCCTACAACAGTCTGTTGCTAGGCACCTGGGACTTTCCTCTTTGGTGACCTTCCATACTTGGTCCACTGTCCTTGCTCTGCTCATACCTAACTGCCTACTACAGTGGGTCTTCTGATTCATCAGTTTTAGAGACAGCTCAACACTTCTGCCTGTGATCCTCACTGCTGCTGTCTGGACTCATTGTTCACAGTTCCTGGTGCCTGACTGTCATCCTTTCTTGTCTTGGGAATCCCTCTTTGTCAAGCACCTGTTTTCTGTATTATCTTCCTCTTTCTTAATTTACTCCTTTATTTTGGTGATATGCATCATTCACTAAACTCAGTAACTCCCTGAGAAAGGGGGTATAGAAGATTTTGAGGACTGACATGTTTTAATATATTTTAATTCTAGATTGGAAGTAACTCTCCTAGGGAATTTTGAATGTGTAGCTTCTAATACTCAGCATTGCTGTTGAGAAGTAAAAATCTTTGTTTTCTGATTCTTTGTGACCATTTTTCCCTCCTCTGGAAGTATAAAAAAAAAAAAATCTTCAATTTTTCCAGTGTTCTAAGATTTCACAAATATATGTGTTATTTTGAGTCTTTAGGTCCATTATGCTGACCACGTGCTTTCAATTTGGCAGTCATGTGTTTCTATTCTGGGGAATTTCCTTACCTGTTTTCTCTGTTCTCTTTCTGGAATTCCTATTAATTAAATGTTGGGCCCTGGCTTCTCTAATCTTATCTTATTTCTCTTATCTAATGTGCATTTTCTTTGGTAGGTCTATTCAGCTTTAATGTTCATGCCTTGCAGGTAGCTTTTTTTTTTTGTTTGTTTCTGGTAGCAAGCCATTAACTTCTAAGATTAAATTGTTCCTTGTCTTTTTTTTTTTTTTTTTTTAATGGCACCCTGAACACAAATATCTTCTTTTATTTCTGATGGTATTAATGATGGTTCTTTAGAAGTTTTCTTCTTCCTCATTGCCTGACTCCTCTGAGTTAATGTTTTGTGGTCTGCTTATTCTGGACTTTTTACTTAAGAGAGGAAGACAGAAAGCTCGCGAGAAATTCTAAGCCTTTAGTTTTAAGCTTCACATCAGGGTGATCTGGCTGCCATTTGTTGGTGGACCTGAGGAGTCAGCACATTCATATCTTTTCTCTTGTATTAGTCATAATAACAGAAAAGAATCCTCAATCCCCTGCCTTCAAGGTAGAGCCTTGTTGCTAGTGTTATGGAAGTCAAGTGGAGGAAGAGGACTGGGAAGGTCCCACATGAGAAATTCAGCATCGTTGCGCTTGTTTCATCCTAGTGCTGCCAGAATTCTGTGGCATAGGCTTGTTTGGTTGTGGACTTTTTTCACTTTCAATTTCTGGGGACTTCCACTTTCTGGCTTTTTGGAGACTGCTAAGTCAATGACCACTTGCGTCTCAACTTTCAGAATGTTGCACTCTCGACTTGCTTGTATTAGTGGATTCATTTCTTTAAAAAAAAATTCCTTTACTCTAGTTTTAATGAAGTTCTAGGTAGGATGTGTTTAAATTGCCATTTATACTTTTGGGTATCATTTATACCCTAAAGCCAGGTGTAGTTTAAATGGAAACGTGTCAAGTTACAAAAAAAAAAAGTATTAAAAAAATCCCACAAAGTGGATTTTTATTAGAATTGCATTAAACCTATACTTTTATTTGGGAAGTATTGAGGTATTATATTTATAATAGTTAGTTTTCTGACCCAAGAGCAAATTTATTCAAGATGTCCTGTATGTCTTCAGGTTCACTTTCATTACAGTATTTCTTTATTCGGGTGCTGAAATAAGATTGTATTTACTCTATTGGTATAGTTTTGAGCTCAGGTACATGTAATCTTTTAGTTATTTCTACTGTCTTAATTGTCTGTATATCTTTTATTTATTTCTACCCTCTGAAGGCTGGCTCACTGGAACAAGCAATGTTAGATGCTTTAGTGATGGATCGGGTGGATTTTGTGAAGCTCTTAATAGAATACGGAGTGAACCTCCATCGCTTTCTTACCATCCCTCGACTGGAAGAGCTCTATAATACAGTGAGTATTGGAACATTTCATCAATCTCGTCCTTTAAAATTTACCTTAAGATTTAGCTTGAATGTTCAAGTCTTCTTGAATGTTCATGTGTAAATATAGCTTATAGAGAGACAGACTTTTCTTTTTTTTAAAAATATATTTTATTGATTTTTTACAGAGAGGAAGGGAGAGAGATAGAGAGCTAGAAACGTCAACGAGAGAGAAACATCGACCAGCTGCCTCCGGCACACCCCCCACCAGGGATGTGCCCGCAACCAATGTACATGCCCTTGACCGGAATCGAACCTGGGACCTTTCAGTTCGCAGACCAACGCTCCACCACTGGGCCAAACCGGCTTCGGCGAGAGACAGACTTTTCAACCAAAGAACTAGTCTTACCAATTCCATTTGATCCTAGGGATATTTTTGTATTTCCCAACATTAACTACACAGAATAGAGATGTAATATAACTCAAGAAAATATTGTAGTAAGACCATAATTAATGCCACAGATGTGAATAAGAATAAATTAGTTTAATTGAATCACTCAAAGCACCGAAAGGCCACTATTAAAATTCTGTCCCTGTAACTTTTCTCTGCACCCCTTATTGTAACTAAACTGGCTTACTCATTGTAAAAATACCAATTGCTTGAGTCATGCACCCTTCATGAAATGTCCTTCCTTGTCCTTTGGATCTTAGCCTTTCTTTAAAAAGCCCTATTCAAGTCCTGTCTTTTTGACCTGTTCCTATAGAACAAATTATTTTCAATTCTTGAGCACACACATATTCATATTTTTGGTTATTTTTCTGTGTAAGTACTCATTCTTTTCTTTTTATTTTTTTATTTTTATTTTTATTTATTTTTATTTTTTATTTTTTTAAAATATATTTTATTGATTTTGTACAGAAAGGAAGGGAGAGAGATAGAAGGCTAGAAACATCGATGAGAGTCATCGATCAGCTGCCTCCTGCACACCCCACACTGGGGATATGCCCGCAACCAAGGTATATGCCCTTGACCGGAATCGAACCCAGGTCCCCTCAGTCCCCAAGCCGACGCTCCATCCACTGAGCCAAACCGGTCTCGGCTCATTCTTTTCTTTTTAAAAAACAACAACATTTTTATTGATTTCAGAGAGGAAGGGAGAGAGAGAGAATATTGATCGGTTGCCTCCTGAACGTACCCTGCTGGGTATTGAGTCTGCAACTTGGGCCTGTGCCCTTGACCGAAATTGAACCCCGGACCTTCAGTCAGTAGGCCGACGCTCTAGCCACTGAGCAAACTGGCTAGGGCAGTACTTATTCTTTTCTATTTGACTGTAAAAACTCTGCAAAGAAAGTACTTATATTCTTCATTGACTCTCTTAGAAGCTTATTTGAACATAGTAAGTGTTCAATAAATATTTGTTGGTGGAAAGGAATTATGTGATGGGATTTGTGATTGTGTGGTTTATATATATTAAAGGGTAGTTACAAATTAGTCTCTTGTCACATAAAGTAAGTCCTTACTACTTACCTATACACAAACATCTTGTTTTGAAAAGTATTTCAATCTAATTACATTTTCTCTTAAGAAACATCTTCCTTAGAATTAATGTGGCTTAAACTGCATTTCTAAAGATGTTAAAGAAAATTGTCAGTATTCTGGAGTATTTATGCATTCTGAAGTAAGATTTCCCCACCCCCTGGTCATTAAAAGGCAATTAAAATTCTTCCTTTTGTTCTTTATTACAGAAACAAGGACCTACTAACATGCTGTTGCATCATCTTGTCCGAGATGTAAAACAGGTAACCTAATTACGAAATTGTGCCCATTTCTTTAAGCATTGCCTTAGGTTTTGATGGAGGTTTCACCATATTTTGCTCTGTAAAATGTAGATTTGGATCCTCTAGTGCAGTGGTCGGCAAACTCATTAGTCAATAGAGCCAAATATCAACAGTATAACGATTGAAATTTCTTTTGAGAGGCAAATTTTTAAAACTTAAACTTCTCCTAATGCCACTTCTTCAAAATAGACTCACCCAGGCCATGGTATTTTGTGGAAGAATCACACTCAAGGAGCCAAAGAGCCGCATGTGTCTCATGAGCTGCAGTTTGCCAACCACAGTTCTAGTGAATCACCTATCTCTCCCCTCTTTGCTAGTGACTGAACAATTTCATCACCAAAGCACACTTTTATAAATTTACTCTGTGTTTTAAAAGATTTGATCCACCAAGTAAGATCATAAGCGAATAATTATTTTCTCATAAAATATCAATCAGAGACACAAAAACTTCTAATCGGAACTGTGTGGTACAGCAGTATTGCCAATAATGATAATAATATCTGTTAAAAATACACTTCCTGGACATGTGATTTCTATTGTTTTTGTTATTATTGTTTGACTATTAATAATACCTTGACTGGCTGAAACCGGTTTGGCTCAGTGGTAGAGCGTCGGTCTGTGGACTGAAAGGTCCCAGGTTCGATTCCAGTCAAGGGCATGTACATTGGTTGCGGGCACATCCCTGGTGGGGGGTGTGCAAGAGGCAGCTGGTCGATGTTTCTCTCTCATCGATGTTTCTAGCTCTCTATCCCTCTCTCCTCCTCTCTGTAAAAAATCAATAAAATATATATAAAAAAATAATACCTTGGTTGTTAGCTTGGAGGCCCTCAGTTCTTTTTTTTAGTCTAGGCATTGTTCTAGGGGTCTAGGATGAACCCCTTCCTCATAACTTGCTGATTGTATTTTTTAAAATATATATTTTATTGATTTTTTTTTTTTTTTTTTTTTTTTTTTTTTACAGAGAATAAGGGGAAGGGATAGAGAGTTAGAAACACTGATCAGCTGTCTCCTGCACTCTCCCTTTTGGGGATGTGCCCAAAACCAAGGTATATACCCTTGACTGGAATCAAACCTAGGACCCTTCAGTCTGTAGGTCGACACTCTATCCACTGAGCCAAACCAGTTAGTGCTGCTGATTGTATTTTTATTGAACTTTGAGTGAAGTCAGATTTAAAATAGTCTGCCCCATTACTTACCAAAACTTCTCAACTTTAATAGATGTTTACACCTTAACTACTTCTGTTTAAATTACTAGGAACTTTTATTCACATGTTCAGAACACCGGGAGTGCCTTTTATTTGTCACCATGATTAATATCCTTGATGAGTTTGAAAAGTTCTTTCCACATTTTTCTGAGATCTAACACCTTGATGGAGAGAGTGTAAGCTTTCTGGCTATATCAACGCGGTTTGAGAGCCAGAAGGAAGCATACAGAAGAAGACATTTAGCTGTCAAATTAGTAGTAACCAAAGGAGTCTGTGCCAATGTAAATGTAGTTTGCATTGATTTGTGATAGATCAAAATGCCTTTCCTTGGATTATTTACTTAAACTCGGATTCTGTCACAGTAAACTAAAGAAAAAAGAGTGGAACAGGTTAAATAGGCTTTAACCTAGAAGCAAATAAGAGCATAATTTTTCTCGTTTCTTGAAAAACATAAATTATGAATGTGAAAAAGGGAAATTAAATCATTCACACACACACACACACACACACACACACACATATCATCACCTTATTTCTTGGTCAATGCCTCATGAATGTTGTTCACAGAGAGCTTGTTCAGTGCGCTGTGTACCTTTAAAAATGTCCTGTGAATTACACTTTAGAAATAACATTTTTGAAGAGGTAGTACGGTGGGCTTTTAGGGCTGAAATAAGTTTCATTTAGACTAAGATCCAGGTACTTAGAAATCTGTAGCTAGGTTCTCCTACCAACCATAACATTTGTCTTGGCACAGCCTCATATTTGGACGTCTCATTTGTTTCTGTCATTTCATGTTTCTTATTTCTATGTGGTCTACTTCCTTCCATATTCTTGTTTTGCGTATGATGTTGCCAACACAATGCAAAGTGGTATAGCCATTTTCATAAAGAGAGAGGCTGAAGATTTAACCTATTGTTAATTTTTGATCACATACATTCAATATATCTTCCAGTGATATTACTTATGTTGTAGTCATTATGTTATTTCCAGTTAAGAACAATTTTTAATACTATACTTAAATGTATTTTATTCTAAAGTATGTGCGTGCAAGAGAGAGAGAAAAAGAGAGTGAAGGAGCACATACAAGCAGACATTCACTGTCTACCAAACATATAAGCAGACATTCGCTGTCTACAAAACTAAAACCATATTAAATCTAAGTTTCCTTTCCCATCTCACCAAGGAGTTTGTATCAGGAGCTGGTCATATTAATTAATGAGTTTATAAAGATGAATGATTGAAAAGTATGGCTCTATCTCTTTGCAGTTGGTTTGGTTATGCTCTAATGGCACGAAAAAGTAGAGAAAGAAAACAGAAAGTTATAACTGATTACATGTTTTTGTTTCAGCATGCCCTTCTTTCAGGCTACAGAATAACACTGATTGACATTGGATTGGTAATAGAGTACCTTATTGGTGGAGCGTATCGCAGCAGCTACACAAGAAAAAATTTCAGAGCCCTCTACAATCTCTACAGAAAACATAAGGTAACACAACTGAAAAGACCCTAAAATTAAGGATAGCTCATGAAAGTGGCTTGGGATGTTCAGATGGGAAAAGCTCCTAAAATGGGCATTCTGTGCATCAACATTTTAAAAAAATATATTTTATTGATTTTTTACAGAGAAGAAGGGAGAGAGATAGAGAGCTAGAAACATCAACCAGCTGCCTCTTGCACACCCCCTACCGGGGATGTGCCCGCAACCAATGTACAATACATGCCCTTGACCGGAATCGAACCTGGGACCTTTCAGTCCGCAGACCGACACTCTACCACTGAGCCAAACCGGTTTAGGCTATCAACATTTTTTGAGTATTTGCTGTATGTGAGGTCCTATGCTGGCATGTTGGCCTGGGATGGACATACTATTAGGAGTTTAGAAACTCATAGAGGGAAAAGATTTATGGATAACTGGCCATGATACAGCACAGGTTATAATATGTGCTCTACTGACATAGAAGTAATGGGATGAAAAGAATTAGGGGGAGGGATGACCAGTTCTTTCCTTTCTTTCTGTTTCTTTTGAAAATCTGGAAGTCTAAAACTTAATAGAATTTGATTTATAAAGTCATAGTAGTCCATAGTCTGGAGGTGACAAACTTGGGACCAATGTGGGGATTATACTGAAAGATGCATGCAGAATGTACTAAAAATACTTATTGTATTTTTCATCATAGTTTTAAAAGTCTAGGAATGTGAAATCAGACTGGCTAACAGAGAAAACATTGCTTGTTTCTTAAAACTGCCTTTACAGAGCAGTAAACTGAAGAGACTTAATTTTTATTAGAGGATAATTGAAATGTTAGGAAAAGGGCATTTTTGAGAAGAACAGAGACAGTGAAAGGCTGTGGACGTCAGGGATGTTTTTGTAGGGATAAGGAGACCTTTGTCATTGGGGAAGTGCCAGGAGGTGGTGAAGGATGAGACTGGAAGGGTGAGTTGGGACTAAGATCACGTGAATATCAAGCTGCCCAAGGTTTCTTTTGACCTTTATTCATATGACATGAAAGCCCAACTTGGCTTTAGGAAATGAAATAACAAAATCAAAAGAATCCCAGTGTGCACAAGAGAAAGTGTTCTTTATTTATTTTATTATTTTAAAAAATATATATTTTATTGATTTTCCACAGAGAGGAAGGAAGAGGGTTAGAGAGCTAGAAACGTCGATGAGAGAGAAACATCGACCAGCTGCCTCCTGCACACCTCCTACTGGGGATGTGCCCGCAACCAATGTACATGCCCTTGATCGGAATCGAACCTGGGACCTTTCAGTCCACAGACCAACGCTCTATCCACTGGTTTCGGCAAGAAAGTGTTCTTTATTGAAATTTCAAAAGCATAGGGATACACTTGAGGTGTTAGCTTCTTCATTTAAACAAAATATAGTTTGTTGTGTGGCTACCAGTGGCCAGTATCAGGACTGACTGTGGCCTCAGTGCAGTCCCGGACTGGGGTTGCGGGGGGGGGGGGGGGGGGGGGAGGGGAGAGGGTAAGGAGGGGAAAACAGGTTAGGCACATGACCTAGTGCCCTTTCTAGAAATGACCCATTTCTCTGATTATTTTCTAGTGAAGAAGTACTGAGTTTATTGTGTTGCCTCATAAATTAGATCCTGGAGTTACAAATATATGATTTGGAGTCAGATCTGGAATTAAATCTTTGTTTTGCTCTTTAATAGCTGGGTAATCTTGAGCAAGAAACTTAACTTCTCTGTGTGCCAGTTTCCTTATCTATAAAAGGGGAATAACAATATTCCTTTTGTAAATTTATCTAAAGGACTAAATAAAGTAATATCTGAAAAGAATGTATTTTAGGTGTTTTTTTTTCATAGAGGTTATCAAGTAACTGTTAATAATTCTCATGATTATCACTGATGATACTAAATAATTGTCTATCACAATAATAATAAGTTCAGTATTACTTTTAAAAAGTCTTCACCCCATCACTTTTATGTCTAATTTATATCCATAAAACAGAAACTAAAATAAAATAGTTCAAAGTCTTCAGCTTATATAATAAATTTTCTATTTGTCCCTTTACCAGTGCTTCTCTTTGTTTTTCTTCCTCATGGATTAAAGCTTCATGCAGTGAGTTACGTTGTTGTGCCTAACCACTGGAATTCCAGTGGCAATCTTATATAACACGTGGAGAAATTCCGTAACTTTCTAACTTAACCTTAACCTTGCAGCTGTTTGTGAGTGGGGACTTTTCCTTATCAGAACTGTGTATCTTTATTGCCTGTTCTGAGCGTGTTCCAGGGATGGAACATCCATTGATTTCTAATGGGATTTCCACACTGAGGAGGAATGCAGATCCAGAATAGGGAACAAAAGAGCACATTTTCCAAAGTGTTAGTTAGGAAATAGCAGCGCCTTTAATAGGAAGGAGATCATGGGAGGCTCTTTTCGGGGTCAGTGAGTCATTAATGTGATTAATGATTACTTATTAATCACAGATGAGAGAATGCCATGGATATTTGGTAGGACACAATATTATATTTGTTTTTCATTACTGTCTAGAAATACAGTATTAATTGTCATCATTATAATCTTCTTTTTGCATTTCTGTTTTATTTTGAAAATAAAATACTATATGCCAGAGAGTGACCAGCTTCGCTCAGAGCCTTTCCCAGCCCTCTGCTCCCCGGAGATGCTCCTCAGGAAAGAGGAAGGAATCTGCAGAAAGCACGCTGCATTCCCAGTTCATCAGAACCGCCCAGCCTTACAAACTCAAGGTACTGCTACTTATTTTTAGGCTTGAAAAGAAAAGTGTTCTTGCATACTGAGACCATTTCTTCATTTGAAATTAGAGAAAGGGAGATTCAAATAGAGGACCATTTACAAGTACCATAAACAGATGGCGCAAATGAAAGCATAACAGAGCTGCCTTGTAACAATGAGCAAAGGCCTAAGACAGAGCCCTGGGAACGAAGTAATACCCAGGCTTGGCACATCAGCCTGTCTTCCTTGTTCCTACTGCCACCTGGTCCAGATGGTGACTCAGGAAGGCAGTCCATGGGATGGTAGGAAAAATGTAATTGTTAACCCAACACTAAACCCTCATACCCTTTCCCTGTGGCTAATTGGAGATGACTACTTCCTTCTCCTGTACTTCTCTCTTTGATTATTCTTTTGCATCTTAATTTTCCTCCTTTGGGGCTTTCTTAAAATTAATTTTAGCTTAATGTTACAGTATGAAAATGATAACGTGTGCGCCCACGCACATGTACACAACGTAGTAATCCCCCTCCCTCTTTTTTTTTATTATTCTCCCTCTTGCTATTCAACCTCAGTCCCACTTGCCTCTGGGGATGAATGCGTTGCTCAAGAGTTTCCATATAAATGGTTCCTTATATTGGCTGAAAGAGATTTGCTGTCCACAGCTCCTAGAATGAAAATCTTTAAAAATAAAATTACCCTTAATTATCATCAACAAATACAAACTTTATTTATAGAAATAGAGAAAGTTTGTTATAATTTTTGCTATTACCCCCCTCCCCCCCAAATTAAAAAAAAAAAGAATTATTGAATCTTATTAGTTTCCTGGAACTAAGTTGGGTGCTTGATTGAATCTGGATTGCAAGTGGGTTAGGGAAAATATAATGATAATTGAGAAATGGTCCTCCACCCTCCCCAAAGTAATATCCATAGTGCAGTATGATGGACATTGCTATTGAGACACATAGGCAGTGTTACAGATGAACATGGCAGGTTAGAGAGCAGCGTTTGAGATGAGCTATAAAGGATGGGTATACCAGGTGGAGAATAATATTTCATCATTACCCATTCCCCTCACTACAGGAATATAATCAGAATAAAGAAAGAAAACCTAAAACCAGTCTATTTGCGTGCATGTTGGCAACACTAGTGACATTTTTCTATGGGGATAGGAATCATTTGTAAGGTGTGGTTAGAGGGTTTTTTTTAAAGAAAATATATTTTATTGATTTTTTTACAGAGAGGAAGGGAAAGGGATAGAGAGTTAGAAACATCAATAATAGAGAAACATTAATCAGCTGCCTCCTGCACACCCCCTTCTGGGGATGTGCCTGCAACCAAGGTACATGCCCTTGACCGGAATTGAACCTGGGACTCTTCAGTCCGCAGGCTGACGCTCATTCCACTAAGCCAAACCGGTTCAAGCTAGAGTGGTGTTTTGTTTTTTTAATAGTTGCCACTTATCCAGCTTGTTATTTCAACCCATTTCCTTGGGAAATTAAAAGTCATCACAGCCGAAACTGGTTTAGCTCAGTGGATAGAGCATCGGCCTGCAGACTGAAAGGTCCCAGGTTCGACTCCGGTCAAGGGCATGTATCTTGGTTGCGGGCACATTGCAAATAGAGGGTGTGCAAGAGGCAGCTGATCAATGATTCTCTCTCATCGATGTTTCTAACTCTCTATCCCTCTTTCTTCCTCTCTGTAAAAATTAATAAAATATATTAAAAAAAAAAAGTCATCACATATTCAATGACTCTGTTCCAAAGGTGTAGTGTTTTAAGTTATACTAAATGAACTTAGGGTATCTCAGCTTAGGGACCCTGGAACTATTATTAGATAGATACAACAACCAATAGATTACTTTAGAGGCCAAAATTTTGGTTTCTGGTTTATAAAGTTCTATTTTTTTTTTAAACTGCTCTTGACAATTAATTAATTAATTAAATTACAATTTGCATTCAATATTACTTTGTATTAGCTTCAGGTGTGCAGCATAGTGGTCAGACAACCACGTTACAAAGCGTTTCTTCTTGATATGTCCAGTGCCCACCTGGCCCACACATCACAGTATTATTGACTATATTCCCTATGCTGTATTTTTCATCCTCGTGAGTGTTTTGTATCTACCAATTTGCACCTCTTAATCCCTTTACCTTTTTTACCCAGTCCCCCAGCCCTCCATCCTCTCTGGCAACCATCTTTCTGCTTTCTGTATCTCTGAGCCTGTTTCTGTTGTTTGTTTATATTGTTCTTTAGAATATGATGCGATTTCACTTATATGTGGGGTCTATAGTTCTATTATTATTATTATTTCCATCTCTAGGATACCTGACTTGTTTTATTAGGTAGAACATCATGTACCCGAGTATTTGGAAGCCTTTCCTATTTTATTTCCCAACAGGAAAAGCCTATAGTCCTTCATAAATCAAGGAAGAAGTCAAAAGAACAAAACTTATCTGATGACCCTGAGTCTACTGGCTTTATCTACCCTTACAACGACCTGCTGGTTTGGGCTGTGCTGATGAAAAGGCAGAAGATGGCCATGTTCTTTTGGCAGCACGGAGAGGAGGCCATGGTCAAGGCGGTGATTGCTTATATACTCTACCGAGCCATGGCCCGTGAGGCGAAGGAGAGCAACATGGTGGATGATGCCTCGGAAGAGATGGAAAATTACTCAAAGTAGGAGTTCTCTCTTCACTATATACTAAACATCGACAGTTCTTAGCACGGTTAGACGCTTTTATCTCCCTCGCCTTAGAACTTGTGAGATGAGTGGACCTGTCGCCCTGGTATTTCGTGCACTATCCTATAAGTAAGGTTTTTAGGTATTTTGAGGAGCTTTGTGGAATAAAGGGAAGAGAGATGGAACTTTAAGTCAGGAGCCTTGGGTTCTAATTCTAGTGCAGCTGACTACTAATCGGGCAAGTCAGTTGAGTAGATTGTGGGACTTTAGTTTCCTCATTGCAAAATGTCCAGTTAATGATTTAGAAAGTCCCTCTCAACTCTCAAACTCTTGGAATCTAAGTTAAATTCAAACTTGTGGTTTACTTTAAGTATCTCTCAGGCAGAACAACAAATAAGTGTATTACATATTAAAGAACCAGAGTGTGATATTAGAAGATAGAAAAGTTAGAAATGTGTTTTAATTTTCTTTTTTATTATGAAAGCATCATAGTAGTGAAGAAAGGTGGAAGCTGAAGTTATTAGAAAGACATTTATAATTTTGATTTAAAAAGTTCCAGAGAATAACAGCGTCTACTTTTCAGAGAAAACAACCTTCCAGAAAATTCCAGAAAAAATTGTCACTAGATCTTATTTCTTCTTCACATCATCTATATATTTTTAAAAATCTTTTTTAAAAAAGTCGTTTTATAGTTTTCCTAATTGCTAGCCAGTTTTGAACAGTATTTTCTGTAAAAAATTCTTTTGTAGGTCTTATAAGGGAGCCCTCACCAAGCTCCATGTTGCCTGCTTTGTGGTGTGAAGTGGTTTCTTCTAGGCATAGTTCAGATACTCCTGGTGTGGACAGATTCTCTGCCACATGGAAGTAAGCCCTCTAGTTCTGTTCCTTCAGGAAAGGGACAACAGTCCATTTCCTGAGCAGCAATCCCTTTATAATTGCTTCTGCAAACTGAGATCATTAAATTTCTGTCTGCTCTTCCGTGTTGGTCTTTTCTGAGTATCGGATCTTATCTTTTCGAATGTTTCCGGGCTTCTCACTTGCATTTGTTTTGGTCACTCACCACTGTCCTTACAGGCAGTTTGGCCAGCTTGCCTTGGACGTGCTGGAAAAGGCATTCAAGCAGAATGAGAGAATGGCCATGAAGCTGCTGACCTATGAACTCAAGAACTGGAGCAATTCTACTTGTTTGAAACTGGCCGTGTCCGGAGGGCTACGGCCCTTTGTTTCGCATACTTGTACCCAAATGCTGCTGACAGACATGTGGATGGGGCGCCTGAAAATGAGGAAGATCTCTTGGCTAAAGGTACCTTCACTTGCTTTATAGAGTTTAGGATTAGTTTCGTCTGACGGTCTGTACTCTTGGGTTCATTTTTTCCCCTTGTTCCAGAAGAATATCTTCAGAAAACCAGTTAATAGCATTCATTCTTGAAGATGAGCTGAGACCTGACAACTACTTTGTCTCCTATGACCACAGTTTCTTCTAAAAAGTGGGATAATCGTACCAGCTCTATCCCATCACAAAGGCATACTTATGAAGCTGGCTAGAAGACTTTAAAAATATATGCAAACATATGCAAAATTACATTAGTAGCAAACTTTGCTGTTGCTGATACTTTCAACAGAAATAAATGAGATTTTTTAAAGTGAAATTTTGCTCAGCTTAAGAATTGTAACTGATAATAAACTAAATAAAATGAGTAATTTCTGTTATTCTGCTCAGTATGATCTTTCAGGGAATAAATGGCTGTTTTATAAAGTTGCCTTCAAATACACTTGTTCACACCACTAACTATCTCCAAATTCTTCTGTTCCATTAGTTTGGCCTCATCTCTCATCTTGAATAATCAAGAGTAATGACTTAACTACTAAAAACATTTAACTTTGACATTAAATCTTAGCCTACAGCTTTATGTTATGGTTAAGCTGAAGAAGTGCATGTGCTGCCCATGTGCTATGGCTCAGTGGTTCAATGTCCATCTATGAACCAGGAGGTCATGGTTTGATTCTTGGTCATGCTTGGTTTTGGGCTTGATCCCCACTAGGGGGCATGAAGGAAGCAGTAGATGAATGATTCTCATTGATATTTCTATCTCTCTTTCCCTCTCCCTTCTTCTCTGAAATCAATAAAAATATATACTTTTAAAAAAAGAAATGCATGTGCTTATGAAACAAAAAAAGGGATAAAGCATGAGCATGAAGAATCCTATAAGACTATATTTTATATTTTAATTTTATCCTTCCTACAGATCTTAAAAATATGGTCTGTCCCAAATAGAATGTCTGTTCTTAAAAATATATTTTTGATGGATATACTATAGAAAACACAAAGAAATAACAGATATAAGATATAAAATATGTAAAAGAGCTTGCACATTTTAATTCCACTAATGAGATTGTAGAAATAAGATAAAAGTCAATCATAAATTATTCCACATAGATTCTGCTATGTGGATAAAGGAATGATCCATGTCCCTAGTGGGACAAAGTGGGATATTTTGAGGTTTCATCACACTACTCAGAATTGTGTACAATTTAAAACTTATAAATTGTTTATTTTTGGATTTTTCATTTAATATTTTCAACCATGGTTAGCTGTGGGTAACTGAAAGAAAGTGAAACTGTGGATAAAGGGGATTATTATATATGTATTTTAAAACATTTTAATGAATATATGTATATGCATATATATATATATATATATATATATTTTTTTTTTTTTTTTTACAAAAATGGAATGCTACATTGTTCTCTAACCTGCTTTTTAAAATATAACTTGAATACCTTTTCATCATACTCAAAATTGCCTTTGTCTTTGTAATGGTTATGTGGTGTTTCACTGTTAGGTTGCCCCACACCAGCTATTTCTCTATAGGTGTGCATTTATGTTGACACCAGTTTTTTCCTATCACAAATAACCCTGCCACGAACATCCCTATCCATGTATGCATTTGTGAATATTTCTGAGGAGATGCTTCTAGAATTGGAATTGTTGAGTGAAAAAGTATGAATAGAATCAGGATATCAATTGAATTGGTCATGGGTCTGACCTATTATATACACTGGAGTCTTAATTTTGTTATTTTAATAATACTGTGCCTTTGTAAACCCCTACTACATATTTTGCTTTGTTTTCTTTTAAAGATCATCATAAGTATTCTTTTACCACCCACCATTTTGACACTGGAATTTAAAAGCAAAGCGGAGATGTCCCATGTTCCCCAGTCCCAGGATTTCCAGTTTACGTGGTATAATGGTGACCAGAACCCCAGCAGTACCAAGGAGAATGCTTGTATGGTTAGTGCATTGTCTTAGTGAACTGGGTTTTCATGGCATTGACTGCACACAGTGCACACATGCACAAAGGTTACTTATTTAACATTGATTTCACAATCACATTACAGAATGGCCAAGTACAGTATGTATGATAAATTGAATTAACTCCCATATATAATTAAGCAAACTATCCCATTTCTGCAGACTGCCTCATGATTGAGGTAGTGTTTGAACTGTGACTTGAGGATAGGGAGAGGCAAAACAGCATTTCTGTGGAGGGAGAGACTACAAGTAGGGATCCAGAGGCAGGAAATGTAAGGTCTATGTCAAGCATCGTAAGTTGTATGGTGTGGCTAGAGTTCAGGTTATGATGGACATGGAACAAGGAGGGAATATTTGCAGGGGTGACTGTGAAAGAGTGAGGCTAGATCGTGGAGACTTGCATATTCTATGAGGGAATATGGTTTTTATTCTATAGGTAATGATGAGCCATATGGTGAACATATATGACCAGAGTGGCAAGGTGATCTATTAGGAAAATTATTCTGCCTCCAGTGTATAGGATGATGCAGCAAGAAGACTCCTGGATGCAGAGAGAGAACAAGATAGTGTGACCATCCAGGTGAGAAGTAATAAGGGTTTTTATCTAGGGTTAGTAGCAATGGGCATGGAGAAGAAAAGACAGATTTTAAAACGAAGGGTCAAATAGGGCCTGAAAATGGGATCTGGGCAAGAGGGAGATAGCCAATATTCCTGAGGTGTTAATGGTTAAAACAAGACCATCTTTATAGGGATCTAGAGCAGGTTTTGAAGAGGAAAGATGAGCTTAGTCTTAGACATATTGCTGCATCACAAAAGTATTTTAAAATTGAATAATAATATATTTTTATCAGAGCATCATTAGGTGGGAATATAATATACTACTAGTAGAAAGTAGGCACAAATTATAGTGGATCTTATTTTTGTAGTTATAAATTTATTTTGTGTATTTGCTGGTATCAGATTCCTGTTTGAGAGAGAAGAAGAGGAGGGAGAGAAGATGAGGAGGTGAGAGAGAGAAAGAGAGAGAGAGAAAGAGAGAGAGGGAGAGAGAGAGAGAGGGAGAGAGAGAGGGAGGGAGGGAGGGAGGGAGGGAGGGAGAGAGAGAGAGAGAGAGAGAGAGAGAGAGAGAGAGAGAGAGAGAGAGAGAGAGGGGGAAAGTATTTGAGTAGAATAAAATGTTAGAAAAATATCCTGGTCTTTACCTTATTCTAAGGGGAAAAAAAGATCCTGAGTAGTTTGAGTAGGTTTGATTATTAGAGGCTCAGATTGCATTTCAGGAATACCCTGTGTTCCTTACCTGGTCAAAGATTTATCTATTATAATATACGTACTTTTCTTTCCTTTGAAGATTAAAATTGTAATTTGGCAGGTGGGTGCCCAATTAATTTCCGATATGTCTATTACATATGTTAATGATATTTTTTGGATTCTTGGGCATGCCCATAGTTTAGATAAGCATCTGACAATAAATTATTTGTTTGTTTTACAGAAAGACTGTGATATGGAGAGGGGCCCTGATGAGAAGCTAGATGAAAACCATCACTTTGTTGTTAGGAGTGGTCCCCAGGCCCTTCCCTTGACCAGGAAGGTCTATGAGTTCTACAGCGCTCCAATGGTCAAGTTTTGGTGTTATACGGTTGGTTTTGTCGTAACAATTTATGGCGGTTAATTGCTAATGATAACATTGGTGATATGCCTGATTTGTCAAGTTGTGATAAAATCTAGAATTGTAGTGAAAAAAAATGGGGGGGGGGGGCAAAGAGAGAGGGGGAAAGTACCAAAGAGTAGAAAAGAAGATTGGAGGGAGGTGAGTGAAAGTTAGCACAGAGCTCTCCCAGTTTGGGAGTGACGGAACCAGCACGTTCTTCTTTCTCGAGTGCTGAGTGCATCCCATTAGCAGGCTGGGACTGAGCATGTCAAGCTTGTGGCACAATAAGATTAACAGCAGAAGGGGTTTCAACTGTTCTTTTATGTAGAATTAAACTTAGAAGACTGACAAGACTTAAGTGGAGCTAAAAAAGATATGAGAAACAGGGATGCAAGTTAAAAATAAGATAAAGCCCACATATAGCCATTTTTCTTTCTGCTTATCTGGGATTTTTAATATAAGTGTTGTTAATTAGCATTGTGTTTTGTCTCTGAAGCTATATAAAGGGCTGCCCCATCTCATTGTTGGTGATCATGGCAATTTTCTGGTGGGCAATTTGGTAACATGTGTCAGTGTTAAATGTGTGTGCTCAGCTCTTTTACTTCTGGGAATACATATTAAGAAGGTAAAATGTTGGAAAAGATTACAAAGCTGTTATCACTAGTACATAAGTATGTGAGTGTTTACTGTATTTTCACGTTACCTCATGGAAGGTCACGTGTGTATCTGCCCAGCTTAGTCCATGTCTGCTCGGCCTCCTCTATTATGACTGTGACTCACATCCAGGGCACGTGTGTCCCCCTCACAGATGGTGTACCTGGCGTTCCTCATGCTGTTCACTTACACCGTGTTGGTGGAGATGCAGCCTCAGCCCAGTGTGCAGGAGTGGCTCGTTATCATTTACATCTTCACCAACGCCATCGAGAAAGTCAGGGAGGTGAGCTGTCCCCTCTCCCCTTGTCTTCTGCATCCCTCTGCAAGAGGTATTATGGGCTCTGGTGATGAACAAGGACAGGTCAGGGATGAGGGGCAGACAGACAGTGCTGATTCTGGTTTGTGTGCTGCAGGGAGGGTATTTAGGGAAAAATCTCTGATCGCAAACCTTTGTCCTAGCACTTTCTTTTGGTTGCTGTTCTTTGAAAATAGTTGTTTTCAAGGATATCCTAATGTGTTTATCAGCCCTAGAGAGATGTTATCTAATTTTTATTAGACCCTCCAACTTTTTGATTTCCTGAAAATGCATTTTTTTTTTAAGATTGATTGTTCATAGCCTAGCATTACTTGCTTATTATCAGTTCATTTCTGAGTGGCACGCAAATGGTCAAAGTTGAACAATAGTTAAAGAATTACTTTATGGTTTTTGAAAGATTTTGCTAAATACCTTTGAAAATTGAAGCTGAAAACCCTTCTGGGGTAAGTAGTCCAAGAAACAAAACAAGGTAATTTTTTTGTTTTTAGTTTGCAATGAGTCACTTAAAAAAAGAAAGAATATTCCCATTCAGTTATAACTGCAATCACATAGAGCTATGACTCAGGCTGTTTTAGATATCGGTGTGTATGTACTTCTATGCCTATGCATTTGCATACATTGATTTTCTCCTAGAGCTAATGTGACCAACCTTATATACTAAGAAAATATATTCTGAGTAATTATACTTATATTGCCTTTTAGTTACTATTGGGCTTATAGGTTATAGAAAACAATTCAGGAGAAAAACGTTATCTAAGTTCTACCATTTTTATGCTTCCGAGAAAATGTTTTCTATTTTACTTTTAAATTTGTCTGCTCTTCTGTTGCAGGGTAATTTCTTATAATGGTGAGTTCTAATATCACATTCTGAGTAATTTTTCAGCAAACTCACTAGAGAGCAGGAGTAGGACCAGATTACAGAATTCCTTGGTTTCAAACCAGTCTTCTTTGCACTCGACTATACCTCATGAAATGGAATTGCAGATCCATTGCAGTGTTAAGTTCTAAAATGTCTAGGTGTTTCCCTGTGTTAGTTTAGGATTAATAAAAGCTAGAAACACTACCTTTTTTTAAAAAAAACACACAACAACAAACAAAACAAAACAAAAAAACCCCACAAAAAACAAGAAACAAAAAACTTTCTGTTTGAGGTTCCAAATAGCTGGCTAACTCTAACAGTGACATTCAAATATATTTATAGAATTGTTTAAGTCATTACCCAAGGCTAACATAAAGTCTCCAAAAATCCCCTTGTGATCTGTTTCTTGGTCAAGGATTAAATCACTGTCTAAATGAAGCAGTTAATATTAGGTCTAGTAATAATTAATGTCGTTTTCTAATACTTTTTTAAATCGAATTTATTTAAACAATACAACAAAATTTAATCAACAATATAGTTGTTTTCTACTACTTGTGCCCAACGCTCAGGAAGCGTTTTAATCCCTCTGTTGTAAAATTCTTGTGATTTTGATGCAAAAAATTCGGTCAATGCATTTTTGAGGCATTCTTCATTATTAAATTTTTTTCCAAGAAGAAAGTTTTGCAAAGAACGAAACAAATGGTAATCGGAAGGGGCAATATCAGGAGAATATGCAGGTTGAGGGAGAACTTCCCATTCCAACTGGCGCAGTTTTTCAGCAGTGATTCTTGCAGTATGCGGTCATGAGTTATCGTGGTGAAGAATTACGCCCTTCTGATTAATCAGCGCGGGTTCTTTTTCTCTTAAAGCTTGAGCTAACCTTTCCAATTGGGCACTATACACTGCACTTGTAATGGCTTGGGTAGATGGTAAAAGTTCATAATGAAGAATTCCTTTAAAATTCCACCAAACACACAACATCACTTTTTTCGCATGCAAGTCAGGTTTTGGCGTGGGCTGTGGAGCCTCATTTTTGTCCAACCATTGAGGCCGCCTTTTCAAATTAACATACAGCACCCATTGTTCATCTCCGGTAACAATTTGCTCTAAAAACGGCAAATGGTTTTGACGAGAGAGGAGCGAACTGCAAATTGTGACTCTTTGATTACGGTTGTTATCGGTCAACTCATGAGGAACCCATTTTCCAAACTTTTGGACTTTGCCAAGTGCACGCAATTGATTGGAAATTGTTTTTGTGAACAATTTAAAGTTGTCGCAAGCTCTTGTTGGGTAATTTGAGGATTTTGCACCAAAAGAGCTTGAAGAGCTTCTTGATCAAAATTGGACACATGGCCTCGACCACTCTTGTCATCTAACGAAAAATTTCCCTCGCGAAATTTCTCAAACCAACGCTGGCATTTTCTGGCGCTAACTGCATCTTGACCAAGAGCACTACAGATGTTTTTTGCAGCCTCACTTGCTTTTCTTCCTAATTGGAACTCGTAAAGCATGCAGTGCCGAATATGCTCTTCATCCGCCATCTTCTTAGCCCTAGTTTTGCAACAAAAACCAAACCAAACACAAACTTTTTCAAGCAAAACTTCTTAATTGCACTTCACACGTTCTGTAGATACCACGTGTTTGAAGGTTATGTCAATACAAGTAACGCCAAGCAAGATTTTAAACGAATGTTTAAAAACGACATTAAGTATTACTAGACCCGATACATTAAAGAAGATGGTATTGTTGAGAGGCTTGAATTATACCATGCACTAAGTTTCCCCCGTCCGTTCGTTCTCCTTTTAGGTCTGTAGTTCAGAACCTGAAAAGTTCACTCAGAAGGTAAAGGTATGGATTAGTGAGTACTGGAACCTCATGGAAACTGTGGCTACTGGCCTGTTTTTGGTTGGTTTCGGCCTGCGGTGGGGGGACCCTCCTCTGCACACAGCGGGAAGGCTCATCTACTGCATTGACATCATATTCTGGTTCTCACGACTCCTGGACTTCTTTGCTGTGAACCAACATGCAGGTCCGTATGTGACCATGATGGCAAAAATGGTGAGTTCCGCCTGCTTCTGTGTTCTGGTGCACTTTTCAATGCCTTTGCCTGCTTTCATGGCTCACATTCAATAGTTTAAGTTTTGAAATTACTTAGGGAGGCACAGAAAAGAAGATCATTTCACCACTGCTTTCTTATAACCACAAACTCATACAGGCTGGGGCAAAAGTGGATTTACAGTTATGAGTACATAGTACACAGAATTTATTCTCGTATTATTGTTTGTTAATTGTATTATTTTCTATATGAACTCCTATAAACCTACTTTTGTCCACACCTGTATTTAACAAATATCCTTGGAGAATTGTGGGAATAAAAAACATATTTTAACTAATTTGAGTGTCTCTATTTTTTCTTTTTCTTTTTCTAACTTCTGGCCCAATTGGTGAAAAGTTGGATATTAGCTAATCACAAGTTGTTCACATTTCATTACTCCTTAAGAAAAGAAGCATGATTCTCTACCACTAGCAAATTTACACTACTCCATAGACCACATTGACATGAAACACATACCTGTGCAGGAAAAACAAAGTGGTTTAGCCAAAGGAAAGGCAGCTGCGCATGGACTAGGGCATTTTGGTCAATGACTAGTCGGTCCTAGCATTGGCAGGTATAATTATGATGGTTGTTAGTGTTTTGTTTGTTTTACATTTCAAATCTGTGGTAACATTCCTGTTGTGTGGCATTATTTTGCAGACAGCAAACATGTTCTACATTGTGATCATAATGGCCATCGTCCTGCTGAGCTTCGGAGTGGCACGCAAGGCCATCCTTTCGCCCAAGGAGCCCCCGTCTTGGAGCCTGGCACGGGACATTGTGTTTGAGCCTTACTGGATGATGTACGGAGAAGTCTACGCATCAGAAATAGATGGTGCGTGGGAGAGTTCCTCGGCAGCGGAATCAAACTTCTGTAGATGCTCAGAGTAAAGTAAAAATCTGGAAAGTAATCACCTGAATCTTAAAATATATAAGAAAAATATGGTATTCTGCTAAGTTAATGTGCTAAATATGTACTTGGAATCATGGGACTGTGATTCATTTTACTGCCTTTTAATTTTTTTTTTTTTTTTTTTTTTTTGTAGTTTGTTCAAGCAATTCATCCTGCCCTCCTGGTTCTTTTCTTACTCCGTTTCTCCAAGCTGTCTACCTCTTTGTGCAATATATCATCATGGTGAACCTGTTAATTGCTTTCTTCAAGTAGGTTATTTTAATTAAATATGGTTATTTTGTTAAAATAAAAATGGGAACAGGCATTTTGGGAAGATTCACATGTATTTTGAGTGTGTTAACCTTTGGTTTTTGTGTGTCCCATATTTTAAAATATGGACATGAAACTACTTTTAGGAAGGCATTAGAGCATGAGAAGAGAAAAACAATAAATGGAAGTAGATAAAAGTGGGGTGAAAGGAATTATGCATTGCAGTGAAGTAATAATTAGAATCAGGGAAGAATCACAGTTGGTGAGGTTGACAGATGGCTAAGGAGGACTGGATGTCCTTTTTCTCTTGGCTCCCAATGTGTCTCATTCTGTTTTCTTCTATCACTTTTGTCTCTGTTTCTGGGTCATCTTTTCCTTAACCTTTTAACATTAGAAGGCCCCTGGGGGCAGGCCTTGCTTGTCTTCTGTTTACACTTTGTTTGGTGATCTTCATCAGTTTCCTGCATATGCTGACAAATCCTCATTTATATCTCTAGCCCCATTTCCCCCTCCCCCCTGCTTCCCCCACCTTGAACTTCAATTCTGTAGGTCTAACTGCCCCTTTCATGGCCAGGCAAGTATATGATAGATTTCTAAAAATTTTAATGTTCAAATTCTTGATCTCCCCTCTTTCCCAACATGTACCTATTTTACTTGTAGTCTCCCAAATGTATGAGGAAGACCACAGGTTTCTGTCAGACTTCCATCATTTCAGTTGCCCAGACCAGAAACCTTGGATTCATTCTCAATGCCTCTAGTACTTCCAACTGTAACCTGTCAGGAATGCCTACTGCCTCCTGATCACCCCTAACTGCTCACCTGCCTGCCTGTTCACCTCTAATCGCCTCTGCCTGCCTGCCTGATTGCCCCTAACCACTCTGCATGCCTGTCTGATCACCTCTAACCATTCTTCCTGCCTGCCTGATGCCCTAACCACTGTGCTGCCTGCCTGCCTGATAGCCCCTAACTGCTTGCCTGCTTGCTTGCCTGATTGCCCCTATCCGCCTCTGCTTTGGCCACCACCACCACAGCTTTGTAGAGAAGGATGTCCAGAATGAGGTCATTCAGCTGTTTGGTCTAATTAGCACATTATGCTTTTATTATTATAGAAATACAAATATATTTTGTAATTTATATATTGTATTTGTATGTCTGTCTGTCTTCTCAGATAAACATAAAGCTCCTCAAGGACAAGCTGGTGTTTTTGTTTGCTTATGAATTTATCCCAAGTACTGAAAATATAAGAAAAGGGAAATCAGTGTATGGAATCTAAGTAAAGAAAGTAGAGAAGATAAAGGCTAGAGGGAGGCAATATAAATGAGAAAAAATGACTTGCAGTAATGGGGAGGACATACCTTCCTGCTTTTTACAAGATTATATGATAGCTATTATCACATTTAGCTTCAGCATTTTATGAACTTTAAAATTTATTGGTGTTTAGTAATTATTGCTATATTTTTATATATCAAGTAATATTAAGAGAAGGGCATAAGATTTTTATTTCTCAAAAATATCAGGTGTCAAGAGAGATTGAGAGTCCTCACATGAACCAATTTTCTCACTTTAGAGATGGACACAATTGAGGACCAAGTGTGCTGAGAAAGCCAAGATCTGACACTTGTCTAGGGGCCCTTCCCACATTCTTTGTACCTATAATTAATTACCAAGAATCTGAAATACACTGTGGCTATCTTTACCTGCTGCCGGGCAGACCATAGTCAAACCTGGAATGGCAATAGCATGTCATCTGGTGGTTCTCAGACTTGATCATGCCAGAGAGTCACCTGAAGAAGGGCTTGCTGAGCTGCAAGTTGCTGTGATGCTCACACTAGAGCCCCCAACTCCATATTTCTGGAATGGGGCCCAGAATTACATTTCTGTCAAGTTTTTAGGTCACACCACTGCTTCTGGTTCAGGGACCACACTTGGAGAACTATTAAAACCCAGTCATCTGTTTTCTTCATTTACTTTATGGACTCAACTTTATGAAATGTCCCCATCCTCATATCCTAAGCTGGCTTTCTCCTTTTCTTTATTATTATATATATATATATATAATACTTTTTAAAAAATATATATATATTTTAAAAAAACAGACACACCTAAATTTGGCTGCCCCACAAGTACTTCTCTGCCATCTTTCTCCCAAGAGACTCAATTTTACATTAGCCTCAGTGCAATGTTAAGATGGACATTCTGTTGTGCTACAGCCTCCTCACATTATAGACTTAAAGCCAAGCAGTTAAAGATGATATATTATCTAGAATAATTGAATAACTACTACCCACTACAACATTCATTGAAGGTTTTGTAATATCAATATATTTATTGTACTGCTTGCATATTAAAATTTATTTAATTAAAGGGAAAATCCAAGGTGACCTACCAGTAAGCAATTACTTTTATTATAAAGTTCATCTAAATAATATATGTAGTTTCTAAATACAGACCTATTGATTTATTTTAGGATGAATTGATGCTTTTTTTCTCTGACTCGTCTTTTTAATATTGTGTTGTTTGGGTGTCTTAAATGGGATTATTCTAGCAGTTCTTACATTTGACTTTTGGAGAATCTCTTCATGAAGTTGCTTATATAGGAACATTATGGCTGTTTACCATGAATGTTGAATTATGGACTGAAAAGAGCTTATTTGAGATGAGATGGTAAACCATAAAGAGTGTTAAGTTCCAGAGGGCTGTTTCTTTTTATTGCATTTACAATGTTAGCATTTTCTTCATTTTTTTATTGTATTTTCTACCTTTGTTTTTGATTCTTATTAGCATTCTTTATTGTAGAAGGTGATTAATGTATTTTGTTGGGTGCAAGAAGAATTAGAAATGCAATAGGTATTATTTTCATTGGCTAGCTGCTGGTACTGTCAGGTGAATCAATCATAAAACTTGATTGGAAATAAAGAAAAAAATCTGTTCTATTTCAGGATTCTATATTAAAACATTGTCCCTCTCTTTCTAAAATTTACAGTAATGTTTATGTAGATATGAAATCCATTTCAAATAAACTGTGGAAATACAATCGCTATCGCTACATCATGACCTACCACGAGAAGCCATGGCTGCCCCCACCTTTCATCTTGCTGAGCCATGTGGGCCTCTTCCTTCGCTGTCTTTGCCATCAGCAAGCTCCAAGCGACCAAGAAGAGGGTGATGTTGGATTAAGTAAGTTTTTATTAATGAAACAGGAGGAAGAGAGTAGGGAGTGGAGATTCAAGGTGTAGGCACACCAGAGCATTGTCAGTTAAATTCAGGGCGCAGGATGGAAGGTTCTAGGGATTCACCGACACCAGTGTTGTCAGCTGAAGAGCTGAAGAGTTAGGGAAACACATTGTCATTGTGTGATCATACTGCTTTTGATTAACTGATACTTTGGGAGAATGGAATAGAATCTCCATTTGAATGTGTAAAGGCTTTATGTTTTTACACAGGTATTAATGGAATGCCTGTGTTTTCTATGTGACCTGGAAATTCATGGTCTAAGGAAAATCTTAGGTCTACATATTTTGAGATTTTCCTAGTTTATTTTGCTTAACCATATCTTGGCTGCATGCTATGACTGTCATATTAATTGTCACAAGAGAACATTTCTTGTTATGACTTTGCAGATCTTTTGTAGTTCCTCTCAAGCAATCCCACAATTGATACCAGGTCCATCTCTAGATAATTCTGTAGAGGAAATAGGTGGCATAAATTCACAATCTTTTATCACAAATTGCAAATCCAAAGTACCTCTGAAAATGCAAGATCTTTATCTTCATAGGTTGTGGGAAGACTCATTTGGGTAAAACTTTCTTAGAAGACTAATGTGAACCCACTCATTCTCTTTATCCCAGATATTGTGAATATTCATCGATTTTGCTGCAAAAACAGTCATGTGTTTGATTGCAGGGACTGCTCTAAGGGTTTTACTCATTTGTGGTATATACGCCTTTTTACTTTCCTAAAACTAGAAACAGAATTATAAGTACTAAAACACACCTGGTTCCAGGAGTTTCAGATAGGAGGTTGCTCATTTCAGTGAGCCCTTAGGGGACAGGTGTAACTGCAAGGTTGACAGGGCGATATGCTTTTGTTCCTGGTTGTTGGTTGTGTGAAGTATTTTTCCTCTTGAGTCTCTTTGGAGATTTCTTTTTCTTTTCCATTCCCCTACCAGAGATTCAGTCTTTGTAAGGAAGTCAAAGGCAATTGAAGTGCATTTAAAGGCTTATAATTATACTGTAATCCTTAGGCTTTACATAGAGCTCCATCCCAGTCATTGGCTGCAGAACTATCACAATATAATAGATTGTGAACCACCTGAGAGATGCTGGAATTAACTAGGATTTGATCAGATTTCCTAGCACCATACCTGGGTTCAGATGGCTCTGGGATTATCAGATCATTCTGGTATAAAACTCAAGTAAATTTTCTCTTCACTCCAAGCTCTGGGAAAGTCCTGAATTTTGTGAGGTTGCTTCCATTCTGTATTGAGGAGCAAGATGTGTGGCTATAGGGCAGCAGTGCCACCTTGCGGACAGTTCCATGAACGCGCCACATGCCACCGTTGGCACCAGTTACTGTGGACTGTTTGCTCTCAGGAATGCACAGGAGTTTCAAGTCATGACAATTGTAAAGATTCTTGTTCATAGGAAAGTCTTTAATGCAAACATATATTGAGAGAGGGGGAGATAATGGATTTTTTTTATTTTTTTAAAATTTTTTAAAGTATTTGAATCTTCCACACCATGAAATCAGAAAACATTATGCACTTGGATATTGTTTTCTTTTAGCTGTGTTTTTCAATTTAAAGTTCATATATGTTTATCTCTTATTTTATGGGAAAATAATAGAATACTTCCACTTCTAATAAATCCTGGGGACCTCTAATGATTCTTGTTTCCCTAGTTTAAGTGAAATGATTAAAGAAAGAGAACCTTCCACTTTTACCCCGTTTCAATACCGTTTTTATATTTTCTATGTACTGGAAGCTTGCTCAAAAGATGTATTTTCCAGTTAGGTCAGAGTGACAGCCAAGTTTGTAGACCGAATGACAAAGTTTGCCGTAGAGCTGTATCCCCAGATGCTGTCTGTGTTTTTTGATGAGTTGAATTATAATTCTGTCAGGGAAGGGGGTTAGCCTCCATGGGTGACTGACGGATAATAATGTATCTTTTCCCAATAGAATTTAGTATCTGCACACGCAGTCTAAGAAGGTCAAGCTTTCTTACACTTACCAGATTAATTTCAGAAGACTTTGTCTTCCAGCCTTGATTTTAACCTGTAGCTTATTTATTGTCCTTTTGAATGATAAAACAGTTGGCAGGGAAGAAAAAGACCATCCGTTTTTAGTCCAAAGTTATACAATGGACGTTCAACTGAGCGGAAGTGAATTTTTGTTGATGTCTAAAAACATTCTAACCTATTAAAATATTGAACAGGAAGTGTCTGTTCTCCTTGAGTCATCTTCAGATAACCATGCCTGTTAATAGGACAAACTGGAAAGATCCAGATACATGTTTCCAGCTGTTCCTACGTCCTGCATCCCCATTAATACAAGGAATACAGTCTGACAAGGCAGCAAAATTTTATCATACAAGCTACAGTTTATTAAATTACAGCACAAGTAGAAGGAAAACCACTCATACACTGTATCAGATTCCTATTAAAGGTGCATCATGATTAGTTTTGTGTAACATACTTATTTCCACAGAACTCTACCTGAGTAAGGAGGATCTGAAAAAACTTCACGATTTTGAAGAACAGTGTGTGGAGAAGTATTTCCATGAGAAGATGGAAGGACTGAATGGTAGTTGTGAGGAACGAATCCGAGTGACAGCAGAAAGGTAAAAGATGAATGTATTTTCCAACCCTAAACTAACACCCAATCCTGATTCTACTAGAGTATCTAAAAAGGTACATAGGTCTACTTTTGAAACACAGAGGTTTGGATTCTCTAAAATGATCTCTAGTAACATATAGTGTTTATGTAATTAATGCATGTTTATTAAATCTAGTTACTGGATGTGAATGGTGAATAAGAGGCAATAGTCCCTACCTCCATAGGACTTACATTTTAGTGTGTGCATGTACAAGAGTAAAGGGTGGGGGGAAGGGAGGAGAAAAAAATAAAGGAAACTCATAAAAGAAATATGTAATTTAATGTTCAGCAGTAAAAGAGCCACAAAGAAAGTTGAAGTACTATTATAAAAGAATGGAAAATGATGATGGCAAGGGGCCTGCCAGAGTTGAGGGTTGGGTTGGGCAGTTTGGGGTAGCCTGGTGCAGGCAGGTGGGTGAGGGGAGAGACTGAGGGCCGTGGGCCAGGCAGAGAGACCTGGTGGCATGGCATGCCTGGCCGAAGGAGCAGCAAATGCAGGCGGCCAAGGCAGCAGCAAGGGCGTGGGGGCTGCAGGCAGGCCTGGAGGCAGTCCAGAGTACCATGCTGGTGACATGGAGAGTCATAAGGATCTCAGGATGCCTGCCCAGCAGTTGGTTGTGCAGTGAATTGAAAAGAAGTGGAGACGGCAATGGCAGCTTTTGTGGAAAGGTTTATGAGAAGGGAAGCAAGGAGGGATTTGGGGACACAGTAAACTTCTTTTTTTTTGTGTCACGTGGTGATAACGGAAGTGTGGATGGTCTTGGGAATGATCCACCAGCAAGGAGAAGCTGCGGGCGCAGGAGGGAGAGGGCGATTTGCTAACGTGAAATCCTGGAGAAGGGGGTTCATGGAGCAGCAGGCCAGGAGAGATCGTGGCCGGTATGAAGGAGATGCACGGGTTAGGAACAGGGACCTCACAGCAAAGTGACCAGCCGAGAACGCCTATGGGCATGTATGCTTTGCGGGGACAGTGCAGGGAGTCTGTTCAGAGGTTTGAGGAGAGAGGAGAAGATGTGTTGGAGAGAGTGATCACATTCAGAAACTGTAGTAGGACCCAAACTATTGTGGATGTACTGCTGATTGTGGATACCCAGCATTGGGTTAAAATAGGGAGGACGGCATGCATTGGTATGCATTTAAAAAATGTTTTTATTGATTTCTGAGAGGAAGGAAGAGGGAGACAGGAATAGAAACATTATGATGAGAGAGAATCATTAATCAGCTGCCTCCTGCACACCCCCTGTTAAGGATCAAGACAGCAACCAGGGCATGTGCCCTGATCAGGAATTGAATCCTGACTTCCTGGTTCAATGGTCGACACTCTCAACTACTGAACAACACTGGCCAGATTTTTAGAGATTTTTAGAGAGAGTAGAAGGGAGGAAGCAAAGGGGGGATGAGAGAGAGAGAGGAGAGAGGAGAGAGGAGAGAGAGAGAGAGAGAGAGAGAGAGAGAGAGAGAGAGAGAGAGAGAGAGAGAGAGAGAAGTGATTGGTTGCCTCCCACATGTGCTATGACCAGGGATCCAATCGCAACCTTTCTGTGTTTGGGACAACGCTCCAACCAACTGAGCCAACCCAGCCAACGTTCTTGCCCGCCCCCCCTCCCCCTCCTTGGGATCAAATAGAGAAGGATTAGAAGGTAGATGGATATGTAGTTTCTGGAAAATATTCTAGATGCTTTCAAGGGTTCTATTAATGTAATTATGAAGCTCTAATTTAACTTCAGCACCTAATCAGTGCTTCCTCTTGATAGTGCTGTTTTACCAGCCCTGCTTGTTCACGGTGATTTTTGTTGAGGTCATTTCGGGGAGCTCACAATGAGGTGTGGGAGGGAGGGAAGAATGTTTCCCTCAGGTAGCTGAACAGGCATTTGCAGAGGGAGGGCAAGGAGATGAGGAGGCTATCTGCTTGTTTGCCTGCCTCGAGAGCAAAGGTAAGCCCTGTCCTAACTATGAAGTGAGTTGCGAAAGTGGACAAGGAGGACATATTAGGTCTGTTTCATGTCTTACTATCTCTGTGTGGAATGCTGGCAGCCTTTTGATGTAGTGGTATAAGTCAGCATTTCCCTCTCTGTGCTGTGAAGTAAGGTGTTCATTAGGTGTTTCTTCATAGGAACATGTTTGGTCTATTGTATTTGGGAAATGCCGCATTTTGTAGAAAGTTCACTCACTAACATAGAGTGCCTTGTGACCCGGTAGAGGTATAGGTGGAGCAGGTCTGTCATTGTTTGGCTGTGAAACCTTATTGAGGGATGTTTGTGACCAAAGGCCCCCCAGCACGGGGAATGTTGGTATAATTCACTTAGCACTTCATGGGACTCCAGAGCCCCCAGAGAACCTGGCCTACATCTCAGCTGAGTTGCTGAGAGGTGCAGGGCACAGTGGTTAATGCCATTGAATACAGAGCCGGACTACCTGGATCTGAGCCTCACTCTGTCACCGTTCACGTGACTGGCCATGTGACCTCTCCTCTTTTCACGAAATGGATAATAGTAATGCCTACCTTATACAGTTGGCATGTGGCTTAAAGAAAAGAATAGTGGAGAGCCTTTGGAAATTGCCTGGCACGTAGTAACCACCCCCTGAATATTACAGTGGTCATGATGACTATAATTATACCTGTTTATAATATCATTTTAAAATACCTTGTCCAAAGGCCCACTGTAAAACAAGAACCACCCTGGACTCCCCTCCATCCTCAAACCTTGCAGAGGGGAAATGAAAATGATAAGAATGTGCTTCATGTGTCAGAATGACTGAAAGGATAGATTAAGCTAATGTAGTTTGCGGTTGAGGAACATAATTAAAATATGTTTCACAGGACATAATGCTTTAGAAAATAAGTGCCTGTAAAAGCTGGAGGACCCGATTTGAGGGTGACCAGGTTATTCGTCTAACAGGTCTGCATTGTAGCACGTTACCTGTTGCTGTGAATGGTTGCTGGTTTCTATTGTGTCCATGCGATGTGGCTGCTGCTAATGGCACTTAATGAGTCTCCATTACTGCTGTTCAGACTGTACTGGTTTTGAATGAGATGAAACAGTGCATTGGATGAGAAACTCTAATTAAGCATATTTGGAGGGGAATATGCATATATTTTGTGCTCTCTCCCTCATCAGCCTTGCCAATTCTAGTTTTGCAGGTTCCAGAAGGTCAGGAAGCATTTGTAAAGCCTCTATTGAGTTATAGAAGTTGAATTCTATGGCAGACACAAGAAAGAGAAGGTGCCACCCACATAGACGATAATAAAAATGGAAAATTCCCCCCTCGTTATTATTTATTTCTTATGGGCAAAGCTGCCAGAGAGAAGAGATGGGAGATTTCTCAACCATGTGACTTGAGGGGCTCTCGAGAGGGGATGTGTAATACTGTTTTGGGAAATACTTGATACAACTCTTCACGGTCTAACCACTGCTCCTTCCAGTCTTCAAATGAGACTGGGGACCATTTTGTATTTCTGCATAGAGTCATATCAGCCATGACATTGTTGGTTGGATTCCCTGTCTTGCTGTTTTTACTTTATTCCTGTTTCTCAGAGATTTTCATTATTGAGAAATTGGAAAGCTTACTCCCTTCTCCAAATAAAATAATAAAATGGGAGGGAGGGGGGGGGGTGAAAGAACAATGTCGTAAGCCTGAGTCCATTGTGAAAATTTTGGTCTCTTTCCATTTTGTCTTCTCTATACCTTTAGTTAAAATTATACGTTTGGCCCTAGTCAGTTTGGCTCAGTGGATAAAGTGTCAGCCTGTGGAATGAAGGGTCCCAGGTTCGATTCCGGTCAAGGGCATGTACCTTGGTTAAGAGCACATCCCCAGTGAGGGGTGTGCAGGAGCTGCTGATCGATGACTCTCTCTCATTGATATTTCTAACTGTCCCTCTCCCTTCCTCTCTGTAAAAATAAATAAATAAATAAATAAATAAATAAATAAATAAATAAAATTATACATTTGTATTTTGTCCCCTGCTTCAACCTTATACATCAAAAACACATCCTGAGATGGTTAACCAGTCTTTGTAAACATAGTTTAACTTTTATTTTCTCTACTTACAAAGTTTTTCACACCACACTTAAAAGTATAGCCGGGACCGGTTTGGCTCAGTGGATAGAGCGTCGGCCTGCAGACTGAAAGGTCCCGGGTTCGATTCTGGTTGAGGGCATGTACCTTGGTTGCGGGCACATTCCCAGTAGGGGGTGTGCAAGAGGCAGCTGATCAATGATTCTCTCTCATCAATATTTCTAACTCTCTATCCCTCTCTCTTCCTTTCTGTGAAAAATCAATAAAATATATTAAAAAAAAGAAAGTATATACTGCAGAACATAACTAACATCTACATCTTTAACTCTACTGTTAGAAATAGCCAAAAGAAATTATCAACAATATGTTTGATTTTTAATGGCTTCATAATATTTTATCTCACAATGAAAAGAATATCTGTGTACTTAGCATAGTGAAATTCTTTATATATGTTTCCTAATTGAATGCCCCAATGTTGCATCCTTGTCTGCTTACCTAATGCAGTTGAATATTTTGCTATGTTTCCTTATTTTTTATCTTTTGTGAATTGTCTGTTCATGTTCTTTAGAGTCCTTGTAAAATATTTTTCTGCAACAATTTGTAAAAGTTTTGTTTTATTAAGGAATACAGACACCTCATCATATTTGTTAGAATAATTTCTAACTTATTTTTTTGTTTTAAATTTTATATTTTTATGTATAAGTTGTTTATGTAACCAAATATATATTTTATAATTTATGATATTCCTTGTTAAGCTTAGACAACCATGTTAGTTTCCCAAGGTTGCCATAACAAAGTACCAAAACTGGGGGTCTCACAAGGACAGAAATTTATTGTCTCACAGTTCTGGAGGTTAGAAGTCCAAAATTAAGATGTTGGCAGTCCATGCTTTTTCCAAGGGCTCCAGGGAGAGTCCTTCCTTACCTCTTCTAGCTGCTGGTTTGCTGGGAAGCGTTGGTGTCCTTGGTTTGGTTTTGTAGATGCATCATCCCAGCCACAGGTCAGCCTTCCCTCTGTGTATCTTTACATCATCTTCTCTCTGTGTCCACATTTCTCCTTTTTGCAAGGACCCTAGTCATCTTGACTTAGGGCCACCCTAGTGGTCTCATTTTAACTTGATCATCTCCATAAAGACTCTATTTCCAAATAAGGTCACACTCTGGGAGTACTGGGGGTTAGGGCTCAACATCTCTCAGGAGGACACAAAACCAAACCCATCCCCACACCGAGATATACACAGATAAATATTAACCAACATTTTCTCTCTCTCTGTCTGTCTAAATGAAATTAGTTGTTACATTTAATTAGACTCTACTTGCAGTAGATGTCTTGTGTTGCTTTGACATGAATCATTGGCCGGTCATCATGATGTTGGGTTTAAGTATTCAAAATAATATTTTAAAAATTGCCTCAGGTTTTCTCTGATGTAGGTCTCTTAAAGTAGGGTTTGTTTGAAACCTGAGAAACCAATTTGAGATATAGATTTTGATTTTTTAAAATATCTATAAAACATTTTTTTTTCTAATTGCATATTTGATTATTGATGCTGTTGCTGTCATTCTGGTTTCTTCCTCAGGATATCCTTTCCTTACCAAAATAGCATAGTGCTTACCAATGGGAGACATCCAAATGTTTGTCATATAAATTAACAAATATATAAATTATTACAAGTGGGCTGAGTGGTGAGATGATTGAAGGGATAACAGGAAGCTGAACATATTATTCTGAAATATTAGAAATAATGGCCAGTGTAGATTTGTTATTTTTCTGTATTGGGGTGATAGTGGGAACTACAGGAGTGGGTGAGAGCCCCTGGAATGAGAGGATATATTGGAGATGGAAGATGGCAGAAGACACACCTAACTTTGAAAAGCAGCTTAGGCTGAGGATGAAAGGACACCAAGAGAATAAGGCCAATAAATTCCCACTGGTTTAATGTGTCTATCGGCTTTCTCCCTCCCTTCACCATTAGGGTTACAGAGATGTACTTCCAACTGAAAGAAATGAATGAAAAGGTATCTTTTATAAAGGACTCCTTACTGTCTTTGGACAGCCAGGTGGGACACCTGCAGGACCTCTCTGCCCTGACAGTGGACACCCTAAACGTCCTTTCTGCAGTTGACACTTTGCAAGAGGATGAGGCTCTCCTGGCCAACAGAAAGCTTCCTACTTGCAGAAAGCTCCCCCACAGCTGGAGCAATGTCATCTGTGCAGAGGTTCTAGGCAGCATGGAGATGCCTGGGGAGAAGAAATACCAGTATTACAGCATGCCGCCTTCTCTGCTGCGGAGCCTGGCCAGAAGCCAGCATCCCTCCAGAGTGCAGAGGGGACCCCTTGCTGTGGTTGCACACCGTCGCAGAGAGACTTCAAATGTAAGAGATGACCAGGAAGAGCAAGAAATGGAAAACAGTACAGGTGCTTGTTGCCTTGACAGGCAAGCCCACCCAAAGCATGGCCACTTTATTCTGGTCCCTTCTCATCTAAAGCAAGTTCCTTCTTCTGCAGAAACTGACTTGCTTCTGTCCAGATCACCTGTGGACGTGGGTACAGGTGTGCTGGCACCTGAACAGGCCACCCAGAATGGAGTCCCTGTTCATCGGACTTGGCAGACCCCAGTTGTCCCAGCCCAGAGCTCAGTGGCTGAACACAAGGAGCATACGCATGAGCCAATCGTTCACATACCAGCCAGACAAGGCAGGGGAGAGAAAGTTCTAACCACTTGGATTTGCACCCCTGCACCCATGAAAGCTGAGAGCGTGCAAAGTGGAGGTGGATATGTGAACTGGGCATTTTCGGAAGGTGATGAAACTGGTGTGTTTAGCAATAATAAAAACCGGCAAACCTGGTTGGCCTCTACTTGTAACAGTAACTCTAATGAGAGTGGACAATGCCAGAGGCAGATCTTGTGCAGATCCCTCCCTGATACCTCAACAGGATGGGCCCAGCATAGCGATTGCTCAGAGGTGGGACCAAGACTCCAGCCAAACACATCCTTTTGGATCAATCCTCTCCGCAGAGACAGGCCCTTCTTTCGGAGTCAGAGTTTGAGAACACAAAAGGAGGAGAAACTGAAGACCTGTAACGTTACAAGTAAGACATAAAACAAAACAAAACAAAACTGTAAATTCTTTGCATTGCTACTATTTTTAAAAAGTCTATGACTTTTGCCTACATTCTCATTCTCTCCATTCTTTCATCCTTCCAGTTAAACAAAATAGTTCTCATACTATTTTCAACTTTGTCGTATAAACCATTTCCCTCACAGATTGTTCAAGATCTTCAGCGATGGGACAGTCAGCATGGATCAAAGCAAAAATGCTAACCAAGGAGAGAAGATCGTCAAAAAAAAAGAAGAAAACACAAGGACTCCAAGTGCCTGTAAGTGCCTTGTACACTGAGTGGCCAGATAGTTATGATCTGTGAACACATAATAATCTGGCCACTTGGTGCATATCCTACATAATAAAAGGCTAATATGCAAATTGTCCTCTCGACCAGGAGTTCGACCAGCAGGCAGGCCTGCCAACTGCCCATGTCTCCTCCCCTTGGCCAGGCTGGCCAGACCCCACCCATGCACAAATTCATGCACCAGGTCTCTAAAACACTCACTCACACACACACACACACACACACACACACACACACACGAGTGGCCAGATTATTATGCATTCAGAGATCATAATAATCTGGCCACTTAGTGTATGTTTTTGGCAACTGAGATAGCAGCCAATCTTAGCTTGTTTTCTCTTTTGTCTAAAGTTTCATATACACAAAATAACACCATGAAGACATAACTATGTCATTTGAGTGGATGCACCATAATTCATTAGCTCACATGTTGACATTTGTCTCATTTTTAGTTTTTGGCTGTTCCACACAAAGCTGTTGGGAACATTCGCACACAAATCTTTTTGAGGCTATGTGCTTCAATTTCTCTCCCATAAATGTTTAGGAGTGGAATGTCAGAATCATATGGTAAGCAGTTGTTATAGAAGATACTTCTAAACTGCTTTCTAAATGGTTGCACCATTTTAGATTCCCACCCATCTGAGCAATACTTCATGAGCATCCCAGCAATCCACATCCTCACCAGTCCTTAGTGTGCTCAGTCCTTTCAATTTTAGCTTTATCAGTGGGTGGGTAGTGACATCTAATGATGGTTTCATCTGCATCCCATAGTGATGTAGCAATAGGTGTCATTTCGTGGGCTTATTGACCATCCATATTTTTTTTGGGTGACATGCTTGTTCAAACCTTTTGTCCATTTAAAAAAGTTGGTCTGTTATTAAGTTGAAAGATTTACTTTGTATCTTTCAAGGAATCTGTCCATTTCACCTAAGTTGTTGAATTTATTGGAATAAAGTGTTTATAATATTATTATCCTTTACTGTCTATGGGATCTGTAGTGACATCACTTGTCTCATTCCTGATATTTTAAATTTGAGTTTTCATTTTTTGTCTTATGATCAATTTGGCTACAGTTTATGTTTTATTGATCTTTTTAAAGAACCAACTCTTATTTTCACTGATTTTTCTCTGGATTCTAGTTCATTGATTTCTGCTCTTATCTTTATTATTATCCTCTATTCTGTTTACTTTGGGTTTAATTTGCTCTTTTTTTTTGAAGTTTGTTAAGGAAGAAACTTTGGTTATTGATTTGAGACTTCTTTTCTAATATAGGCAGTTAATGCTATAAAATTTCATACAATAAGTGTTTTAGCTATCATACAAATTCTTTTTTTTTAAATAAATTTTTATTGTTCATATTATTACAAATGTTCCTTTCCCCCCCCTTCTCACCCCACCCTCTGCCCTTTCCCCACCCCCCATTGTCCTCATCCATAGGTGCACAGTTTATGTTCAGTCTCTTCCCACATCCCCCTCTCCCCTTTTCCCCAAGAATAAACAGTTCACTCCCCTTCCATACCTCTGATTCTATTATATTCAACAGTTAATATTGTTCATCAGATTTTTTTTTTTTTTTTTTTTTAGTTTCCTTGGTTTTTAGATTCACTTGTTGATAGTTACGTATTTGTTGTTCATAATTTTTATCTTTATTTACTTTCTCTTCTGAAAGAAACCCCTTCAGCAATTCATATAATTCTGGTTTGGTGGTGATGAACTCCTTTAGCTTTTTTTTATTAGTGAAGCTCTTTATCTGACCTTCGAATCTGAGTGATAGCTTTGCTGGATAGATTATCTTTGGCTGTAGGTTCTTGCTATTCATCACCTTGAATATTTCTTGCCATTCCCGTCTGGCCTGCATGGTTTCTGTTGAGAAATCAGCTGACAATCGTATAGGTGCTCCTTTATAGGTAACTACCTTCTTTGCTCTTGCTTCTTTTAATATTCTCTCTTTGTCTTTTGCTCTTGGAATCTTAATTATGATTTGTCTTGGTGTGGTCCTCTTTGGATTCCTTTTGTTTGGAGTTCTGTGTGCTTCCTGGACTTGTAAGTCTAATTCTTTCACCAGGTGGGGAAAGTTTTCTGTCACTATTTCTTTCAGTATGTTTTCGATATCTTGCTCTCTCTCATCTTCTGGGACCCCCATAATTCTGATGTTGGTTCGCTTGAAGTTGTCCCAGAGGTTTCTTACATTATCTTCAACTTTCTGGATTCTCTGGCCTTCTTGCGTCTGCGGAGGAGTGTCTTCTGGCTCTTTATGTTCCAAATCTTTGACTTGATTCTTGCGATCTTCCATTCTGTTTTTAGGATTCCATAAAATATTTTTTATTTCAGACAATGTATTCTTTATTTCTTGTTGATCCCTTATTATTTCTAGTTGATCCCTTTTCATATCCTCATAGGTCTTGTTTATTTTATCGGCCTTTTCTAGGAGATTCTTGAACAACCTTATAAGTGTGGTTTTGAACTCTATATCCAGTCACTTTTTGTCCTCCATTTCTTTGGTTTGTGATCTATTTGGTTTAGGCATTTTCGCAGGCAGCTTTCCTGATGGGGCAGGGTTTCAGGGTGGAGCCTACAGCCTTGGCTTCCGTCAGCCCCGCCCTATGCGACTCCTGAGACTCAGGGTCCTTCAGTACTTGTTGCGAGCGCCTCTGAGAGAAAGGTGCCCTTGATTTTCGCCTGCTGCCAAACTATCTATGCTCTCCCCCAATGAGTCCGGTATTGGGGTTCAGTTCAGTTGGTAGTGGGATTGGAGGCGGCGTTCAGAGCAGTCTGGAGCCCCTGTCTCCTTCCCGTTAGGGCAATCCCGCGGCACAGCTGGCCGGCCCTTCTCTGCGCGCAGTGTGCGCGCCTCCAGGACCTCCTTTCGCCGCTTCCCCGGAGTCCCGCCTTACAGCCCGGCTCCCTATGGATGAGCCTGGGTCCCCGGGGTCTGGCCTAGAATTGGGGTTCAGAGCAGTTGGAGCTGGGCCCAGCACAATCGGAGCTTTTCTCTCCTTCCCGCTTGGGACCGCCAGCCAGGCACTCGGCCTCCCTCCTCTCCTGCTCTGTCCTCTCCACGCCGCCGCGTGTCTCTGTACCTTGGGCTTTTACAGCTCCTCCGCGCTTCCTTCTGGTTTTCTCCTTGCTTCTTGTTGTAGAATTTCCAGTCAGTCGACTTTCCTGTAGTTCTGGGTAATGTCCATTTTATATTTTAGTTGTATTTTGTTGAAATTGTTGTGTGCGGCTGCGGCTAGTTGCCTACCCGAGCAGCCATCTTGGATTCTCTGTCAAGAAATTCTATCATACAAATTCTTTATTTATTTTCATTTAGTGACTCTTCTTATTTATTATTTGGAAGCCTTAGATCTGAGTTAGCTATTCTATAGGACTTCACCTTTCATGGTTTTAATGTCTTGCTTTACTTTTCTATTTCACATATATTTTTTTAAAACAACAATCTCAATGCATTTTAAGTATTATGTCTAACTTTTATTTTTTTAACATTTTATTTTCAATTATAGTTTACATTCAGTATTATTTTGTATTTGTGTACTGCATAGTGGTTAGACAATCTTATATTTCCCGCTGATATTTCCAGTACCCACTGGGCACCGTATATAGTTTTTAAAATATTATTGACTATATTCCTTATGTGTACTTTATATCCCCGTGATTTTGATGCATTTTTTAAATCCTCACCCGAGGATATTTTTTCATTGATTTTTAAAGAGAGTGGATGAGAGAGGGAAAGACAGAGAGAGAGATTGATGTGAGAGAAACACATTGATTGATTGCCTCCTGCACAAGACCCAACCATGGCCCAGGCTGGGAGGAACCTGAAACCGAGGTACCTGCCCTTGACCAGAATCAAACCCTGAACCCTTCAATCTGCAGGTCAATGCACTAGCCATTGAGCCAAACTGGCTTGGGCTTAATGCATTTTTTTTTTTTTATAAAGCACTTCTGTTCTTTTGGGAATCAGAAGCAAAAATATAAATATTGAGAAAATGATGTGAAATTATCTTTTAGACAGAGAGATTGACTTGCTAAAAAGACTCTGGGGAAATGCTATGAGTTTCTAAAATCCCATGACATAAGAATTTAAGTAGATTTATTTTTTGCAAAAGTTAAAAATGGCCAGATTTCAACGAGGAATTTTAACTGAGTTCAAGTACTAATAACATGCATTTGCTTATTGCTTTGTAGTTTATTAGTTTTCTCCATTTTCTTCTCTGCCCTTGGGAAATACATAGAGCACCGTTATTATTGACTACCTATTATTTTAATGGTAAAGGGGATGAGGCTCATAGACATTAAATAATTTGCCCAAGTTTATGTAGTTTCTAAGTGGCAGAGCTAGAATTCCAACACACGTTCTTTTGGATCCCAGCCTTGTTTGTTTCTTTTTCCTCTATACCAGTGGTTCTCAAATTGTGGTCTCCTAGCAGTGTGGAAACTTATGAGAAATTCACATTTTCCTTCCCGGCATTGAATCACAGTTCCAGGGGGTGGGACCCAGTGATCTATGGTTTAACACAGTCCTGGGCGATTCTGATGCACACTTACGTTTGAGAAGCCCTGCTTCCCACCCTCGTTCCCATTCATGATTGCTAATAGGAGAGTCACCTGATGCTCATGAACTGTCAGCATGAGTGATGGGAGCGAGAGCTTCCTGGTTATTCTAATGTGCAGCCAATGCTTCACCAGGGCCCCTCTGTTAATATGACTCCATGTTTTCAGATTAATGTCACTGTGTTCCAATGAGTATCCTTCTCTCCAGGTCATAACAATCGATGCCTGTTTTCAAGGTGACCAATCCAATTCAGAACCAGGAGAAAGTAACATCTCCAAAGAAGAGGCACGCAACAGGAACTGGCTGACGGTGTCCAAGTTTAGTCAGATAGGTATGTAACAGTCTGCCCTCTTGGATCCCCAGATCTCTGGTAGAGTCTCCCTAAGCTGTGATCTATCAACCACGGGTGGCCCCTGATGTTCTTTTAAGTGGAGATGAGTGAATGAAGGGTGGTAACACCCTTTTTGGGGAAAAAATGCTCTTTTCTGTTTTTAATTTTTATGAAAGGAACGAAATTTCTATGTGTTTAATGAGTCTAGAAAAGAAAAATTAGGATTTAGATAGTTGTTTTATTCAGTGTTCATTTAGTCTGATTTGTGGGCAGGGGTTGTCTAATTTTATAGTCTTAAGGCTCGTGTGACATTGACTTGGACACTTACACAGAGCTCAGTGGATTGAGTTGTACTTGGTTATTTACAACTGTCCACAAATAATGTTCATTCTGTGGGCAAGTATCCCTTAAGTTTAATAAGTGTGTTGTGTGTGAGGATAGAAGATGGGTCAGCCAGCTAGAAATGAAGACTGGCATACAATGTGAAATAAGCCTAGATAAGTAAGATGAGGACAGACTATGAACAGAATTGAGAGCAGTGATCAGAACTTTGAACTTCTTGCATTAGATAACAAGATAATTTACTAATTTTTAAATAGAAAGGACTATGTAAGAACTCATGAAGATTTAAAATTATTTGAGAGATCAACCAAAGGACTTGTGTGCATGCATATAAGCCTAACCAATGGTCATAGACAACAGGGGGTGAGCATACATGGGGAGGGGTTTGGGAAGGGAATGGGGGGATGAGGACAATTATGTGATACCATAATCAATAAAGAAACTAAAAAAAATAAAATTATTTGAAATACCAAACTTAAGGTATAAATAGACATTATATTGAAATCTATATTAAGCTTCTTTAAAGTTTCTTTAAGCTTGCTTTTATAGTTGACTAGAGGCCTAGTGTATGAATTTGGGCTAGTCAATGAAGGGCTTTGGGCAGTTGGCCCTTCGCCTTGGTCGAACTCCCCTTGAACTCCCGGTCAAGGGGACAATTTGCATATTAGCCTTTTATTATATAGGATAGTTTTTAACCGAGGGGTAGTGGCCAGGAATGCTGCTAAACATCCTATAATGGGCAGTCTCACCCCTAACATGTAATTATCTGGCCCAAAATGTCAATGTCAAAGTTGGGAAACTCTGATTTATATTTTTAAAAGTACTCAATTTTCTGTTAAATCATTGTGAATCAAGAGGGCTCTAAGTGGAAAAAGACATTAGAAATTAAATTATTCAGAACAACCTCAATTTACAGTCATGGCTTGAGAGCTTAATTATCTTGCCTTAAATCACACAGCTTATTAGAGCCCATAATTTGAATAAATCAATCTCATACCTAAATATTTGATTCTAGGACTAACTATAAATGTATTCATTTTATTAATGTATATTTAATATCTATTACATATTTTAATCAGTTATCTGATTTTTAGGTTAGTATATATCATCCTTATTTAAGTTATTTTTAAAATTAAAATATAATCCTTTATAATAAAGAGGTAACATGCAAATTGACCATCATGCCCTCACACAAGATGGCCACCCCCATGTGGTCACAAGGTCACCACCACAAGATGGCCGGCAGGGAGGGAAGTTGTGGATTATTAGGCCAGCAGGGGAGGGCAGTTAGGGGCAACCAGGCTGGTAGGGGAGGGCAGTTAAGGGTGATCAGGCTGTCAGGGGAGGGCAGGTAGTGATGACCAGGCCAGAAGGGGAGGGCAGTTGGGAAATCTGGCCTAAACCAGCAGTCAAATATCCTGTGAGGGGTCCCAGATTGGAGATGGTGCAGACTGGGCTGAAGGACAACCCCCCTGTCAACCCCCCACAGTGCTTGAATTTCATGCACCGGGCCTCTAGTTGACATACAACATTGTATTAGTTTTAGGTATACAATATAGTAATTTGAAGCATATCGTGAGTTGAGAATCTTCATTTTTTGGAACCTGCTTAAATTGAATTAATTTAAAAATAAATAACTTTGAGGGTAAGGAGATGCCCTGTCAGTTAGCTCTCTTTAAATAAAAGTTCTGAGGAGATTAACAATGAAATGAAAACATATACTTTTTAGCTTTTCCTATAGGTATTTTATTTTAATTGTAATACTCTAATTACAATCATAATTATCATAGTTTTATATTTTGACAAATATATATGAAATTTTGTGATTTTTCTAATAGATTTTTCATGTCTTATATACTTCTTTCAGCACAAAATCATTAAAAAAAATACCACTATTACTTCCTATGTTTAGTTAGGAACTCTTAATAAGTATTATGCTCAGATTTAATCCAACTGCTATATGCCATGGACTCTGTAGGTATCAGGTAAAAATATTACTACTAATTCTCATCTTTTTAAAGAAAAGTCTAAAAATTAAATCCATTTGCTGGCATTTTTATTTATTTATTTTAATTTTTACATAGCCCACTATGATGCTACAGTTGTTAAGGAAGGATTCCCAACAATTTGGAACTAAAATTTCACATATTTAAAATAAAGCATGGATGGTAGGGTGTAGGCGCGAGTGTAAAAAATATACAGAAGGCATGTTTTATAGGCTCAGCAGGTTATAAATAAGTTAAGTTTTTGACTTAATAGATAAGTATAAATGTTATAAATGTCAAGGTAACTATTGAAGAATAGTAATAGGATATATAGCTTTCAACCACTTGAGAAAAATAAGGACAAAAGAATCTTTCTAAAACTCGTTGAAAAGAGAAAAAAAGCTGTATTCACATTTAGATGAATACACTCTGTTCAGATCTTTCTATTTGAAAGCAGCACATTTTCATGTATTCTCAATTTTTTTTCCTCCTTTTTAACAAGGTCTAGAACCTAACATATACCAGAAAACAAAAACTAAAGGAACGGAGCAGCATGCTGTACAAGTCAGTGATTATCTAAAGCAATCTCCAGAGGTAAAAGCTCTCCTGTGACACGTTGTAAGAAAACATTCATGCACACAACATAACTCCTTGACTGTGTGTTTGCTTTATCTTTATGTCCCTTCATTGGCTTCTGTGCATTACCTTGAAATCTTTGCTTTGAATATCTGCCCAGTTTTTTCTCCCATCCCCACATTTTATGCTTTGCTTGTTCTTTTTTATGTAATTTGCCTATTCACCCAATCATTTATCCTGTGCATTTTGGGCACGAAAGAGAAAGAACTTGGGAATTTTTCAAACTCTTTTCAGTAGGCTTTTACCAGGTAGAATCAACATATAGAAGTTACTGGGAGACGAAGTTCAGCCCAATTTGAGGAGGAGTTTTTAGCAAGTGGAGCTTTCCAAGGATGGGATGGTTTATTTCTGGAAGTCCTAGGTTCCTCACTCCATGTGGTTAGTCAGACAGGCTGAGCAAACCTCTGCAGTTGTGCTGGAGGGGATTGGGCATTGCAGGGTAAAGGGCCCTCAGTGTTTCTGCAACACTGAGGCTCTCCTTGTTTGTGGTCTGTTTTCTTTTAAAAAAATATATTTTATTGATTTTTTAAGAGAGGAAGGGAGAAGGATAGAGAGTTAGAAACATCTATGAGAAAGAAACATTGATCAGCTGCCTCTTGCACACTCCCTACTGGGAATGTGCCCACAAACAAGATACATGCCCTTGACTGGAATTGAACCTGGGACCCTTGAGTCCGCAGGCTGATGCTCTATCCACTGAGCCAAACGGGTTAGGGCTGGTCTGTTTTCTTTACCATCCACAGCATGTGCTTGCTTTACTTCCCATGTGGGAAGTCTGATCTAGTTAGCTATCCCAAGAAATCTAATTTTGGTTTGGTTTGCATATTATCTCTATTGTGGGAACTATGTACACATTACCTGTATGAATGTATACTAACAGCCTGAGATGTTTTTGAAGGAATGTAACCTGAAGGAATGTAAATATACTTTTATTGATTTTAGAGAGGAAGGGAGAGGGAGAGAGAGAGAGAGAAACATCAATGATGAGAGACAATCATTGGTTGGCTGCCTCCTGCATGTCTCACACTGGGAATCAAGCCCGCAACCTAGGCATGTGCTCTGACCAGGAATCCAACCGTGACCTCCTGGTTCATAGGTAGATGATCAACCACTGAGCCATAGCCAGGCTGTGAAAGGTTTTGATAGTAAAAGGTTTTGATAGGTAATTAGAAGCAGAGATCTGTCTGCCCTGTCCAATCCTGGTTCTGCCACTTCTAGGTTTCAAAGTTATATACATCTGTTAACCTCTGAACTTTGGGAGCTGAATCTCTAAAATGGGGCTAATGAGGTAGTGGATGACAAAAATAACACTAATGGAAATGCCTAGAGTAATGGCTGGAGTGTCCTAGATTTCAAGAAATAATAGTTGAATTAGAATAGGAAAAAGAATGAGATGATTTCAGGGTAAAGTTATTCTAAACAATCAACTGAAACAAAAGTCTATTGATGATAGGACATAATGATGTAATGATCAAGAAGATGTTTCCTGTCAATGTTGACCTTCATTTCTTCTTGATTTTATATGTTCACTCTCATTTCTCTTTTTAAAAAAAATAATATTAGTTTCCTTTAAAATATATTTTTATTGATTTCAGAGAGGAAAGGAGAGGAGGAGAGAGAGAGAAATATCAATGATGAGAGAGAATCATTGGTCAGCTACCTCCCGCTTGCCCCTGACTGGTGATAGAGCTTACAACTTGGCATAGAGAGGGAACCAAACTGTGACCACATGGTTCATAGGTTGACATTCAACCACTGACCCCACACCAGCTTGGCTTCACTCTCATTTCTGTAAAAACCTTTATATATTACATTTTCTCTTTGCTGTCACCATAAAAGTAATTTCATTCTGTTGAAGTCCATCAGCAGATTGAGTTACTTAGATTTTGTGCTAACATTATGCATCTTTCTAGCCTAGGTCTAGTATGTTAAGTAAAAGAGAAATAATGAGCTATAGGAAGTGGGGAAGGACTATACTTTTCAAGCAGTGTGCTTTGCAAGCATGTTCCTGGAAGCGTGGGGTAAGAAAATGTTGGGTGAACATATAATAACCTTTCCCTTCTGCTCAGGATCTGAGTAAAAACTCTTTGTGGAATTCCTGGAGCACCAATCTCAATAGGAACTCCCTGTGAGTATTTCTAAATGTCTGTCTTTAGCATCTTTGGCTTCTGTTTTTATTTTTAACCGTATTGGGAACACAGGCTTAATTTGGTCAGAAAAGGAGAAAAATAGTGTTTGTCCAATGACAGTATTTTTCTTTTGATAGCAACAAATGAAAATCATTTGTTCTCCATGTTTTCCCATGTCTGGGAACAAGGTCTCATCTCATTGCCTTTTAAGATGATAATGTAGCACCTGATACCACAGCAAATTAACCATTTGTCTTTTTCATGTCAAAAAGCACACATGGAATAATGAGTACCACATCTTTTCTGATAGGTAAGATTGTGGGATTTACATTAAAGAGTAGAAATGAAGCTGTCTTGCCTAAAGAAAAAGACTGAAACTAAAGACCTGATTATGTTTTTTTTCCCTTTACTTTTAAAAATCTTGTCTAAACATTTTTTTCTTTTTGCTTATGAGGTTGATCTTTTTTTTGTTTGTTTTTGGCTTCTCATTAGAATCTTAAAGTGTTTGTCAAGGCAGCAAATTTGAGAAATACAGAGACAGAGAGCAAGAAAGATCAGGGAGGTGGAGAAGGGGAGGGGTGATAGACACCTGGTTGTCGATTTGAGAATCCTGAAATTTTATTTAGTCAGAGAAATAAAATTTTAAAATGAAACGAGCAAAGATTATTCTATTTTATTTGTAGTGTTTTCTGGGCTTTTCCAGACATATCACCAAATTCACTATCCATACAGCCATAGAAGCAGAATTCAAAACCATCTATTCTACAAAGGGCCAGCTGCTATCAAGCAGGTGGAATGTGATTTTCAGGGAGTAGCCAGCTCCATCAGAGATTACCTTTTCTGCTGGAGCTCCTATCATCAAGGTCTCTGTGCAAGCCTGCCTCTAGACGCAAAGCACATGTGACTTTCTTCTCCCAGGGGTTCAATAGTTTGTGCGCATGCAGAGTAGTGGGTTATTGCAGCATGAAATTAAACAATAATTGTAATTGTGCTTTTCCCCCCAAGGACTTCACATACGGGAGATATTCTTTAAATGCATTTACTCAGACTTTCCCATGGCCACTTGTGCACTTGAGCAGGGCAAGTAACAATTTAAAGCTAATTTCAGCCTGTGAACATTTAGGGGCCACGTGGGCTAATGAAACTGATTTGTAGGCTTGTCTGGAGATATTCACAGACTCATTTGTAGGCATCTGCTTTGCATAGTTCAGGAACCTTTTAGTTCAATTGATCCAGAACAACACAAACACAGTTAATCTTATATATGTTGTGTGATCATAGCTAATTAAAATGAAAAACCAACACTGCTTTTCAGTTAGCTTAGGTCCTACATAGTATTATAGATGAATTACATGAATATTTAAAGTATTTCTCTGTTGATAAAGATAGGGGTCAAAGATAACTGAACTTTTCTGTCAATGAAATATATACACACATACATCCTATATAATAAAAGCCTAGTATGCTAAGTGTCCAGTTGTCCGGTTGGCCATTCAACCAATTAAAGTATAATATGCTAATGATATGCTAAGGATGCTCAACTGCTCACTGTGATGTGCACTGATGACCAGGGGGCAGACACTCAGTGCAGGAGCTGCCACCTGGTGGTCAGTACCCTCCCACAGCAGGAGTGCTGCTCAGCCAGAAGCTGGACTCACGGCTGGCGATCACAGCAGCAGTAGCAGGAACCTCTTCTGTCTCTGTGGAAGTGCTAAGGATGTCCGACTGATGACTTAGTAGGCCATCAGGTGGAAATTACTGAAGGGCTCCCGGACTGCGAGAGGGCACAGGCCAGACTGAGGGCGCCCCCCCCCCCCAAGTGCATGAATTTCGTGCACCAGGCCTTTAGTACATATATATGTATAGACTCTATATTGTTACTGTTTCACATACTTCTCCTTCCTTTGATCACTGAAAAATGTAAAGCATTGTCTAAACAACTTTTAATTTTTCAACAGATTGAGAAGTTCAAATGGAGTTGGCAGTAAGTTTTTGTATTTAAATGTTTTATTTTTTTGTCTTATCAGTGATGAGATTTACTCTTCTTTTCAGATTTTTGTAGTTCTTGAAATTCTATCTATGACTTGCCTAATATGCAAAATAGAAAGTTCAGCATAAAAGTAGAAAGTTGAATGTCTTTCTCCAGATACATCAGGACTGATGTCTAGTTTAGAATCACCTGTTTTTAACTGTGATTTTCCAGTTTTCTCTGGGTAAAACCACGGAGCTCATTTAGAGTGAGTGAGGGTAAAACCACGGAGCTCATTTAGACTGCTCGACCACTGTTACTTTTTCACACGTTGCTCATTAAGAGCTATTCATAGGATTATATGTGGATGCCTTTCCTACATGTTTTCATTAGGACTTTCATCCAACTGGCTAAGTAGGGCTGCCATGTGAGAAAACTCCCTGGTAAAGCCACTCTCAATAGCTAACTTTAAATGTCACCCCACTCTCTGAGTTCTTTTTCATATTCTTGATCCCTTGATGCAGATTGGGTATCTTCCTCTTCTATAGTCTTGTTTCATTCTACTTATTGGGTTTTCAGTACCCCTTTATAGTCAATTCCTTCTCCTCTACCTACAAACAAATTTAAGTCATTTTCTATACAAAAGAAGAAAATGATCATGTTCTTGATTTTACATAGCTTTCAAGCTGCCACTCCTTTTCCTCCCCTCCAGATGGGTGGAAACAGTATTAACATTTGCTCATCAGCCCATGGCGCCTGTCCACACCACTCTACTGCTGTCCCGCGCTAACTGCTAAGCCACACGACCTCCTTTTAGTCCTCATCGAAACAGTGGGATTTATGTTGACCGTTTTATCCATCTCCTAAGTTTCCTGGAGGCTACTCTTCCCTGGCTGTTTTTCTATATCTTTGTTCTCTCTGTTGACTGAGTTTTGGTCCCTCTAATAGCCTCCTCTTCCTTCACCAAAGCTGTAAACCTCAGCATTTACTGGGCCCTTCCGCACCACTGCTCTTAGCTTTCAACTGTCCTCTAACTCTGTTACCTCCACCTCCGTCTGTAGAAGCCGTCTGTTTTGCTCTGCCACTGCTCCTGCCTTCAAGCTTCCAACGTTTATTTTCCTAAATAAAAAGCGTGTACTTTATTTTGCCTTTGATATTGTGCTAGTATCGTGGTTGTTTTCTCTCTTTAAACTTGACCACATTCCTACTGGAATTATCTTTCTGAGCCATAAAGCATTGCTTCTATGCTTTCCTTTACCTCCTACAGGATAGGCTGCAAATTGTGTAGTCTTCCTTGTGATCTTGACAGCCTGGTTCCAGTCTCAGTTTCCAGGCTCATGTGCATGAGCCGTTTCACTCAATATTTCTGCCATGGAGAATATGACCACCCACCTATTAACACCTGCGCGTGGTGTCTAGAAGGCACTGTAAGCAAAATGCTCCGCTATCTTCTCCTCCATCTGAGGAAATAGTAACTCCATCCATCTGATTGCAGAGGCCAAAGTCTTATCATCTTACTTATCTCCCATTTTCTCACGTCTCCGTGTCTAACCCATCAATAAGTCCTTCAAAGAATCTGATCACTTTGCTACTTCCACACAGCACTCTTCATCTCTTCCCTGGTTTACAGGATGGCCTCCAAACTACTGGTCTCTGTCTGTTTCCAGAGAGCAGCCAGAATAACCCTTCTAACCTGCAAGTCAAGTTGAGTCACTCTTTTGTTGAAATGGTGTTTCATTTCACTCTGTAAAAGCCAAATCCAGTTGACAAGGGCCTATTGATCTGTTCCTCCTCCTCCAACGCTCCAACCTCATTTCCTCTCCACATAGTCCTGGGCCACACTTCTCTTCCTTCATACAGCAAGCATGGCCCTGCCTTGGGCATTTGTGCTTGCTGTTACCTCTGCCTGGAATGCTTTTCATTTATCCATTTGACTCTTCCCCTCTCTTTCTTTAGGCCTATGTTCAAATTTCAGCTTATCAAAGAGGTCTAGCCTAGCCACCCTGTGTAAAATAGTAAACTTCCTATCCCCCATACTTCCTAAACCTTTAATTTGATATACACTGAGTGGCCAGATTAGTATGCGATCAGAGATCATAATAATCTGGCCACTTAGTGTATATGTAAAACACTATATAGATTATATATTTATTTGTTAGTTTATTTTCTATTTTTCTTTACTAGACTGTAGCCTAAGTCTTCATCTGTGTTCATTAATATAATTCCACTTGAGCATAGACCAGTGTTTGGTACATAGTAGGGTGTTCAAAAAATATGTACTGAGTCAAGATATCATGGCTCCTTCAGTGGTAAAGCCAGGATTGAAACTCAGCTTTATCAGACTTAGATGACCATACTCTTTAAAGTATTTCATTTTATTTGTCCGTAAAGTTTCCATAAGCTTCTGTAGTCACCTCTATTATATAACTTAGCAAGATGTATTGTGATTATGTTTCACATGTCTTTCTCTCCCACTATTTCATATTTGCTTTTCTCTAGGGTGAGAGACACATCTTATTCACACCTGTCACATCTAGTATTACATGCTATTATTTATTATTATTACATGAGATTGGAAATAAAGAGTCTTTTCTGCTGATCCTACTTTTTACCAAGCACCCCCAAAGGAAGGGATTTTTGTTCCTTTCCTTATCCAGCAACAAGGAGCCGGAGAGATCTATGAAATTGGGCTCATTATGCTGCATACTCTACTAGGTATAAAGCAACTATCACCATGAGACTGAAGTTCTCCACTTTAATTTTGATTTTATGAAATGGCAAAACTGTTGCAAAGGATTTCTCTGGAGGCTTGTAATTTAGGACTTGAGCACATAATAGAGAACCAGTTAAACTTGCAGGAGGTGTTCCCAGCACACGGTCCTTCTGTAACCAACAGATCCCTTGTGTCATATTCTCCACCCACTTCTTTGTTTCTGCTTATACCTCATAATGCGTTTTCATCATTTTGTTGTCATTTTAGGTCATGGAAGTAGTCTGCTAATAACTTGATATTAATAATGTCTTTATATGGGTACTGCATCTTGGTAGGGAGCTCAGAGAATTGTGCTTCTGGGATGTCGTGAAGTGTGATGGGCAGCTGAGTGCCTTCTGCAACCCAGAGGTATTATTGGTTCAGAGGAAATACATCTTTGAGGCTAATATTAACTGTCTTTCTTCAATTCCCTATATAAATATGTTTGGAAATATTGCATTGATGATTGGAAGCTGTCAGGATACCATGCACAATAATGTGGTTAAAGGGTATTAGGCAATCTTTTTGAATACCGAGAAGCTATTCTGATTAACTTGTTCAATAATAACTTTGAAGGCAATATATTCAGGAGCATGTATTTATCTCCAACCAAGTAATTAAAATGCCAATCTTCTCTATAATTTCAGAAATCTCAGCCTCCTTAAAAAGCCCTCAAGAGCCTCACCATCATTATTCAGGTAGGATGCACATGCACAGCCACATGTCAACGGAGCTAAACATCTGTGATTCTGCATTTGTACCTGTGTACAAATTTGTAGCATCAATATGGTTCCCAACTCAAAGAGTTGTTTGCTCTGATGGGAAGAACATTTAGATTTCTTACCTTGCCATTGACGTGGGAAACAAGATTTAAGAGAATTTGGATTTTAAAAAATTTTTGAAAATTTTTCCCCCCGTGTATTGGCAAGCTCATATTGCGAAAGGGAAAGATGATCTTGAGATTGACAAATTCATTATAAGCTCAAAGCCAGCCCAGAGGCAGAGTTCTCCAAATTTTGGATTAGGAAAGAGACAGGCCTGAGACTAGCTTTTGGAGGGAGGGTTTTATACCCTCAGTGAACGTAACCACTGAATGAATGCCAATGCCGCAGAGTAAGTTCAACAGAGACACCTTACAAGGATGTTATTAAGTAAGGGGTCAAGCCTCTTAACTCTCTTAAGCAACATACCAACTTCACAGTGCTTCAGTTGTCTTTATTTCAAAGTGGGAATCATTGTATTTGACCTTCCTGGGGAAAAATCTGCCAAAATGGGCTAGTTGAGAATTAAGAGGGAAACACTAAAAATGCAAAGCAGTGTTAACAATCAACAGGGCTCGTGCCATTGGGTGGTCTTTTGGGCATCATTGCTTGCAGCACTGAGATAATAATGGGCAAGCTTTTTACACAATCTAAAGCTTGGTACGTGAGTGAGAGTGTAATGGTGTGATAATTACCGTTATTCTTATTATATCAAGGTCTTACGTTTGGGGTCCAGCACTAGACTCAAATCCCCCTACTTCAGGGGTCCTCAAACTTTTTAAAGTGGGGGCCAGATCACGGTCCCTCAGAGAGCTGGAGGGCCGGACTATATGAACTACTAATTCCTACTGTAACACCTCGGCTGCGCTCACTGCCCAAAAAACCTGGTGGGCCGGATCAGACTCCTCTGCGGGCTGCATGTGGCCCGCGGGCCGTAGTTTGAAGATGCCTGCTACTTGGTGAATAGTGCTTTGATGGATTCCAGACTCCACATTCCAGGCCTTATCACAGAATCTTTCAGCTCAGCTGTAGACCCTCATTTTGACTAGTTGTCAACTTAAGAAAGTCTCTGCTGAGGAATACTGGTAACTCCTATTTTGATCTGTTAGGATATGGCTCTTAACAGGAAAATGCAGACCACTTGCTTCTAATTAAAATTGGTCTCCAGCTCTCTCTGGGAAAAGAAGGTGAACTGTGCAAAGCCAACAGTAGATGTCCCCACAGTCCACTGTGCATTAGATTTGCTCCTGGAAAAAAAAAGCAGGGATTGAAGACCTCAGGTTAAAATGCGTTTTAAAAGGAAGTTTTATATTTGTCTGAACTAATGTGTGATTTGGTGTTCAGGAGGGTGAAGGTGATAGCCCTCCCACAGACCATGTTATATAATATCAAACCATTTGTTCTTAAGATTGGGATATCCTGTTTAAGGCATACTTGAAGTACTATATAATATTTTTGATAAAGGTAAATATTAGGGGTCTTGAAAATGAAATACTTTGGCATTATAAGTGTATCTATATATATATTTATATATATTATTAATTAATTAATTAATTAATTAATTAATTTTATTGATTATGGTCTCACATAATTGTCCTTATCCCCCCATTCCCATCCCAACACCTTCCCTACCAATGCCCCCACCCCCCTGTTGTCCATGGCCACTGGCTAGGCCCATATGCATGCACTCAAGTCCTTTGGTTGATCTCTATAAGAATATATTGATGTGTGGAGGCTTGCTGTGGATTCAGCCCACTGATGCATACTAAAAAACAGTTACTCTGTCTTTGTTTGCAGCCATTGAAAGGAACAATTTAATGAGGCTTTCTCAGACTATACCATTTACACCCATCCAACTGTTTGGTGAGTGCGTTTCTACCTTCTTGAGGCTATGCCAAGGGCAGAGGCATAACACACGAGTAAATCAAAGGGGGAACCACTTACATCACTTTAGTTGAAAAGTTTGTTTTGCCAATGGTTGTAGTTTAGTGAGATTAATTTTCTAAAATGGAAACTCTTGTTAACCACTGGCTGGCATCTAGAATCAAAGTCTAATACCATGGGGATGGGACCTCTAATGAGCAGCAGTTGGGAAAAAAGCAGCAGTGTTGCACCTGGCACTCACTGATTTAAGGCTGGAAGCAAGGAGGGATGAAAAGAACCAACGAACCATGTGTAATAAACATGGAAGAAAGCGATACATGTCAATACAGTAAAAGCTGACAAGCATCTGAAGAGAAATGCTTAGTATATTGTTTTTTATTTGTTTTATTTTGTGGAGACTAGTTGCTCTTAGCTCAGAGAGCACACATCATTTTTAAAGGCTGGAGTAGTAAAGAAAAACAAGCTCACGTTAGCCGAGGCTACCAGAGTTTCCCTGTCAGGCCAATCGACAGTACAGTAAGGGCCCCCACACTGTCCTGGATGCTGATCCTCCTCACAGTCCCTATGTGGGGAGAGATCAGGTGGCTTCTGACTGTGGATACAGAGGCCTTCTCTTTCCTCATGGCTCCACGGCTGGCTTTGCAACCCAGTAACTCTGTTCTAAATCTTCTCAGTATTTAGAACTCCAGAGAGATATTCAAGTGGCATGTATCCGGGCACTAAGAATAAATAATTGAAAATATGTTACTAAGCATTTACTAAACGTGTTTTTTTTTTTTTTTTAGCAGTTTAGTGCAAGAATGAGCAAATAGATTCCTTTCTTGGTAAACTAGTTACAGTGTATATACACACACACACACACACACACACAGAGTCATTTGTGGCAGAGGTGAAAGGAGAAAATGAAACACAGGCTGGGCAGAAGTTGTGTATAGAATATGTTACTTCTGTTATGAAGCAATAAATACTTCAGTTAGATGGGATCTAACTGTTATATGGGGTTACCTGTTTAAATTGCCGGAACGTGGAAGCTATATAGCAGTTAAAGAGCATTTTGTGTCTAAATTATTTTTTAAGTGGGATTGAGTTTATATCCGAGGTTCTAGCTTACATTAGACAGATTAACATAGTTAATCTTTTTAACCCAAAGAGATGGGTGCTACATTTACTCCCATTTTACTGATAAAGGAAGTAAGGCTTCAAGTAACAAAGGTAGGGGCCAGTGTCTCTAGGATGTGACTTTGACTCTGTCTAACTCAGCTGGGTTAGACTATGCATTCTCAACAGGGGTGATGTCATCCCCAAGAGTGCAAAACATCCTTTTCTTTTTATGTATAAAGCACAGATACACAGTATATCTTTGGTATTAAAATGTAATGGGAGGGGCAATTAGAAAAAAAAAGTCTAATAATGTTTATAAGGGAGATAATGAAAAACTTGGGGTTAAACTATCTCTCTAGAAGTATTTGTCTTAACTATATTGCTTTTGTCCAGCTATATATAGTCTATAATAAGAACAACTTAATTCTTGGGTATCATCTGATGCTTTGTCCCTTCTCCCCCTCTCTTTACTGGACAATAAATAGCATAACAACATGGCCAGATCCATGTCTTCATTTTCTAGCCGTTCCTGTATAGGTGAAATTCTCATTCTCTTCTGATCATTTGGGAAACCGAACTGATTCTGAATTGATCTTTAGGATGCCCTTCATATCACAGGCCTGAGATCTCACTGAATGCCTCACCTGCACTTCTCTTTGCAGCCGGGGAAGAGGTAACTGTCTACCGGCTGGAGGAGAGTTCCCCTTTGAATCTCGATAAAAGTATGTCCTCCTGGTCCAAGCGTGGGAGGACTGCCATGATCCAGGTGTTGTCCCGAGAGGAGATGGACGGCGGCCTCCGCAAAGCCATGAGAGTCATCAGCACCTGGTCTGAGGATGATGTTCTCAAGCCAGGGCAGGTTTTCATTGTGAAGTCCTTCCTTCCCGAGGTTGTGCAGACATGGCACAAAATCTTCCAGGAGAGCACTGTGCTGCATCTCTGCCTCAGGGTAAGTTAGACACCCAGCGCCCAGAGAGACCCGCCAAAGAAAGGAGATCTGGCTTCACTTCAAAGGCTGTTATCTTCAACCCAAAAGATAGCCTAGTTAGTTTTGTTTTTTAATATATTTTTATTGATTTCAGAGAGGGATGGAGAGGGAGAAAGAGAGATAGAAACATCCATGTTGACAGAGAATCATTGATTGGCTGCCTTCTGCACACCCCCTGCTGGGGACGGAGCCTGCAACCTGGGCATGTGCCCTGGCCAGGAATTGATCTATGACCTCCTGGTTCATAAGTTGACACTCAACCACTGAACCACACCAGCCAGGTGGCCTATTCTTTCTTGGAAGTAGTGGTATCTTGTTAATTTTGTTTTTGTAGAGCTTTTGCTTTTGGAGTGGGGAGTGATAGGAGTTGAATAAGGCTGAAAATTACACTTGCTGGGCCTCTAGTAATTCTGTGATCATTAGTGATAGTAAACCAATATTTTGATTAATACTCTCTATTTTGTAGGAAATTCAACAACAAAGAGCTGCTCAAAAACTAATCTATACCTTCAATCAAGTGAAACCACAAACCATTCCCTATGCACCAAGGTGAGGAAATAATTGGCACCCGGCTCTTCATGTTAAGTAGGAATTTCTACCAATTCTTCTCAGCCTCTTCTGAGAAATACAAGGCCCACGGAGAAGTCTTCTCTAAGACTTCATTGTTGAGCTCTTCTTTCCAGAGTTCTGGAGACTGTAAGAGAGAACTAGCCATCAGGGATGCAGAAATCACTGAACTCGTGTGAGTGGGGGTGAGAAGTTCACGCAGAGGCCAGGACTGACCTCTCTTGTGTGAAAAGGCAGATCCCTGCTGTAGTTACTAATGTCCAGGAACATCATGGCAGAAAAACATTTCTGTTTTAAGCATAGTTTCTTTCACTAACATCTTACAGAAATGAAAAACATCTAAAGAACGAACCATTATTACGTTCACTTGAGTGCCTCCATATACTTGCATTCATTTAGTAAGACAGCTCGTAATTCAGTGCTGAGGACTTATAGCCAAGCTTTATTGCTTACTTTACAAGGAATATTACAGCACGTGGTAGGGAAAGTTGAGTTTAGTACTCATAAAGGAGCTGGGACACTTCCTGAAAGAAAGGGAGGTGGGAAAACCCCTCCATCACCGCATTCCATAGAAAGGCAAGGGCGTGTGCGCTGAGGCTGCACCAGACCAGAGTTAGGGGATCTCTCCTGCCGCCGACCATTCAGTAATGTAAGTTCCACCTTTGCTGCCTCCTCGTAGGTTCCTAGAAGTTTTCTTAATCTACTGCTATTCCGCCAACCAGTGGTTCACCATTGAGAAGTATATGATGGGGGAGTTCCAGAAGTACAACAACAACAATGGCGATGAAATTGCCCCCAGCAACACCCTGGAGGAGCTGATGTTGGCTTTCTCTCACTGGACCTATGAGTATACTCGGGGAGAACTGCTGGTTTTAGATTTGCAAGGTGATTGATAACCTAGGACTTCATACAACAAGCCCAAGGCCAGGTTCAGGAAACACTGACTACGGATTGCTTTCCCCATGTCATAGTTACCTACATTTGACCTCAGCTCTTTCTTTACTGAAAGCCATGGTGAAGATCTTTCCATGGAGATACTCCATGGCGTCCCTTTTTTTTTCTTTTTTTTTTTTTAAACTTGAAAATGGAAAGATGATTATTTTTTTCTGAATTTATTTATTATTTGTGAAACTGTTCTGAGTGGCAGTAACCAGACAGGTGTCCTAAGAGATCTTGCAAGAACCAGGATGGGTAATGAATGAAGTTGTTCTGTTTAGTTTTGAAGGGAGGTGGGGGCCATTTATTTCAGACATTGCACAATGATGACCGTGAGCACTTATTATGTTGATTCCCACCGAGACCTAGGGAAAAAGATAGGCAGATGATTAGAGGCCTAACATAAACAGCAAAAACTTTGATCTAAAGGGAGATTGACTTTTGCACCAAGTTTGCTAGGCTTATGGCTTTATCTTGGACTTAGAACATTAAGTATGCATTTATACACATAGGAAAGTTTAATTTCCCTGCATTTTTCATGATTTCGATCTCATTGCTTTAGCAATTTATAATTTAGCTTGCTCTCTTTGCTGTGTGGCTTGATATGACAGTTCACAAAAGTACAGGCTCAGTCTGAGAGGGCGTAAGGCACTCTTATTGAATGGAAAGAAGCCTTTGATCAGCGCATCTCCCCACTACCTCACATGTGACCGATAATCCTGCAGCAGGAAACAGAGAGTCTCAGGCACGCTTTCCTTTCGGGGACAGGACGAAATATGAATTAAGGTCAAAGTTTAGTCCCTTGGCTCACTGGGGCTTTTTTAAATAAGGGATTTAGACCAGGAACGTTCATAAAAATTATCTCATTTAATCCCAGAAGCAGCACCTCAGGGTAGATATTATGGGGAATTTAAGCACAGAAAGTTTAAATAACTTGCCCCAGGTTGCACAACTACTTAATGGTGGAGCCAGGATGCAGGCTTAAGCTGTTTTGACCATCTATTCTATCCTTAATCATGCTATGGTTCATTGAAGCAGATTGGGCCTTTTTCTTGTTCTCTCCCTTTCCCACCTGTTCAGTCCTGGGATTCTGTGCTGAAAGCCAGGCTTGGAGATGGGACAGTTGAAATGGGCAATCCTGGGCATTGTGAGCAAAGCCATTTTGGTTAAAATTGTATCATGTGCTCAAGGGTGTGTATCTACTTTTTAAACTGCACATAAGCTCTTCTGTCCTTTCAGATCTGTGCTGTTCACAGGTTATATTTCTAACCCTCAAGCACAATATTTTAGGAAGCAGTATAAACAAAGTTAAAACAGTCAAGATGATTCATCTTTCAAACCAGGAAGTCCATGATCTATGTAAGCCCAGCATACTCATTCCCAAGGCATCTGCTTTGGTAGCTCATGTTTGGGAGAGCTTGATGTTTTTCATCTGCACTTAAGTGTCTGTGCTTTGAGTTTTGGGTGGAGTTTTTAAAAGAAAAAAAGAAACAAACAAAAAAAACAACCACCAAAGAAAAACTTTAAGGAATTAATGATGACTCTTCGGTGTGTTTTGTATTTCACTTGAATAGGCTTTTGTTTAATGATGTTTATGTTTGGGGATTTTTATGTCTCTTAGTAATCCAGAGTGACATTAAACAGAACAAATGTCGCATTGGTCGTGTTGTGGGGAGAAGGGAATTAATTTTATTCTTTTACTGGGCAATTATGTGAATTGCAGAAACAGGCCACTCCAAATAAACTATGTCAAAACACTGACCTTCAAAGAAGGGAAGCGAGGACACCATCGATTGAATGTGAAGAAACTGAGATACTGGAGAGCTTTGGTCAGTTGGTTCAGCCTGAACTTATGGAAGAACACAAATCCTAAAACAGGAATTATAAGCAGTTATAATACCTGTACTACTAGCTGACATTTACTAAGTACTTATTTTGTTCTAATGGAAAAGAAAAATGGGAAGAACCTAATATTTTCTTAAACTGTCATAATCCTGTTGGCACCAGATGTAGACAGTGTGTAACCTCAGTCACATTGCTTCTTCTCTTTGAACGTCAACATACTCATTGGTAAAATGAGGGTATGAGGATGCTAATACTTTGCTTTCATGATTGCTACGAATTAGAGAAAATAAAATTAGAATGTCTGGTATGTATAAGTAGAAAATGAATGATGGGTGTTACTATCAATAACTGTGAATACACCCCTAACACATTCACTTGGGGCCTAAAAGTTTACAATAGCCTAAGAGGAGGTTGAGGCAGACAGCATTAACTAAAATTTTCCCACATACCCAGACAATTTTTATACTATGGTTAATTCACATGTTGTTTGGTTGATTACAGGGTAAATGGAGGTTTAAAGAAAGAATTAAAATTTGATTATTATTTTCTGGAAATCTGAAAAAATGAAATTCCCATGTGTTAAGTGAATTTTCTTTCTTCCTTGGAGGTGTTGGAGAAAATCTGACAGATCCATCTGTTATAAAACCTGAAGACAAACAGTAAGTTAATTTATTATGCTATCTTTTAGAAAATTGCATTTAACAATGTACATGGTTTTCAAAAACAATTTTTAAACATTTATATTTCTTGTCTCGATCCTAGAAAGATTGTGGGGCTGCTTTTATCTATACATCTTTATCTATATCCATACCTTTATTCTCTATATTATATATGTATGTATATATTTGTATATACTAGTATATTAACTATAATACAATAAAATACAATAAGGTTTAAAATACAGTATTTTAAAGAAAGCATATATTAGGAAATGGGGGCAAAAAGACAATATGGAGATAACGTAAGATTAAATCTGGAGTTAACTTAGTACACATAAGTGGAAGTTATAAAGACCAATGCAGTAGGGAGAACTTTGTTGCAGATTTGACTCTTGAGTTTTTCATTGACCCAGACAAAAGAGAAGCACAGGCTAGTGCAGCCTTTCTAGGCTTTGATGTGAAAAACAATTAATGTCATAGGAGAAGCACAGCTTCCTTTGTTGTCCGCACAATGGAGCCATTGCACCTTCTCTCAGGCAGCATCTTCCATCACATGCCTGTAAAATGAAGGTTGGGCCGAAACCTGTTTGGCTCAGTGGTAGAGTGTCGGTCTGAGGACTGAAGGGTCCTGGGTTCGATTCCGGTCAAGGGCATGTACATTGGTTGCGGGAACATCCCCGGTTGGGGGTGTGCAAGAGGCAGCTGGTTGATGTTTCTCTCTCATCGACGTTTCTAGCTCTCTATCTCTCTCCCTTCCTCTCTGTAAAAAAATCAATAAAATATATTAAAAAACAAACAAACAAACAAAAAAACACGAAGGTTGGGGCATAAAGTGCTCTACTCAGTACTGGCAAGTCTGTGAGGGGTCAGAACACTAGGGCTTAAATATGGAGCATCAGACTGTCTGTTAATGAAAGGCTAAATTTATCGATAAATTATATGGAGGGATGAGTCCTTTGAATTTCCGTGGTATTTTGCCCCCTAACCAGACTTTTGGGAAGACTTGGCAGTAGAGGATCGGAGGCTTTGTCCTTCTGTTAAAGGGGAAGAGAAAGAAAGAAGCAATGGTGTTGATTAAGGACTGATCAATATGGCGGGCGACAGTGGTTCTCAAACATGAGATTGCAGCATACTCACCAGGAGAACTTGTTAAAACACAGATTGCAGCCTCCGGCCTCCCCAGCCCATTTTCTGATTCAGTGGGTTTGTGGCGGGGCCAAAAATGTTAACAAATTCCCAGATGATTCTGGTGGTGCAGCTGACCCCGGACCACACTGGAGAACTGCTAACATGCAACATTGTTATTTCTTAGTTGTCCCAAGGGTCTATACTTGGCTCTGGATTGTAATATATTTATATAAAATTGCATAAGTGGGGGAATCTTATAAAATAAGATCTGAACATTTTACTTTCCCTCCCATAGGCCTCATACTGTAAATATTTATTGCTTTATGTTCTGTTCTTTTATGGAGTGACCTAATCTAAACATGGTCTCACCCAGCTAGCGTGGCTCAGTGGTTGAGTGTCAACCCATGAACTAAGAGGTCACGATTTGATTCCCATCTGGGCACATGCCTGGATTTTGGGCTTGATGCCCAGTAGGAGGCATTAATGATTGATTCTCTTTCATCATTAATGTTTCTCTCTCCCCCCCACCCCCTTTCCTCTCTAAAATCAGTAAAAAAAAAAAGGTATATTTACTTGTGGTCTGATCTGTAAGCTTGCATGCAGAGGTCCATCTAAAAGTATGAGCTATTTTTGTATACAAGGTGGGAACTGGAGACAATAAAGATGAACCTGCTACTCCTCTGCCTCCAATTCCTACTCTATCTGACCATGCCGTTTGTGTTGTGACTTTTAGGGCACAGATAAAGGCATTAGCAGAGCGAAAGTGTTTTTAGGGAAGACTATTATTTCTTCAGCAGCTCTGTGTGCTCAAGGGCTTGTAGTAGGGACCTGGTACCATAAGTACTTTATAATTTTGCAGTGAAAAAAAAAGTTGCGCATATATCGAACCAAGTTTTTGTATACTCTGTCATTTATTAAATTTTGACCTTTGGATGTGTCATTTAATATGACCTGAATAGTTCTATCTTTTAGAATTCTAAGATTATATTATCCCACTTGACAGTCGAGTACTTAATTGCATTCCATAGGCCAGTGGGTCTCAATTTCTATTAAGGTCACCTGGGAAAATTTAAAAAATAAGCTGCTCAGCATTGGCATCAAATCAGAATCTCTGAAGAGAGAGCCCTAATGTGTGTATGCTTAAAAAGTTCCTCATGTGATTCTAATGGACAGTCAGGTTTGGGAACCTCTGTCCCATATTTTTTATGACTTGAGGATAGAAACTCTGGAGCCTGATAGGATAGCATCCTGGTAGCATGCCTGGTTTTGTGAGGTCACCTAACTTTGGGTGCAGTTGGTCTTCATGGCAGAGGTAACTAGAAGTGCTATTTTTTTTTTTTTTTTTGCAACGGTGGCAGATGGCGCTGAACTAGTTCAGGGAGGCTCATATTTCAGATGCCTTCAGTGTGTTAATAAAGGTTGGCTGCACCAAGCATGGGCCACGGACCAATCACGTCTGAATCACCTGGGACAGTGGTTGGCAAACTCATTAGTCAACAGAGCCAAATATCAATAGTACAACAACTGAAATTTCTTTTGAGAGCCATCATTTTTAAACTTCTTCTGACACTTCTTCAAAATAGACTCGCCCAGGCCCTGATATTTTGTGGAAGAGCCACACATTGAAGGGGCCAAAGAGCCGCATGTGGCTCGCCAGCTGCAGTTTGGTGACCACGGACCTGGGACATTGTGAGAAATGCAGAATCTCAAGGCCCTCCCTAGAGCTCCTGAATCCGAGCCTGAATTTTCACAAGATCCTAAGCTGATTTGCTGTTATTTATTTATTTGTTTGTTTGTTTGTTTTTCTGTAATAATTGCCAGTTTTATAACTCTGGCTATGAGATCCAGAAATGATTTGAAGTTTACATTTTAATAGTTATTTCATCAAGAGTTTGGGTGCCCCATTACCCTTATAAACTGATTGCAAATTATTTCATTCTTACTTATTAAAAAATTTTAATTGTGACACAAGTTCATTAAAAAATACATATAAGCAAAAAGAGCCGAAACCGGTTTGGCTCAGCGGTAGAGCGTCGGTCTGCGGACTGAAGGGTCTCAAGTTCGATTCCGGTCAAGGGCATGTATATACATTGGTTGCGGGCACATCCCCGGTAGGGGGTGTGCAGGAGGCAGCTGGTCGATGTTTCTCTCTCATCGACATTTCTAGCTCTCTATCTCTCTCCCTTCCTCTCTGTAAAAAATCAATAAAAATATATTAAAAAAATACATATAAGCAAAAGGAAAACTCAGTTTTTTTCTGCGTTAATTTTTTAATAAGCACAGTTAATTTTTTTATGTATGTATACACACATGCACACACACACAATTTTGGATTTTTGTTGTACATATGTGAGCTGATATTAATTATGCTTTACAACTTACGTTACTTTACAATATGGATTGAACATATTTTCATATATTTGTGCATACATATGAAAAACAGACCTGGAGAATAGGTCAAAATATAAAATCCAGTAAGACGCCAAAAGAAAACCCAGAAGGTGATTAAAAGTAAAATGAAGGTCACTTAGCTGGTTTGGCTCAGTGGATAGAGTGTCGACCTGAGACTAAGGGGTCCCAGGTTCGATTCCGGTCAAGGGCATGTACCTTGGTTGCGGGCACGTCCCCAGTAGGGGGCGTGCAGGAGGCAACTGATCAGTGACTCTCATCGATGTTTCTAACTCTCTCTCTCTTCCCCTTCCTCTCTGTAAAAAATCAATAAAATATATTAAAAAAGAAAAAGAACAACAACAACAAAACTCAAGGCCTAAAGCGCACAGGAAAAGATCATCTGCGTGAATGTCTTTGCTTCCAATGCATCATCACAAACTTGTTTTTTACTCTTCTTATTTCTTCCCGAAGCCTTTCCATTTCATCTGCTCCTCTCAGCACTTCCTCAGGGTCCGAATGCCTAACGGGAGTGTCCTCTTTCAGAGCCTGCAACGTCAGCCCGCTTCCAAGCTTTCCTTCTTCCTGGCTTACACCTTCTTCGGAAGGCGGGGGCCTCCCTTGGCACATCTCCTGAACGGTGGTCTTCCTCGGCCTTTGGCATGTTCTGTGGTTCTCCTTCATTTTCTTCACAAGACTTTTGTACGTTGAGTATTTTTCTATTACTTCCTTTTCGAATGAATTAATCCCGAAAGCATCTGGGGCACTTTCCTTCTCCAGTAATAGGGAGCTGCTCTGATTTACTGTGATTAGAGTTTGGGAAGCCCCAGTGTAAGCAGGTGCTTTCACATGTTGTTTATTTTACTCTGAACAACACGGTCAGAGGTCAGCAGCTTCAACCCGAGTTCACTGAAGCCCAGGGAGGATGGCACCTTGCCCACCAGGAGGAGGGTCCATGAAAGAGAAGACATTTTTGTGGTGCAGATTCTGATCCTTACTGTCTTTGCTGCCTCTTAACTGTCCCCAGCCTTTTGCATGTGAAGACAAAGTCATCAGGCCTCCCCCCCCCCAACCCCCCCAATTTTCTCTAGCCACTTTTCTTCGTTTCTCAGGTCTTGAGCTGCAGTGAAGGCTGCCTCAGGTGTTGATAGTTTGGGACTAAATCTTTTCACTTATGCATTTGGGCATTTGACGATGTAAGTCTGTGCTTACACGGCTCTAATTAGTGCTTGCTTCCTTACATGTGGAACCAAGCCACCACCTGCTTTTCCTGTGCTGTGAAAAATCTGGAAAGCAGCTGTATTTACTTGTTTTTATCTTTAAAACTCCATTATCTGAGCCATAGCTGGTTTGGCTCAAAGGATAGAATGTCGGCCTGGGGACTGAAGGGTCCCAGGTCCGATTCCGGTTCAGGGCCTGGGTTGCGGGCTCGGTGCAGCCTGTCAATGATTCTCTCTCATCATTGATGTTTCTCTCTCTCTCTCTCTCTCCCCCTTTCTCTCTGAAATCAATACAAATATATTAAAAAAAAAACCAAAAAACAAAAAACCCTGAGATTGGCAGGTTACAAATATGCTTTAGGGTGTAGACGAAATGAATGTCCTTAATCCTCCTTCAGGAGCCCCCTCCCCGGCACAGGGAGCCAATCCCTGAGAGGTACGTTGACGGTAATTTTGATTCCTTTGCCTTACATTTCACAGAGCTCAGAAAGGAAAATGATTTAGCTTATCGTTTTTACCTGAGAACCAGGGTTGCATGTCCAAGCTGGGGGTTTCCTGTTTTTCTGGGAGGAAAGCACTAGCAGGTATGGAATGTGCAAGATTGACATATCCCAACAGGGTTCTGCCAGAGAGACGATGAAAGAAATTCTCTTCCATTTTAATGACTGAAAGAAACCACCATCATTTTTCACTTTATCGGCTTCACAGAGTTCTGGCACTAACTATCGAGTGATTCTTCCTTTTTGTTGCCACATTTGGTTCCACCTTATTTGAAGTGTTTATTTTTTATTTTTTTTTTACCAAAAGGACTGAAAAAAGAAGAATAGTTCACAAGAGGCAGCTTATGCAGCCTGGTAAATGCCACCAGAGCGGCCCTTTGTAAGGGCGATTGAGTGACCAGGAAAATTAATCCTGGGTGTCTGCTCACTTTGTCTTCCCAAGAGATTTCCTCCACCTTCTCGCCTCAGAGCAAAGAGGCAAACCGAGATCAAACTGACATCAGCCCTCATTCGGAGCTTGGCACATCTTCAGAGCAGCTACTGTTATTCTGCCAAAAGGAAGTGGAAATTGAGATAAATGTTCCAGTACTTGGATGGGGGGGAGGGGGGGGAAGTCCATTTTTTACATCACGTCCCTTTTGAAAAACCGCATTCCTTAGAAGCAAAGTTTATTGTTTCCTTTTGTGATAGTTTGCTTTTATTTCTTCTTAAGACGTGGTATTTCAGGGCGGTAATTAAGTTCAGATTTTAACATGTGCTCTTTCCACTCTGCATGTCATTAAAATAAAATATTAGCTTTCGTAAAGTTCCTTTGGAAGTGTTTCTGGGTGCTGTGCTCCATGGCGTGCCGACTGTCAGCCCGAGGAGTGATGGTGTGGTGATCTGATAACGGATGAACGCTGGTCCTGGAACCTGCGGAGGATCGATTATAATTACAGCATCCAAAATGTGCCACATACATACTGATTCTGTTTGTGACTTCTGCCACCTACATGCAGCATATGTCGTTTGCTTCCACAAAACCACAGCAATCTTGTCTTTCCACAAAGAGCCCAGCCACAGCGGCTCACAGAGTAGAAAACAGATACTGAGAGCCAGTTGTAAGGTTTTGTCTGGCATTTGTTTTCCAGGACATGGTCATATTTAGAAAGACATTTGGGTTTGAAAGAATATATATGAATCCTTTTAGAAGGTGTGTTTCAATAGCAAATTAACTTTATACCTTACCTTTTGGTGTGTAGAACATTGGGCAGCCACTGTCATTCCGTCAACCCATACGCATTAAAGGGGGTCTCAGGGCATTTTTTTTTATTGTATGTTTTTCTTTAAAATTAAGGTATTATATGTGTACATATCTTTCCATTGAGGTCTCAGGGTATTTTGGTGTAGCGTGGTACGCAGAAAAATTCCCTCTTCCATCAGATTAGTGCTAAGATGAATTTCACAGTCCGTCTTGGTGTTGAGCACACAGATCTGAGCGCATTTGAATTTTAAATTCGCAAACCTAAAGTTGTTTCCTCAAAGTGCGCTGTGCTTTGTTAGCTCCCTCAAGTTTGCCTGGTTACTACGGGAGACTGCTCGGTAACTCCGAGAATCCTAGCCGGGCTCCTTTTTCTTAGCTGGGATCTAATTGATATTCTGATTATTTCCTCCAGATCCAGAGGAATGGTGTTTGGACCAGCCAACTTAGGGGAAGATGCAATTAGAAACTTCATTGCAAAACATCGTTGCAACGCCTGCTGCCGGAAGCTCAAACTCCTGGGTATGGCCCACACAGTTCTACTTTATTATTATTATTCTTTTTTTTCTTTTCTAAGGAGAGCTCTCATAGAACAGCAGCCATTGTAACCAGGGACAGAGTAGAAAATCTACATCACATTTTTATTTCCTTCACAGTGGAGGCCTGACTTTCTGACTGTAGATTTTTTTTTTTCAAGTCTCTAAAAGGGATTAAAAGGACAGGGATTTACGTCAGGTTCTGCCCAAATGCGTTAGAACGCTGGGCCCAACACTGGGCACGGACTGTCCGAGGGGAACGTCCTACAGGCGAATTGGGGAGGAAGTGGACTGAGGCAGGTCTCTGCGCCACTCCCCACCCTTGGGTCCTGGGTGTGCTGCCCACAGGATTTCTGTTCTATTTTTAAAAAAATATACTTTATTGATTTTTTACAGAGAGGAAGGGAGAGAGATAGAGAGCTAGAAACGTCGATGAGAGAGGTGTGCCCGCAACCAATGTACATGCCCTTGACCAGAATCGAACCTGGGACCTTTCAGTCCGCAGACCGACGCTTTACTACTGAGCCAAACCGGTTTCGGCAGGATTTCTGTTCTATTTTTATTTACTCATTAGATGCTGGGAGGGTGGGGAATGGAGGGAAGCACAGCTGTCAATTAAAATAGTGCCTTTGACTATAAAAACCTGCCGCTTTAAACACACATGTCTGTATTTTCAATGATCTGCTGATATCACACACTTTTTCTGAAACCAGGATAGCCACCTCAGAGAGTGTGCCTCACATGAAAGCAAGCAGCTGGAGGTCTGTGCTCCCCACGTGGCAGCCTCAGCTCTGTTCCATTCTTTCCTTTTATCTCAGAAGGGACACTTTATGTCTGTCTCAGCTTGCTCACTGTTTTCCTTAGATCAGACCCAACTCGCCCTTAAAATGGAATTTCACGTATTTTAAGCAGAGTGTCCTTTCCTGCCTGCTAACAAGTGGTCACATCCTGAATTGGAAATCAGTAAAAGATCATTGTCCATTATAACTTGGGATGAAGTGGGTGTAAATTTACAACAAAAAAAGGGCAATTTCTAACCTTCTTAGTGTTAGAAGTAGGACATTGTCCAGATGCTCTTTTGGGCAAGATATAGCAAAGGACTGGGATTCGGAGCAAGCTTCTGGTTCCGGTGCGAAGTAGCCTGTTGGACAGTGGTGGTGGTCAGGGTTATACGTGGGGTGGGGTGGTCAGACGGGAGCAGCAAAGCGGGACGGCGGTCACTCTCATCTTCTCGCTGCCCAGGACTTGCTCTCACAAACTACACAGCAGACCTGGGCAAAGAGGTCAGTGCCCAGCACGTTGGCTGAGCTGCCCGCTGGCATCCTCTCTGGTCAGAAGGAACCCAGGAAGGAGATAGGCTGGACTGAGGGTCCTGTGGGAGGCAGATGCTGACATGTAACCTTTTACTAGCTACATATCTACTTATTTTTAAAGACAGAGTTTAGGATACAAAGATGTGACCTTGGGATTCAGTTTTCTCACCCATACGCTCGGGATAATAGCACCAATCTCATTAAGTTGGTGTGAGGAATGAGGTAATATCTAGATATGTCAATAACTTTCAGTTATTATTGAACCATAACTATGTTTATGCCCAGATAATCCCCATTTTTAAAAACCCTGACCTGAGGATATACTTAGAGGAAGAGATAGAGAGAAAGAGATAGATAGATAGATAGATAGATAGATAGATAGATAGATAGAGAGAAATATTGATCAGATGTCTTCCATACATGCCCCCATGTGAATTGAATGGGCAGCCTTTTGGGATGATGCTAAACCAACTGAGCCATACTGGCCGGGCCAAATAATACATATTTAATTAAAAATATACAGAATATATGTTTAAAGCTAACAGATTTAATATAACACAAAATGTACATAGACATTGAAAGCCCATTTTCTTCCTTACATTTCTCCCCAAAGATTGCCCCCTATTGATGTTTTCTGTTGCTTATTTCCTTTTCAAATGGAAGACGGAGGCTTTAGGAAGCTCAGGATCCAATAACTGGATGAAGCTTTCAGAGCCAGCATCACCCGAGACGAGAACAGCTTTGTGGTAGAAAGCTGACTACTGAAATCTTGAGATCACCATTTGGGCTGAACTCCTTGCCACTTGTTCAATGGTGCAATGCCCTGTTCCCAGTTTGGCCTCACTGAACTCTAGCCAGGTTATGCCTTAGAGGGCATTTCATTGCATCAAATAGCCAAACCTTTCCTTCCTGGCCCCAGTGAGCACAAGCCTAAAACAGCATTGGGGGGTTCGAGTCACACATGGCCACGGGGCAGGTGGTTCAGGCGTGGTCGATAGTTTGAATTTTATATATTGGTGTCCTGAGGAAGCTCTGTGCTGAGTACTGAAGAAAGCTTCCATTTCTGTTGATGTGTGTGAGCACCATGCTTTTTATTTTTTATTTTTATTTTTTTATTTAATGTATTGATTTTTTACAGAGATGAAGGGAGAGGGATAGAGAGTTAGAAACATCGATGAGAGAGAAACATGGATCAGCTGCCTCCTGCACACCCCCCACTGGGGATGCGCCCACAACCAAGGTACATGCCCTTGACCAGAATCGAACCTGGGACTCTTCGTTCCACAGGCCAACGCTCTATCCACTAAGCCAAACCGGTTTTGACAGCACCATGCTTTTGAGGAACCACATAACCATCTTAATTGTCTTCCTTGCAGATTTGAAAAGGAACGACTATTCCCCTGGAAGGATAAATCCCACCTTTGGACTTGAAAGCAAAGTAGAACCAGGTGAGGGGCCTCCAGCAAGGGAAAGGGGTGGTAGTCCTTCAGAAGACCTCACTCGATTGTAAAAGGGAAGTACGAAGATGATGCCCCTGTCCTCCCTCTCGTGAACTAACTCTATGATAACAGAGGTTGATTGACAGAACACTGATTATAGCAAAGCTGTCAGGAAGCTGCCTTGCCTAAAGACCTCATTTGTGTGGGAAGAATGCGTTCTCCTAGACGTTGACCTGCGTGCAGGGTGCTGCAAATGTCATCCTCAGATTCCATGGGAAGACACCCGGAGGAGCCAGCTGGGATTACTGTTCCTTCACACCGCATTGCTTTAGCTGGTCTCAAAGATCCCTTGGAGCAGAATGCTGGCAGTAAAGAGTCAGGGAGATGAATTTATTTTCTCACTAAGTGTGCACACTGTAACCCCCACTGCTGTTCATCACCTCACCCACATACTGTATTTCTGTAGATAGATGTACAAAAAAAAGTTATTGGACTTCCTCCCTTCTCCTCTCCCAGTGTGGGACTTTGCACAGCAACAGCAAGGAACACCGTGGAATGAGGGTGTATTTGCACAGATTGAAGCACACTCCTGCATTGCCTAACCAGCAAAAAGTTAGTGTTCTGGTGAAGTGTTAATGGGTGGAAGTAATGTCATGGAATCATATATGATGCCTGGGCATTTCCGGTTTCTCTGAAAGAAGGGGAAAGGGAAATAAATGCCCTTACATCTTTTTTTTTTTTTTTTTTTTTTTTTTTTTTTTTTTTTTTTTTAAAGGAATGGGATATGCAAAACTAGATATTATTAAGAAATATTTTCCCTTCCCTTAAGCTCAGGGGTACAATTAATTAGAGAGTTGACTAAGCCAGCTTCTAAAACACCACTCACTTTTCTAAAGGTGTATGTATATTATTAAAAGCTGTATGTATTCTCCATTATGGGGAAAGATGGGTTTCTGATTGAAAATATGCTTTGAGGTGTTTGCTTCACTCCGGTGTAGAGTTCCGGTGGCTTAATGAGTGCTGGGTATATTTTAAAGCTGGCCCGAGAACAAGTAATCATTTTGGAGGCCTGAGGGAGGGGTCCTTAGAAGCTACACCTTACAGCACATTTGGGAGATCAGCCATTTCCCTTCTGCACTGTCAGGGATGCCCTACCTCAGAACAAGCGTGAGCCTTTCACACAAGGAGAGACGAAGGCTGGGATCCTTTCTCTCCTCCCCCCTGCATCTCCTTTTCCTTTATATAGTGTTCCAACCGACCAGCAGCAAACCTCAGTTTGAGAAAATTCACCTTCATCATTAGTCCTTACAATGGCCAGCTTGCTTTTTAGATGGACACTCCTACATTCTTAGGTTATCCTTCAGGGGAAACCTTGCCTAGGCATAGGGGGATGTAAAGCCAAGGATTTAGCTTGCCAGGGATCATGTAAGTGTGAATTGCACAAGGGCTAATTTCTGTTCATTTTATCTTTATCTTGGGGGTGGCAGGAGGCAGGAAATTGGGTGATTTCTTGATTGGCAATGGGCATACAATGTTAACACCCTTTTCAAGGCTTCACTGCTTTATCCCATCCTGCAAATCAACAGGGACCTATTGGTACTCAGTTCAGTGCTGTGTTCAACTATGGAAAGAGGCAGCTTGCCTGTCCAAGGGCCAAAGTAAAGACATGGGTTCAGTGGCCAGCTGTTTGTTACCTGGAATGGAACTTGAAAACAAATACATTTTGATTTCAAATTTTTGTGTTGTGCTTTTTTTCTTTTCTTTTAAAATAAGAAAAATCACCAGAATAACATTTAAAAAGATGAACTTGCTCACTGTGGGTTTGCTTGCGTGCAAATGCTGATGTGATTATCTTGACTTGAAGTGTTCATGATCACAAAAGGGTAATGTATTCATTCATTCATTTGGTTAGTTTTATTCAAAGAATATTTATTGCCTTCTCTGTGTCACATGAGTGATGAAGATGCAATAAACATAAGGTTTGCCCCCAAAAGGTTTATGCCTTCCTCTCCCTCCCCTTCTCCTTTCCATTTCTCTTCCCCCTCTCTTCCAAGTTTAGATTTCGGGTTAGTGCTAAAAAAATTTTGACTTCTGGACAAATGTTGAATCTTAAGGTGTATCCTGTACCCTGCCTGCCAGTGAGCTGTACTTTTAGGCAGGAATAAGAGAACTAGGGCAAATAAGAAGATAAAGTAAATGCGTATCTTTAAGAACCACAGAAGAAAATGGACTGCACACCCCTTGTATGAGCACAAAGCCCATTTCTCAGGTGGGAACTGAATCTGGGGCCAGGGCAGCAGTCACATTCTCAGAGTGCTTTCTGGAGGCTCCTGTGCACAGGCGTTCCTTCTCACCAGGTGGTGCGTTTCCCGAAGTGGCTTCTGCTCCAGGATATGCTCAAGTTCTGACAGCTCTAGAGAATGAAATCACATACAGTTTTGGGTATTTCTTGCCCTGTTATTACTTTCTGTGGTTTTGTTAAAAAAAAAAAAAAAAAAAAAAAAAAAAAAAAAGCAGTTGATGACTTACACTTCCTCCCAAATAATTTAGTCAATGTTTAAATTTTTTCTTCTTGTTGTTGCTTTAGATGGTTCTGGAAGTCATGACCTTTTGCCATCAGTCACCAGAATCCAGCACAAAGCATGGCACATAATAAGCTTTTAACACTATTTGCTTTAATAATAAAATCTTCAAATGATAATAAACTTCATTCACTAGGTAATAAATCAGATTTGTATTTTTTTTTAATCCAGCAGAGAGTGATTATCCATATTCCTTAAGACCCAACACAATTCTTTTGATCTCTCTGTTTTAATTTTCCAAGAAATAGCTTTTTATAGCCTACACCTTGTCTATTGAATTCTCAACCAGTTTTTGTCCTTATCGTCATGGCGATAATACCACAGTACAGTCCTTTTTGCTGGTGACGATTGAAATGAGACGATAACTTCCCAGAAACTGCCTAGAAATAATCATCACTGTGTTACCCTTTGAAAAGAAGATTGATAGAAAAGTCATTTGAAAGATGGTTAATTACCATGCTCTCCTTCGATTTCTTTACTCACATCTCTCCAAAGCGTGAGAAGGGGAGGATTATTCTCTGAGGTCGGAATTTGAAGGCTGTGTGTTTGCCTCTTTGAAGTCTTGGTATTTAATTTTCTGTAGTCATTTCTTGGGCAATTTTCTAAGAAACTAGTTAAAGCTAATTTATCATAAGTTAAAGTCAAATGACAGAAAAGATTTTTTTTTTCCTTAACAGTATTTTATTCCATAGAGGTTAGCTTCTGAAGGAAAATGAGACTTAAATAGCATTTCAAATATCCAGCCACATGGGTAGGTACACAGACTAGAAGGGATTCTGAAAACCACACTGATTTTTAAAAATTTAGCACAGTTATTAATTTTGACTCTTTTTTTTAGACTGTGATGCACAGATAAAATATATCTTTGTGATGCTTGCTTTAAAAAATAATTAGTTAAATTGTTTAATTTTCAAAGAGAGATTTTTGGTCCTCAAGGGATAGCAAATGCCATCTCTATCCGTGGCAGATGTTGGTATAAAGTTATATAATTCATTTAACCTTTCTCTTACCCCCTAACTCTGAAATGGAGATGAGACACTTACCTTTTCAAACAAAAGTGAACAATAATAAGAGAGCATTTATAAAGTCCTTTGAGAATCTCATTTAAGAGGCTTCTTGTGAGCATTGGATCCAGTTCAATAAGTAATAAGGGCTTTCATTTTTGATACTATGTGATCATTATTTAATGTTTCCAGAGGATGCTCAGTGGACCTGTTTCAGTATAAACACAAAAGTAGTTTCTGCTATTTCTTCCTTTCCGAGGGGAATAAGCTTGTTTTCCTCTTTCTGTTTTGAAGCTAATTAAATAGTTCAAAATCAGAAAATTCACCATTTCACGGTGTCTCTTTTTATTTATTTATTTATTGATGGATTTAGGTTTTCCCAGCTAATTTCTTTTGCCATCATCTGCCCAAAGAAAGTCTTCTATATAAAGTAAAGCCCAAAGTTTGTGCCGTCATTGGTGACATTTTTGGGATATGAAAAGAGAGCAGGTTTAAAATCTTGATGCCTGTAAAATCTTGATGTTTTACAAAAATGTGAATGGAGAATTGTATTTTGCCATTATAGGGCTGACAAAATAATTAGTAATAAGAAAATTTTGGCCTATAGATTGTCAGTGTCTTTCAGCAAACAACTTCCTTTAGAATTCTTATCTTCTCCTAGTGATTATTTTTTCATTATAAACCTATAGAAATTTTATTTTCTGAATCTGTCACAAAGTCTTTGCAGGTATTATGGTAGATTAATGACTGTCCAAGCATGGACCTAACAATTGCCTTCATTGGAGGGGTTTGGGGGAATCAGTCATCATGGCATCATGTGGTTGCACTTTGGCTTCTAATGAATCTTTTTCCATGTCCTATTGGTCACCACAAAAGAGGTCACAGAGCTTTGTGATGCTCTGGTACCAAAATAAACCCTTAGTGTGTGTTATAGACTGAATCGTGTTCTTCCGTTATTGATGTGTTGAAATCCTAACTCCCAATACCTCAGAATATGACTATATCTGGAGATAAGATATTTGAAGATGATTAAAGATAAGTGAAGTCACTAGGCCAGCCAGGGGGAAGGGATGCAGGAGGTTGGCTGGCCGGCCCCGCCCCCTGGTCAAACTCCCAGTGCAGTGTACAATTTGCATATTAGCCTTTTGTTATATTGGATTATAGGCAACATATATTGAGCACTCATTATGTTCTGGAGATAAACATGTACTATATATAATTTCACTTATCTGAAAACCAACCTGATGGAATAGGTCTATTATGTCCATTGCAAAAATTTGAAAATGCCACTTATAAGTTCAGTGACTTAAGTCAGCTGCCTAAAAGAGGAGCCAGGACTTAAAGCTTGATCAAATCAATGATGTAGAGCCTAGGCAATACTATCCAGCACACTTAGGATTACTAGAGCATGAAACCTTATGATGCTTTGAAATGCAGATTTGAAAGTGGGCACCTAACCTAGGCCAGAGGAAGAGAAAATCCAAACTGGTATTTGAGGAATGTTACCTTGTGTCCTTCTTGCATCTGTCAATGTCAAGCAAATCTTTCCTGCACAGTTAATGGCCATTTATAGATGGTTGGTCCACATTGAAGCCACTCCTTCTTGACATCATCACGAGGTAAGTGCAAGATGATAGGTGGATTGTTATGAGTCTAACACTGTCTGCCAGTGAATTTTCTGCCTGCACTGGCATTTCTGCCTTCTTTTTATTGACTTCCTAGATAAATAGATATTTATGGTCAATGTGACTACTAGCTATTATATTTGATAGCATCGAGTGTCATTCCAGTTATCAATTTATATTGAAAAATAGAATCTATGCAAACTATAAAACTTATCAGCCTAACCATCACACTTTGTCCCTGGAGGCCTTGGAAGTTGGATTATAATCAGAGGGTTGCTTGAAGTGCATGGAATCAGAACAAAGAGATTTAGATAAATCAAGTATTTAATGGTGTTAGGCTGTTTCATCCCATCTTCTCCAGTGGGAGTGGAATAACCAAAGCGCAATATTCCAGACTGATTCCAAAGGATGCAACAGGATTTCAAGTGATTCTTAGACCAGCCTTGAAAAGTATGGATCATATTGAGAAAATATTTTTCTCTTCCTTGTCCTTCCTTCCTTCCTTCCTTCTTTCCTTCCTTCCTTCCTTCCTTC